GAGATTCAGCTCCTTTGCGCATCCATTTGTTAGACTTGTCGCAGATCGTGATGTGCAGACTGTTATTTTCAATGCTAATTCTTCAAATTAAAGAACTTTTAAAGAAAAAATTAAATTTTCGGAGAAATTTAGGACGTTTGTTGCATTGGTCCCTTGAGTGTACCGTGTTTTTAAAGTATCCACAGACAGCAACATATCAGAACAATTGAGTTGTATGAGGCAGCGCAATGCTCTCGCCCAAATGCACCTTCAAATTGCACGATTCTCGTCTCTGATATGACTTTCTTGCTACCAATGTCCAGATCCCCCATTTGTTCTCTTGTTTGCAATCTCAGAAACTTCCCTTTTAATTTCCCCTGGAATTTGTAAATGCTCAATATCGTGCTTTAAGTGACCTCCATGAGTGCCATTACTGGAATGCGCTCCACAAACCTCGCATGCATTGTTCCGGACTCGCAGAAAAAACGACAGAAACTCGCCAAAATAACTCACAAAAAACTCCTGCTCGTGTCTGAACTTTGTGGAACCTTAAAGCGCTTCGTACGGAACCATTACTAGCTGAAAACAGCATGCGAGGTATGCTGCCGGCAAAAAAGTGTTCTGAAATAACGCCAAGCGATAAGTTTCCGTGAAGCGGAAATAAGATAAGATGACAGAACCCAAATGCCGGTATTGCGTGAAGAATCAGTTCGAGTGAAAGTCGGAATTGCATTTCATAGTGACTCGACACCACAGACTTACGTGAAAGGTGACAGTTGTTCATCATAATCTATATTCTCTGCGATTTGTTTACATTTTACATTGGGCTTGCTCGTGTACTCAATTTTATATAGAGCAAATGAGATTTGACAGCAAAATTCGCAGCCGCCCCCCTGATCGGAACAAAAGCCACAGAAAACTCTGACTTCGACAACTATATTATAGAAATTCCCAGCCTCATACATGTCAATTCAATATCTTTATATAACAACGGAACATTAAAATTATTGTACTGCCACTCACGCGATTTAACCCTATTGACCCGCTGAGCTAATAAGAGCAAGTGAGCCATTATAGTTGTCCGCGCCGCATCAGGCGGTGCCCGCGACGTGGTCGGTGAGTGCTGGACTGCTGGTCTCAGGTGGGTGGTCGGCTAATACTAACAATAAACTATTATCTATTCTAAACTAATAAACTGTTAGCTTACTAATAGTTCAATAGGCTATATTTAGCTAAATCGATGAAATATTTACACTAGTGTTGATGGATCAGTAACAATGAATTTGAGAATGAAAATTACCTTAGGATAATCAGGGTTAATTATTCTTTTTTTGTTCATTGTCACATTTGTGTAAAAGTAATGGAAAGGAATACTAATACTTTGGCATTGGCGTATCACATTTAATTTAATTAATTGCAAAGGGAAAAAACGTTACAATTATTTTAAAATTGCAATGGAAAAATCCATTTCCACTTTTGTGTATGACCTCTGGCTCTGATTTGAGTAGAATTTAGGATTTTCTTGAAGCGATATACGGGTAAAATGTCTCATTCGAAAGTGATTCATATTGCACATTTCTAAGCAAGAATTAAGACTTATTCGATTGCAATGAATAATTTATGCAGGCCAAACAAGTGCTTGCGACATGGTTCTTCCTTGTGCATTCATGCTAAATCGGGGCAAGCGAAAGGCCGCGAAAACGACAAAATGTTTCTGTCGATGTCAGCTGAACCGGAACCCAAATTTACTATGTTTTACGTGAAATTAGAATAAGCAAAATTAACTGCAAAGGTTTTATTTATTCGTTTTCCCGCTACAATTTTCTCTTAATGAAGAATTAAATGGTCACCAGAAACATCGGTACAATTCAAATTAATGTTTCCACCACTCCGACTATCTATCCCTCTATTTGAAGCAATTATTGAAATTGAATACAATGAATAAAATTTTATGATCTCAAGGTAAAAATTGAAACTGAATGAATAACATCATATCAAATTTGTTAAAGGATTAGAAATACTCGAGTATGTCGTTAGGGGTTAACATTTGTGAACAGAAATGAACTTTTTTGCGGCTGATATTCTCAAAGCAAGCAAGGCCGCATACGCACCAGGCCGTCCGCGCATACATCCAGAAAAAAACACGGAGGTAGCGCCCAAATCTGGTGCGCAGCCCCCATACAATGTACTGTAATCTGCGTCCGTTTGCTTTTAATTTAATACGGTAATTTACACATTTGATATTGGGAAAAGAATTTCATTGTTTACTGCCGTTCTTGTAAAATAAATCATAGAGAATAAACCTAAATCCATAGCATCGTATAAGTGAATGATTGATTGTCAAGTAATAAAAACAATCTTCACGTCGCTCCGCCGCCCTTCAAACACCCACCAACTTTCAGCATCAATTAAACAACTTGGAAACTGATCATTTATCGGCATAAAAAATACTCGTTATAATCAAAGTTGTTAATAACTCACCGCGATCATGACTTTCAGTCCTCGTACGGTCTTGCAGGAGCCAATATTTCAGCAATTCTGAAATGTCTGAGCCGTTCTTGCGCGAGGCGAACGCTACATTCAACACTGCTTGCCCTAACAGCCGCTCTGTATATTACACTGTAAATAAAATACAATAGCGCATGTCTGCCAGGGAGAGGTTGAAAATGTTTGACTACTCAGCAATACAGGAAATAACAGGTACAATTTAAGTAATTTGAGTTTGTTCGATGAGCGAATTTTTTTTGTGTGTGTTCAGAAGTTACAATTTACAAAAATCTAGTTAAAATTACCGGTAATATCTAAGATATTGTGCACAGTATAAATTAATTCTACAGAAATTAATAGCATCAAAATTAATATTCTCGCGCGACTATAACTGAGGTAAGGATGATGGGAGTCTAATATTTTAAATTCAAGATAAAACTTGAACGAATTTCCCCAAAACTGCAAAAGTGATGATAAGCAAAGACCGTGTAATAAAATCAGAAACGATTTTTCGATCAATCTTACCAAGTTTAATAATTATAAATGAATCGATTTAATAATATAATTATTCGTTGATTGAAACAGCAAATGTATCGAGTTTCTATAAAAGTCTTAAGCCAGAGCTACGAGATCTCCGAACTGAAGCACTTGGGACTCCGTGGACCACTACCTACATCCCCCACACTCCTCCACGACCACTGGATGACTGACCATCCTGCAAAGGATTTCTGCTGCAAGTTTTTATGCGACATTCGGCGGCCTTGTCTGAAAGTTTTTTCAATGTACCATCAGTAATCAGGACTGCAATATTACAGGCATTTCAATAAAAGTCAAATACTGAAACGCTGAATTCCTTTTTGTAGTAAGAATTTTAGCAGGGAGGGTAGAGCTTTTCAAACCTTTAATTGCTTTCGATATAAATTGAACGTTCCTTCAGTTTTTGAGAGTTCGTGGTAAAGGTAATTCTTAGACGAATCTCAAGGCAAATTTGAACGTTAAACTATGTATGTGGATAATTGTACAATATTTAATCCTAGATTCGTAAAACATCTTTCTTCAGAATCAAAATGCAAAAAAGTTCTTTACTACTGTATAAAAGTTTTTTACTATTGTAAAAATGTATACATATCCAAAATTTTTTAAATTGAAAGGTTTGGAAACCAGCTTTAACCATGGTGCCTAAAAATTTAGGATCTTGGAATCTCTGCATATTTTTGAACTAAAACTTGTTAACGCGGGACAATGCCTACAGTTCTCGATGGATTATTACGTTACTTTGCGCGCTTATCTAGCTATTTAGTTTGATATCACCTGAGTAAATTTTGTCGTTCTATTAATTTTGCATTTATCCCTGATGTTTTGATCTGATGAAAGACTAGGTTTCCGAAACTTTCCTACTAAAAACATAATGAAATTTTTTAGACCATGATTTGTCTTCAAATTCTTAGTTTATTTGCTATACGAATAAACTTACTTTACAAATATTTGTATAATGATTGAGCTAACGTAATTTAATTCAGTCTTACGATTTAAACAAATTAATTTAAATTTAAGATGAATTAAACGAAATTATCTGACGTGTGCCCACCAAACACTTGAAATAGAAGCACATATATAATTTTTTCAGCTAATGAGTATAGCCATTAGGCGAAACTTAATTTATTATTGAGATTTAGTCACTGATTTGAAGGCATCATATGCGAGAACGTTATTTCAGAAGTTGTCCATGCTAAATTCCTGCTGCCGAGTGTATCGTTTGAGAGCAATTTTCTGCTGATCATGCATGCTTCGATGCACAACTCGCGGACCCTGGCGTGGTCGACAAACGCTGACACATCAACTTCTCATGAGGCAATGGAAGATTAGCGGTCACGGGGCTTTAAATAGCTCGATTCCTTGCATCTCATTTCAGAAGGCAAGAGTCTGAGTAGCATTGGAGTGGTTGCATGTCTAGTGTTCAACTCACCATGAGCAATCCAGAAGCTAAAGATCTCATAAGTGAACTAGACACTGCTATAGCGTCAGTTGGGAAAACACGAGTTTTTAAACCGAAGAATAAAAATGTGAGCATTGACATGATCACGGCATCTATTTCATCTGTTAATATCGAGTGCCCTGAAGAAGGCACTGCTGATGCAAATGAAAAAACGAAAATTTGTTCGTTGTCAGTCGGGGTTCCTTTGAGAAACGTCGCTCATCATAAGTCATTAGCTGTGCATAAAATTAAAAAACGAAGGATTCTTTCAAATTTTGATTTCCACCAGTAAGTTTTAGACCAGCGAATGTAATCATAAGTGATGTACATGTTTTTTCACCAAGTTTTATCCAAGCTTTTTTCAACATTTCCTTTATAGTTCAGTAAAAAAAATTTTCGATATGTCTTATCAATGTCGATTATTCTACAGAAAAAATATTCAATGCTGATTTAAGTACCAAATAAGTAACATTAATAAATATTGTAACTGCATTAGTGTTTATCCTTTGATATCTAACGAATTATCCTCTGAACCGGCAACATAAATCGAGGAGTCTCGCTTTCCGCTGTATCTCGTTCCCAGCAGACTGCATGCGCGGGTTTACTCAAAGTCTCAAACGTTTGCACGTTATCTGAAGTGAGCAAATAACCTTTCCAAAATGAGTAGCAAAGCTCATCCTCCCGAGTTGAAAAAGTATGTATACTTGTTGATTACAATTAAATTTTAGGCATCCGACTGAGTCGCTTTTGGGTATTTTTCGGTATCTGTTATCCAAACGGATAGAATGATTTTTGACCAATGACAGTATCAATGCAATCTATATGGCAAATCCTCATGGGCTATTAGCCTTATTTTAGCAATACGTTGCATTTTTGTACAGTATGGGTAATGTAAACACAATTTCTATTTAATGTGTGATCATTTTAACATGCCAAAGCACAGTAAGGACTAAGGACCCTAATTAGGCTGATAATCATTATAATGTTTGTGTTACAACACATTTTCACTCAAAAGTCTCACTCCACTTTGCTACACGCTACCTATTTGCTATTAGGTACAAAAATTTGGAGCCATACTAGCATACTACCTACCATCATTTTTAGCTGTATTATACATGAATGAATTTTATTGATAGAAACCCATGCATTGATAATTGAGTGGAATTTTTTATAGCCCTAGGTATGCAGTAGGCTGAAACAGTGAAACTGGGTAGGTAGCTAGGCCTATGCAAGGCTGTTTCAAATATTAGCAAGCAAATGATGCAAGTTTCTGAGCTCATGACAAGTTGTCAATGGCCAACTCATTCCAGAAAATTGGACTGAAGCTATGAATGACTGTGAATGAAAGAAGAATGCTTGATCTTGCTGGCAGATTTTCATTTTCAGATGATTTTATGGCACTTGCCTGCTATTTAAAAAATTATACATGCACATTTTTGCCTTCAATTTGCCATTAAAACCAATTTTGCCTTTAAAACAAATTTTTACCTGTAATATTGTTTATAAATTTGTCCAATAGTCAAGCATGGGGCCATGGCTGTCAAAAGTCAAAACTGTTATTAATATCATATATCCATTATATTAGTTATAATTCAGGAGCTGGTTTCTTGAAACTAGGCTATTAATACTGCAAGTTCAACCTGAAATAGGATGCCAGACTGCCAGATTTCTGTTAATTGCAGGTGAAAAAGATTGTTTCTAGGGCAATTTTATAACATTTAATGCAAAGTGTACTGTTCTTCATCATTTTCACAGAATAAATTGGGCTAGGGGAAGGGCAATTTAAATGGGTAAAACTGTGAAATTTCCTATTTGGGCTGTAGAATGGAATTTTCTTACTTAATAAGACAATTTGTGGCCCCTGATTATACTTTTTAGCACATTTTCTCATTTATGGAAAAAAGGCGCTATTGTGCTTGTAATGTCTCTGTCTGTCTGTCTGTGACTTCACGGTTTCATTGACGAGAAAATGAGCTCTCTGTGGCTCACTGCAGTCTGCAGTGAGTAGGCCTACTGAGCTATATTATTTTGCTATATATATTCAAAAGTTTGCTGACTGATAGTAGGAGATAATAATAATAATATGATACAATAATACTAAATTTTATAAAAAGATAGGAGATGATTCATCTAGCATGAATCTTGATGCTCTTAAATTGATGAGGAAGTTGAAAGCTCTAGTTGTGCCTGGGCAGGTAGATAATTTCCATGCCAATTTAGGCTTCTGCCTAATTTTTCAATTTGACTAACTATTCTAAGTATTTCTAACTGATACATTTGACAGAAGAAAAGAAAAGAGAAAAAATCTCCTGTACCAAAACATTTCAACTTTTAGGTCTCATAATTAGAAAATATTTTTTGACTTTTTCAGCTTCAATTAAGTATTGGATGAGAAAATGTTTATTAAAAAGTAATATATCTACTCTAAAAATAGCAGTCAAGCTCTAGTTGCATTTGAGAAATGATATGCTCTACACTGAAACCCATACATGTGACAAAACTTCCAATGAAGATATAAATGTAGTACCGTAAAATGGGGTAACTTTGACCACTTTTTTTCAAAATGATGCATAGACAAGTTAAACTTAAATTGAAACGTGCAAAATACAGGTCTATACTCAAGCTTTACTCACCATAAATTGCTGGCTCCTGCCTCTCATAGTTTTGATGTAATTTTGAAAAAAGTGATGGTCTTTGTTACCTCAGCTCTTGGGGTTTCTTTGACCGGGTGGTAAAATCAATTTTATTTTTTGATAAAATAACTCCAAATAACTCCAGGTTTTGGTGCATTGTAGTAGAACTCTTCTAGTTACATATGCAAATGACAAATTTGTGGGAAGTGTCATAGTTTGCAAATTGGGGGCGCCGCCCCCCAGTGGGCGAAATGTGACCACCTAATGGCAGCCGTGATGGGGTAACATTGACCGGCTTGGAAATTAAGTTAAAATTACCATATATAAGACTCTGTAGAGTCTGAAACGTAAAGAAAAAAAAAACATTAATAGGTGTATCAAACATAAAATATGTTATATAGGTACCTATGGTAATTTTAACTTAATTTCCAAGCCGGTCAATGTTACCCCATCATGGCTGCCAATAGGTGGTCAAAGTTCCCCCATTGGGGGGCGGCACCCCCCATTTGCAAACTATGACACTTTCCTAAAATTTGTCTTTTGCATATGTAACTAGAAGAGTTTTACTACAATGCATCCAAAACCTGGAGTTATTTTACCAAAAAATGAAAAAATTGGAGGGGGTACTCTGACAGGCTTTAAATAATAGCTCTTTTTACCACTTTTTTCTTAGCTCGCTTTCGTGTCTGTGATGATCAAATCTTGCAATCGATCACGAACTTTCCCATTAGCTAGCGCTCTGAAACTTTTAGGGAAGCTCAGCTCCCGATAACAATACAATAATCAATAATTTGTTGCACGTTTCCAGGCGTATAAACTCTAAAGGAACTCACAAGCAGGGGTTGGAACCTTTAATGCACGTCATCCTCGAGAGGATATTTGTGTTTAGACTGCGTATATTGATGATACGCTTCGTATCATCGATACGTACATCAAGTCAAGTAAATTGGCTTGCAACAACGTGTTTCGTGTGTAGCAACGGACTAAAAATGAGAAAGTAAAATACTTAAAAAGCTAAAAAGTAGAAAATAAAATGTATAAAAAAATTTTTAAAGACCACGTTTTTCATGTGGACTCGAAAGTAGAAAATAATTTTTCGGCAGCTACTGATCTCTGTTTGCTTTCATTCTCTTGGTCTTTTGTATTTCAGTTAAAATATTTTACATCTAAAATGAAAAACGTGGGGCGCATCTTCATTTAGGCATGCCTTAATTTCAATTTTGAATTCAACCACTATTTCTAATTATATCAGCAATACACTTCTCAAATGTTCAATGAACCATCATATTCATCATATCAAGTAATCACCAAACAATTAAATACATATGCGCCCCACGTTTTTCATTTTAGATGTTGTAAAATATTTTAACTGAAATACAAAAGACCAAGAGAATGAAAGCAAACAGAGATCAGTAGCTGCCGAAAAATTATTTTCTACTTTTGAGTCCACATGAAAAACGTGGTCTTTGAAAATTTTTGTTATACATTTTATTTGTGGGTCACATTATTAATTTTTTAACCTATTAGATATGCAAACTTTTTAAATCTTTCTATTGTGTTATGTAGCCTCAATTGGGCCTTTGATGGCCATTGACAAAATTTTTCTATGTCAAATAGCTTTTGAGTTTTGAGGGTTTTTGTTAAAAAAACAAAAAGTGGTCAAAGTTACCTAACCCCATTTTATGGTATATACTATTGATTTGAACATTGTTGCCATAAATTTGCCAGTTGAATTTGAAATTTGATTCATCTTGCAGAAATCTTTCAGCTCCAAAAGTGGCAGGACAGTGGTTGAACGTCTATTCCAAAGTTATCGAAATTATATTGCTTTTGGCCTGCTCAATTTTAGTAACCAATAGAAATTTTCCATCTTGTGGCAGGACAGCCCTATTGTTGATCTATGCTCTGGCAGATATAGGTCTTAGGGAAATTTTTCTACACAAAATAAGTATTCAAAAAATATAATAAAAATGTTTCAGAAGAAATTGCTATTGGCTATACAGTTTGCCAGGCAATCCCCATATTTTTGTCTCAAAAAGATGCCAGACATTGATGCAAAGGAATGGCCCCATTGGCAGTGGATTTAAAGTACCACAACAGTGGGTTGTTTTCTAGATAGTTGATAGCTAAGATCTTAGCTAGATTCATAGCTATTCACTTGAGCTCATTTTTCCTGCTAGATGGCTTAGAAATAGGCTGGATCTTTCTATAAATTAGAATTAAGTTGGCACCTCTGAGAGCAGTGCTATTTATTTTAACCAAGTGATGGTTTGCACAGACAGAGCATGTTGATATCAACCACATGTTTGGCAAAGCAAATTTCTTAATTAACATCTGTTGTACTTTATATATAATAAAAAAAAGCACTCCAATCTAAAATTGGTCTATTTGCTACACAAGTAATATTATGAGGTTCAGAAGAGAAATTTCATAACTCAATACCAAGGACATTATTCTCTTTGCAAATATGTTATAAAAAAATTGCATTAGAAAAAATAATTTATTGGGGCTGTTTTTTTAACATCCAATGTGGTATAAAAATAAAACTATTGGAGAGTAGTTAAATAAATTTATTATAACAAAAGTTAGGTACATAATTAGTTACTGTTCAACATATTTTTCATTTAAATTGAGGTATTTTTTATACCTGGGTACAAGCTTCTTAATAGGAGTATTTTGTTCATAGAAGATTGCCACCAGTGACTTGAGTTGTGTTTTCATGGCACCATGCAGTGCATTGTCTTTTTGGAAGCTTTGTCCTCCTAGCATCTCCAGTTCCTGGAAAAGGTCATAGTCAGTTTCATCAAAGCATCACTGTAAGGATGGGCATTGTAATGAAAGTGCACTATTCCAAATGTGGAGCATTACTCTCTTTTTGTTCTGTATAGCTCTGCATTTTTACCATATGGCATATAGCCATGACTTAGCACAGATCAATATCACCTTATCCCAGAATGGAAATAAAATGCTGAGGGGGCAAAGCTTCCTAACAGATGACTTTGCTGCAAGATGCCCTGAAAGCCCATCTAAAATCCCTGGCAACAAACTGCTATGAACAAGCTATTAAAAAGCTTGTACCCACGTATGAAAAATTATTCAGTTTAAATGTTAACTTTGTTGAAAAGTAACTAATAATGTACCTAACTTATGATGATAAATAATAATAACTCCTAATAATAAATAATATTTGTTTAAAAATTACTTTTTAAAGAAAACACTTCTAAAGAATCCAGTGTTTCCAATATTACAGATGTACAATGAATTTCTAACTTTATTTTCGAATATTAAAAAAATAAATTTTTCAATTTTATTAATATATAAAATTTTTCAAAATTATTTATTCTGTTTATTGATTCATGCATTGCCTCCAACTTCACACAAGTGTGCAAAATTTCATATTTACTAGACAGGTAAAAGTGTGTCAAATATCAATTATAAGATTTGTAGCTGACAAAACTATTTTTTCAGTTTTTTAATAATAAAAAAAATTTATTCCTAAAACCATTTATTTTGTCATTTGATTCATGCATTGTCTCCAACTTTACACAAGTGTGCAAAATTTCAGATCGATAGGATAAGTAGAAGTGTATTAAATTTCGATTACAAGATTTGTAGCAGACAGACAGACAAACAAGAAGTGAAGTTGAATAGAAGTGTTGTAAAAAGAATGCTGTGCTACTTTGTAATTAAAAATTACATTGAAGAAAATGTTTGATTTTGCACTGTTTGAATATATTCCTTTCAATAATGAGAATCGGTGCAGTGCGTTTTGCTTTGATTATTTTCCAGCAATGTCATGTTGAAAGTATGTAGATAATTTGTTACGGGGTACCTGAGAACATCTACAAATAATTATCTTGAAAATTTTGTATATTATTTGAAAACTGCTCCATAATATTAATTTTTTTTATTTCCAGATATATGGACAAGCAGGTTAAAGCCAAGCTCAATGGCGGACGCATTGTTGAAGGGGTCCTGCGTGGCTTTGACCCCTTCCTCAACTTGGTGGTTGAAAACTGCGTTGAAATTAAGAAAACTGGAGAAAAAGTTCAGATTGGCAGTGTGGTAAGCAAACAAAAAAATATAGATAGATTAAATGTGACATTGAAAATTTGTTAGTGTTCAGTTTAGTGCTTTTTCTATTCCAATTAAAACTATACTACCTGTATTCCTGATTTTAATTGTTTTTTAATCCACTTAGTCAGTAGCATGAATTTGCTATTTTGAGATCACTAAGTATATCTAGATATTCAAATTCAAACTATGTCAATTTGGTCATATAGGTTGTTTAATCTCTGTTTACTTGTATTTATTGAATTTTTTAAGGATTGCAAAATGTTCACTTCTTTTGCAAACGCTAGAAGTATACAAATGTATAGATTAAATTTTTTCTCTCCTTCATAAGTTGAGACATGAAACTCTGACTTCACTTATAGCAGAAAGTAAATACAACTACTCTCTTGTATATTTGTTTGCACTTTTCAATAATTTAGATCATTGCAAAATGTTAATTACCTTTGGGCTTTCTCTCGTTTTTTTTGTGCAAATTTGTTGTGTACTTATCTAAACTGATGTGTTCAACAATAGGTTTGCTGGCATTGCTGCTGATGGTCACTGTGACAAATTATTGCTGTGTTCCACTTACAATATGCTCGCAGGAAAAGTTGCGCTTAAAGTAAATCAGTTAAGGTGTTTCAAATTTTAGTTCTATAACGTGATGTATATTTTTGCAGGTGATGAGAGGCAGCAGCATCGTCATGCTGGAGGCTCTGGACAGGATATCGTAAACTCATCGTCACCTCTCCCTACTTGTATGCCATCAGGCTGTGCAAGGGATTTGAGCCATTTTGCGTCTTGTTCAATCACTTTACATTGGAAAGATAATTATAATGTATTGCTTGGTCATAATTCTACCAATTCAAGTTCAAATTTAACTATGATTCTGAAGCCATCTATTTTATTTGCTCATTTCTTTCCGAGAAAGTTGAACTCGCACAATCGTCCATGTCCCATTATTTAGATTGGTTAGCTTTAAATCCTCAATCATTTACCTCCTAGTTATGATCTCTTATTACGATGGCATGCGATCTCTAAGTACCAGCTGACAGTAAAGTTAAGCAAATCTCATAATGATTTTCATTGCCTTTTTTACTACTCAACTCCGAAAATTTGCCAGTGCTAAATCATACTACTAAATGTGTCAAAAAATTTATACCTTGTATAATGACCTCATGTTGCTTATTTACGTACCGCTGACCTTCCATGATAAATTACTGAGGGGAAGCTATGGGATTACGTGACCGGTGCGGTAACATCGTTACTTAACTTTCTTGCTAACAGGATCACTGAAGTTAGCTATTTTGAACGGATTGTAGAAAGAGCCTTAAATTGCCGACAATGAACACTGTGAAATCGTCACATGTCAAATTGCACTTAGATAAAATTAATGTAAAAGAAGTGGAATATCAAGATACTATTGAATCCGTATGTTTTGACAAAAAACAGTGCGTATACGACCATAAATGTGCTCGAATTTTATTTCAAGACTCGGTTTTGTTCTTTCCTGCTTTGAATTCACTATTAACAGCTGAGGTTTATACCGATGCAATGCCGAAATTACAGCTTAAAGAGACAGAAAATTCGTCTGGCATTCAAAGAAAATTTCGTTCAACTCTGCTATAACATCCTTGGTTGTGACGGTCTGGCAGGCTCGGCATGTCGCACCAGGACGGATGACCTCTCGACCTCAAAGAGCGATCTTGAGGCCGCACTAGATCGGAAGAGCCGTGATCTGGAGGACCAGGCTAGCTGCGTGGGCACCACGTTGACAAGCTAGTTTGCGGTCTTTCCGCCTCGGTTCAACCCTTCCGAAGTCCGACGTCGTCAAAGATGATGATGATCCAGAAGCGGCATTGGCTCAAGCTGGAGCTTAAGTGCTACAAATTCGAGTTTCGGCGGATTAAACTAATTGCCAAGGTCAGAAGCGTCAAGACTTAGGACAGTACAGCGGCAGGAGCGTCTTAAATCTATATACTCATTCAGGTCATTCTAGATTAGAAGAGTGGGTCGCCGGCCAGCGCTGTGCACAGAGCGATCGTGCAAGCCAGTTCGGAGGAAGAGAGATGCCCTCGCAGATGTACCATTTCTTAAACGTAGAGCCAAAGCGTACCCAGTCGCCTAAGTTTGGTCCTAGTAATGCCGCCAAGGCGCCGGTCATGGAAGACTCCTTCCTAACGATGCTCGTCGCCGAATTGAAGAGTGCACCTAAGAAGCTGTACAAAGAGGAGCCGCAGTATTTCGACAACTGGCTTCATAATTTACAACAAAGAATAGAGGAGTCACAATTGGGACCACGCAAAGCCATGGAGGTGTTGCCAATCATTCCACAGGCGAGCCGCTCGAGCTGATCGTAAGGTATCCGTCGGCACTCGGCAGTACATATGGATCAGCAACTACAACCTCGTTCTATTTTCACCGAATTGAGAAAAAGGTTTGGCTAGAGCCTAAAAATCGCAAGTTATGTGTACAATCGACTTTTTTCGATCGCTGGAATTGCTGGCCAAGCCTGAAGTCAGATTCAGGCGTAGCCCTGAAACTCAAGGCAATTTGATGACTTATGCGGGCCCCATACATCATAGAGTCCGACTCGCGAGTCTAACTCGGCTAACCTCAAAAAAAAAAAAAAAAAATATGGCGCCAAACGAGCCGAGGTGGGCAAAAAGAGGCGAGCCGAGCCAGGGCTTCCACTGATTGCTGTGGGGCTCGGCTAGAGTTCAGTTGCTATGCAGACGTCTATCTGAGAGGATGTATGCAGCAATGGCGGACTCCAGGCTATTCATGAGCCCCGACTTTTTAACAAAAACAAAGTTCATAGAAGAGTACCGTGCCTTTGGAAGGTTCGTTGCTCGTAATAATCCGACAAATCAAAAAGAGCATGGGAACATCTCGTTGGAATTACGCGGAAAAAGTAGTAAATGCAGACCTTAACTTTGTTAAGAAAAAAGTGGATAATATTTCGAGCATCATTCAGGAAATAATTGAGAAAGATTCGCGAGAGGACGCGATGTGGTGCGACATCCGATGACACGTACACGGTTACACCCCAACTTTGTGGTGATAATATGGTGGAGAACTTTAGGTCTGCGAACGACCGTCCGGTGGCTTTAAAACGTTGAGTAGCAATTAGCCGTTCCTCCGCTGTTATAGCCATGGTTATAGCTTTCCAAGTACTGTGTCTCGTTTTGCTATGAAGGGTTTGACTTTGTCCAAATAACAGTCCAATAGGACATTAAAGTTTTCTGCAGACATCCTTAAAATAGTTTCGATAGCCGTTTCGACTATCGCAAATATTCGACTATCGCAACTATAAAAAAATATTGCATAATTCCAACACCCACACCTCCTCGCCCCAACCTCCAGTATAATTTCCTTTTTGAGGGAGCTTTTTCCTGACCATATTTTCCTGAGTACTTTTTGAGGGAGCTGCTTTTCCTGACCATATTATCATGAATGGGGTCCCCCAAGTCAAGTAGCCATTCTGTCGCCTACATTATTTTATGTCGTGCTCTCAGATCTAACTTGTTTACGGAGGGTGGCGCTGGCAGAGTGTGCGGATGACATTGCCCATCTACTGCAAGTCTGCAGGAGCAGGGGTCCTGACTTGAAATAGATGCTAGCCTGTGATCTGTTTGAATCCTGAAAAAACCAAACTACAAAAGATTAATATTTACTCGTTACTCGTAAATATGTTAACTACACTCCTACAAGTATTGATAATGTAAATATTGTACATGTCAATCGTCAGAACAGAATATAGAAGTATGTATTGAGTCCTTGCTGACTTTTGCTTGACTCTCCAAGTCTCCAGCTTTGGCATAGAAAGATAACATAAAATACCTCAAAGATAGCTGCAACAGGAGCAGGAGGACCAATGTAATCATGTAATCATTATTGTAATGCAGGCAATGTCAGCTTGTCAGCAGTTCAGCAACTTCAGCAGACAGCAGTCAGCACACGGCATAGTGACAAACCAGAGATTTTTTAGAATCAGTTCATTTTTAATTTCCTCATTTACTTAAGATTTAAACTAATTTCTTATGTATGATAAGGCTGGTATCCAGGATACTCTACTGGTCTACTTATAGGACTCAAAAATGAACTTGAGGGAGAGTCTTAAAAACTCTCTGCTTTGCCACTATGGCACACGGCATAGTGGCAAACCAGAGCTTATTCAGAATCAGTTCATTTTTAATTTCCTCATTTACTCCAGATTTAAACCAATTTCTTAAGTATGATAATGCTGGTATCCAGGATACCCGATACTTTACTGGTCTACTGATAGGACTCAAAAATGAACTTGAGGGAGAGTCTAAAAAACACTCTGCTTTGCCACTATGGCACACGGCACACCATAGCACAGCCGCACAGCGGCACAGAGGAGCAGATAGAGAAGTATTAACATAACATAATGATATTGGTGCTAAAGAGTATGCCTGATGTGGTCATGTACTACCATACCCAGGATGGTGCCGTTTTCCGCGGATTAATCCGGCGTAAACGAGACTCCAAGCCCTTCTACTGGCGTACAACGCGGCATACAAAGAGCTAAAATAACGTTATTGGCGCACACGCCCGGCGTACGTCCGCATCTGGCTTGTCTCGACGTACGTCTGCATCTGGGCGATCTGGCTTGTCCTGACGTACCGTACGTCCGCATCTGGCTTGCCTTGGTGTACGTTTGCATCTGGGTGATCTGGCTTGTCCTGACGTACTGTACGTCCGCAACTGGATTGCCTTGGCGTACATCCGCATCTGGGTGATCTGGCTTGTCCCGACGTACGTCTTCATCTGGTTTTGAACATTTTAGTGCATACTAATGCGTTTTAAGGCGATTTAGGGCCTTCTAATGCGATCTAGCGCGTTCTATTACAATCTAGTGCGTTCTATTACGATCTAGTGCCTTCTACTGCTTATCAAGAAAAATCATATATTATTGAAAGATAATTAAAGGCATACTGTACTGAGTAATGTGAGTATTACGTCTGTTCCTCCACAAACTGCTCGTGCGCGGCAGCGCGACGTAGAATTGATGGCCAGGATTGCGCAAACACGTGCGCAAAGAGAATCAATTTTCATTACATTGCGCCAACTGTGCACAGCAATAGCTTAAAAAAAAGTGAAAATGCGCAGGAAAATTCAACGAAAACATACCTACATCATCCTGAGTGTGGCCGTGGTGTTGGTTCTTGTTTCAAATTCCTTTAGGGACCTTATATAAAGTACGTATAAACCATACAGTCCATACTTATATACTTCAATGAGGTCCCCATGCAGACGTCGATAACTGAGGCTTGTGAGCTTTATAATCTTTAATCTTTCTTCATAGGACTTGCCCTTCAAGCCTGGAATTATCCTTGTACATCTTTGAACATTCTCTTTTAAATTTTTGTCCTTTTCAAATTTTGGTGACCACACAACGTTTCCAAACTCAAGATTTGGCGCACAACAGCAACAAACAATTTCTTCATCTCTTCTGCAGCTAGGAACCCGTATTCTGGAAGAGCATCTGATTAGACCAAGAAGTTTGTTAGATGTATCAGCTTTTGTTTCAACATGCTTAGAAAATTTCAGCTCCTTGTCAATATAAACTCCAAGATCTTTTTCCACACTAGATTTTTCAATCATTACTCTCTTGTTGTAACCATGTCTTCTCATACTGTAATCTTGCTGCTCATTGTTCTTCCCTAGGTGAAGTACTTTACACTTGTCAGCATTAAAACGCAGCTGCCACGTATTAGCCCAGTTAACTAAACTGTCAAGATCATCTTGCAATTGCACTTTGATGCATCCTTCATTGTATTATAAACTTTGTGTCGTCGGCATACATGGAGCACACGCTGGACACTACTGGCAGATTTAATGCTGACCCGTTATCATCTACCTAATAGAAAGTCTATGATCCATTGGAGTATGTTTCCCTCAATTCCCAAAGACTTCACTTTACTTAGCAGCCTCTCGTGTGGAACACTATCAAATGCTTTGGCAAAATCACGGTTTAATGCATCCACTGGCTCCCTTTTGTCCAGAATATGAGTAAAATCGTTCAACGTAGACAATAAGTTAGTGGTGCAGCATCTACCAGCAATAAAACCATGTTGACAATCTGATAGGAGATGGTGAACAGTCAAGTGATCAAACTGTCAAGTGATTAGTATTGCTTAAGCCTTAAATTTTACAAAGCAGTAAATGAGTTTTAAGAACTTAAAAGTAAGCTGTACTATGCCCTATTGCTCCATGCTTTATGTAGCAGCTATTTTTAAAAGCTTAAAATCCAGAATAGATACCTCAAGTTAGCTATTGAGTTGACACTATTTTAGGAAAATTAGAGTCATAGTAGGATATTTGCCTTGATTATCTTTCTCTAAGGGAAGAATCATAGAGATGGCTTTTGCAAAATTTAGGTTGGGGCATGTTGGACTAAAGAAACATTTGTATAGGTTTAAATTAACCAACACAGATCTTTGTTTATGTAGAAGAACTCAATTGCTAGAACATTTTTTTCTACAATGTCCATTAGATGTTAAGTTGCACAATTATGCAGACTCAATTAGAGTCCCTGTAATCATGAAATGTACAGGAGTACAGTGGTGGAGGACAATATCCTCCCAAGATTCAATGTAAAATAATGAAATATGTATCACTTTTTCTGGCTGCTACTGGAACTGTGGAAGATTGAAAGAATTTTAGAACTAAGCAATAACCCAGACACTGATTAATTTCAAAGGAGCTCATTGTCAACTGACCCCCAGCACCTCACCTACAGATGTACCGTACAAAGTATATGCAAGTACATCACTTGTAAGGGAGCATTGCATGAGGTATATTTTGCTGTCCTGATGAGTGATGACAAGTCTTTGGACCATGGAATTAACAATTTGACCCCACGCCTGGACCTGGTAGTAGTAGAGTAGAATTAGACTGGTCCATGACATGCCTAAAAGCTCTAGATCTCCTGAACAAAACAATATATGCTCTAGGCTGCGCCTGCCCAGGCTGGACCATCTTACCCAATGAGCTCATGAGTCCAATTGACACTGACAATGTAGAAAAGGGCTACTAAGCAGTAGACTAACCTAAAGAACCCATAATGTAATTGCAGCCATGCCCAAGAAGCCTTTGAGCCGCTAGGTGCATGGTGGATGACACCATATCCTCTAAAAACAAACCACCATCACCACCAATATCTGTTTTATGGTCTTGCAACATCCCAAAAAAATTTTCAAAATGCACCAAATGGCATGCATCATCATTTCTAGCATAAGTTCAAGTTTGACTAAGGTCACTATGAATATCATCACTAATCTTTTATTTTAAAAATAACTAGCTTCCACAAAATATTTCTATTATAAAGTAAAAATTTTAATAAATATACCTGGCTTATTAATATTTTATGGGAACTAAGAAATATTGGAATTTAGAAAGTGAGCCTTATTAGCCTAATAATTCTATTCAGTTTTTGAGTGCTTCTGCTGAGAAACATCATAGAGTGAGAGCCAGAGCCTCAAATCTTGTTCATTATCAAGACCTTTAAACTTGGAACTTGTGCATTGCAGCATTTGTCTATATAGTTCAATAATCAATAGATAGAAAGAAAGTGCATTTTATTTTCTTATTTTGTTTTAAATTTAAGATGGACCTTCAAATTCCAAGTATTACTCAGTACCAAGGCCCCTACAAGACATCTGGTAAGTCTAATTTATACAGTTTATTCTAATTCTAATGCACATTTCAATAACATGTTAATATAGTAAATTGGATCTGATAATTTCCTTTTTAGCGCATTTTTTAATATTACCTAATCCAAATAACGAAATAGATACCTACTCAACATAGTAGCCATTATTAGAACAATTTTATGATGATGTCAATCAATCAAGGTTGTCTTACCATCCTCTGAAATTTGAAAATTTTCACTTGGAGTCTAATATTCTAAATTGGCTTTCCAAGCAATGCATAGAGCTTTTTTTTACCAATTAGAAGCACTGAAATTTCTGTTAAATAAAAAATCTTATAGCTTTTTGCATAACTGCATAATAAGAAAGCTAGATTTCAAATTTACTAGAAATGAGGACCTTTGCTATAACATTTTAGTAAAAATTAGGATTTTTAATATCTTGATCACTACTCATTTCTGACTAGTGACTATTGTGCAAAAAGTGAGCAAATAGCCTATACGCTAGATTGGCTTCAATACATGAAAGTGGGAAGTTTGTAGTGAATGTATAAAAATTAGGGGCCATTCTGTTGAATAGTTAAGAAATGAGACGAGGTACCTATATTGATAGAGTACACAATGTGTGCATTTTTAGCACTTGCTTGTTGTGATATACCTAGTCACTCAGTAAATGTATCACGCATCTCTTCATTGCATTTGCTGGTTATCTCATGAATGGTACTTCAAACGGAATCAACACAATTTTTCTAAGGCCACAATTTTTCGAGTGTAGGATTTTCTTCCCTTGAATGTCAAAATGGTCCAAGTCACCCCACTTTACATTACTGGTTCATTGCATTAATGAAACTTCTCTATCTTATCAGCTTAGTTAAGGTGACAACTGATGGTTTGCTTCAGTTTTTTTTTTCATTTGATCAGCAAAAAATTAGAAGAGAATTACCATTTGTTCACAATAACTACATTTTAATCTCCAACATTTATCATCTGAATAATTCTGAATTTGAGTAACAAATAGTCTGAATAATTAAAGAAAATTTTTAGTCATTACTTGATTTTTTATTTGCAGAAGAGTACGTCATTGCTCTGAGGGAATGGCTCTCTCAGATGTATCAGATTCAATGCTTGCATGCAGGCTTCCCATATTTTTTGGCTGCTGCCATGCAGGTAAAGGTTTTGGAGTTTATTATCTACCTAAAAAAATATAAGTGCTCTAAGTAATATAAAACATAAGTAGTAAAAGTTTATTAAGTACTTTTATTGTTTTCATTTTCAAATAGATTTTGAACATTGAAATCCAGCTAGTACTGACATTTAAAAAGTATCATTTCATACATAGCCAAAGGAAATGAGAATATTATATTATTATTTTATTACAATGTTATATTTTTGAAATAATGGTTATCAATTTATATACCTATATTGGATTTTTATTATTCTATAATTTAATGCTGAAGTTTGGTTCAGATCTGGCTGCACAAAGGCTCAAAATTACTGAGGAAAGCTCTCTTGGAAAATTTGTTTTTGCACATGGTGTGACTGGAGGGGGATGATTGTTTCTACCAGTGTTTAAAGAAAATAAGGATTACAACAACCTCTACAACCATCCTAATCCACTTTTTTATCTGATGTAAAAGTTTGGTTTGTGAAATTATGGTATATGGTTAAGAAGGAACAAATTCTAAAATTTATAGCAATTCATGCAAGGAATGAAACAATCCAAGAAGTTCCATTAAAATTCAAGGTTTGGAAGCAACTCTTTACTTTCAATAACTCGTTATTTAGGTAATTTGTGTGGTTAATCTTAGTCTGAGAATGTCATTCATTAATTACAAAAGTTATCCAAATTATATTAATTACAAAATTATCAAGAGAAAAGCACTTTTCCAATATCTGATTAGAGAGGAGTCTCCTTTTGTTTGATTAAAGATTTTCGTCCTACTCCTACTTTCTTTTCTAACCTTTCTTCTTGGTCTTGATGTAGTAATTTCAACCTTTAACCGAAACTGTAATCATCGATATAAGGGGGTGGCGTCGACAGGATTTATAGTTTTTTCTAAACACTCACTGTTTGTCCGACTCTCTCTAACGCCGCCGCGTGACTGCCCGCGGTCGCCCGCTACCTCCTGTTAAATACTCCCCCGGTCCCGCGCATGCGTGCTAGGCGGCTCGAGCTCCACCCCTTAATTCAAACTCTGCATCTCAACCCCCAAATCCCCCTATTCTTATCTTATTTATTCCTATTTCTAATCATATCCCCATGTTTTGTGTATGCTTAAACACAGATTATTCAGTTGCTAATTCCCAGAGAACAATAGCTGTGTGCCATGAAATGTAAGCGCACAAGGACACCCTAGCCAAACTCTTACTTCCTTATGAAAATAAGTCTTCTTTTAACAATACAAAGATAATATAGTATACATATATTGTTTAATTCTCGCCATTAGGTTTGCAGAGGCAAGAGAGCCATAAATCACATAAAGTTGATGCAGTTTTATTTGATGTGAATATGGTCTTGTTGAAGAGCAGTTCATTGACAGTGATGATGTTATGACCTTATAAAAAAAAGTTTCATTGAGAAAACCATGAAACACATTGAGTTAATTTAAATCATAGTATTTCACATAAAATTTGTGATTTGTGAACTGTGAAGTGGTCAGGAACTATGTATCACATTCCCTACTCATGACTTTTTAATAAAAAGCTAACAAGTTAATTTGTTTTCCAAGTTATGATCCATTGACACGCTAATAACCAGGAAAACAACACAGAAGATTTTATATAATTTCAAGATTTATGTGCATGAACAAAGTTTTCCTTGAAGAAAACTTTTGAATTAAAACTTTTTGCTAGTAAATGTATGCTGGATTAGTACCTATTTGATTTAACTAAATTAATTAATTTTGAATGTATGTTAATCAGAAGCAGCATCAGCAGCCAGGAATGCCAATTCATGGCTCAACCCTCACGTCTTCACCTGTTGCTGGCGCCACAAGCAGCTCTGCACAAAACACTTCTCCTCAGCGGGTGGAACGAGGTAAGGCCAGGGCTTACTCAATATCCTGCAAATATTTTATAATTATTTTCCCTAGTCTATATCAGTCAAAGAGATCGGCCGGATATTCAAACCAGTTTGTTAAAATAAAGTAAGCAATTATTGAATATGACAGCAAAATTGTATCTAGATAAAAATCAAATTCAAATAAATTAAGTTGAAAATCAATAATTTTTTATATTTTATGCATACCTATTTTTTTTCGTTTATCAGTATTTGATTTTATATGTCAATTTTTTTTACAGGTAGAGAATACTTGGTGCCGTCGCTGTGGAAGCGTTTTTTGGCCGAGTCTATAGACTTCATGCTGCTCTTCACCATAAAGCTTGTCATCACTTACCTCGCTATTGACTTCCTCGACCTCTTGTGAGTTGATATCTCTCTCAAAAATAGCTATTAACACGTTGACTCCAATTGCTTCATTGTATTAACACGTTGACTCCGACTGCTTCATCTTGTACCATTATTTCATTTCTGTACTGTTTTTAAACAGGGTTGCCAGACGGTCATTTTTTCTGGACAAATTCCGTGATTTAGTTTTTCTCAATTGCGTTGGCCGGCTAAAATTTATGATAGGGGTACTTCTTGATTAAATTTTAAACACTGCAAAAAGAAAATAAATGGAATTTCAATAGCAGAACCTACAAATAAATTAGTATATTTTGAGTTACCGGCCTTTTTTGTTCTTAAGGCAGCCTGAATAATGATGAATGAATAATGGCTGCCGATTTAAGGCAGCCTGAATAATGTACCACTACGTTCTGGAGAAGTACATTTCGTGGTATGCATATGTACCACTTCGTAGTCAACATGTTAAGTTCTTCAGTGCTAGGTACTATGAGCCCGTTTTGTAAATAGTTGTATGTCTTATAAATAAAAAAAGCTTGACCAAAAGTTGCACAATATATTTCTTTATATTTTCTACCTATTTGCAAGTCAACAGTTCTTTAGTTAACGTTTTCCAAAATTGAATCTACCTGCATTTGAGTTAATTTCTTGCTATCATTTGGTAATATTGGATTTTTCTTGTGGTTGAAAGTTTTATTTTCAGTGACATGGAGAACTATAACTTGGAAACCTTGAGGGCTGACATGCTGTCTGATTACCGCCTCACCATGAACGTTACGTGGGACATCTTCCTGCTCGAGTCCATACATCGAGTCCTCAATTGCGTCTTTGAAGTGAGTTGCTCGATGACTTTAAGTGTTGTGAGTTGAAGTGTTGTCGTCCTAGAATTCTATACATTAGAGTTTCATAACATTCATTTTTCCTCTTATTTGCTTCATGACTTCACTGTTCTACTTCCCTTCATGACTTCATTGCTCTACTTCACTTGTTTATCTCACTGCTTGACTTCCCTTCATGACTTCACTGCTCTACCTCATTTCTTTATCTCAATGCATGACTTCCATTCATGACTTCACTGCTCTACCTCACTTGTTTATCTCACTGCTTGACTTCCCTTTTGGACAAACTCCGTCCTGCCTGTCCAATATATCGAGGGCTTTACCTACTCCGTCCCACCTGTCCAATATATCGAGGGCTTTACCTACTCCGTCCCACCTGTCCAATATATCGAGGGCTTTACCTACTCCGTCCCACCTGTTCAATATATCGAGGGCTTTACCTACTCCGTCCTGCCTGTTCAATATATCGAGGGCTTTACCTACTCCGTCCTGCCTGTCCAATATATGGAGTGCATGACAGTAATGGTGTTTGCAGGCGCTGTGTCTGCACCGAGACAGGCGTGGCCAGGGGGGTGCGACGCCAGGCAAGAAGCTCATGGGGCTGCGTGTGGTGCGCTGTGAGTGGGTGGTGCCAACTCTCAACAACCAGGTGCTCGTGTACCCTGCCGCGGACCTGGGGTTAGTTATTCCTTTCAACTAACTTGATAGATTGATGGATTTTTTAATTTTATTTCGGTTAAATACTTATTTAAAATTGTGTGATTTTTCATTAGGTTTATAGATTTTTTAATTTTATTTGAGTCAAATACTTATTTAAACTTCTGTGATTTTTCATTAGGTTAATAGATTTTGTAATTTTATTTCGGTTGAATACTTTTTTAAACTTGTATGTATTTTGATATGTTAGGACTCGTATTCTACTGTCTGTTGATAAGTTGCTTGGAATTTAACACTGTATTGTTTGGATGGGATTTTGTTGATAAATTTTCCTATGTTGCTCAATGTCGCGGTGCTTATTTGTATTATGTTTCTGGTCAGAGGAAGCCGTTAGTGCGTGTTTACCTACATCAGACACTTGGAACATTTTCCTGCAGACTTGTTGATTTTCAATTTACCACCGAAACAAATTGCTCTTCAATTGTACCTCTCAATAAATGAAGCGGTTCATCAAAAAGTTCCTTAACGCTGGGAAATTGTATTATGATAAAAATATATGTTTTGTCTCAAATATAGTATTTTCAATAATTTTATTGGATAGACCCAATTTCGTAGGTTTTAAGCAATGTTGTAAACATTTCAGTTTGTGGCGTTCATTCACGCGTGCGGTCGCCAAGAACATCACAATCACGCTGATGTTCCCGATGTGCGTGACGTTCTTCATGTACCACAACAACCGCATGCTCTATGACGTCATGGCGGGGTCCTTGGTGGTGGAGGACATTCCGCTCCTGCGCCGCACTCCTAATAACGACAACAATAATAATAATAACAACAATAACAACAATCATGGGCGTTAATAGTGATTAAGTACATCAGATCAACAATATTAATGTAAAAAAACATCTCCTGCGCCGCACTCCTAACAACACGACAACAATAACAATATTAACAACAACAACGATGGGCGTCAATAGTGATTAAATAGATCAGATAAACAATATTATTATAAACAAACATCTCCTACGCCGCACTCCTATCAACGACAACAATAACAATAATAACAACAACAATAACAACCATCGCCGTCAATAGTGATTATGTACATCAGATCTACAATATTAATGGTAACAAGTACTATAATAACAATCAGCTATGATACGACCATTGTTTGGGTACGAAAGCAATATCCACCATAGGTAGTGGAGCCGGACTTTGAGAAGAGCTAGTGTAATATTTTCAAAGGCAAGGAGAGAGACATCAGTAGACTAATTGAAGCCCAAATATGCTTTATTTCCTCCGATTGTGGAGATTTTATGCACCGTTTGTTCACGTATAATATGCATCTTAAGGTACAGTTGTATTTTACATTTACGCGAGTGATATAAAAAGCTGTCATGGCATCAAATGATGAGAAAACTCTTCACTTATTGCTTCAAAATTTTCAGTGTTTTTTAATCAGAAGTCAGCTTCGTCGAAATATTTGCGTCCCTCTATTCCTGGTGCTGTATAAGATTATTTATAATAAACCATATGCTAAACATGAATGTCCAACCTAAAAAATGGTGCGATGAATATGCTTTTAAGTATCGAGTACGTATAAAATGATTCATTCAAGTCACCGTAATGGGTTGCGTTGCGTTTCAAATCAACAATCACGACACTCATGATTGTATGTGTAATTATAAGTTAGTTGTTAATGAGGTAGAGTGGCTATGTTTAATCTGTTGTGTGGGGTGGTCTGTTACCGCCTTCACAACTAAGTGGCTTCTAAAAGATGTCTTCATCAGAAACCACATTGCGTTTCCAATTTTCTGTTGTGATGAGGAACTCTACCCAGAAAGTTATATTTATTTTGTCACCATATTGGCTTAGTTTTTGCACATCTTTCAGCGTGATCACTTATCACTCTATGGTGATTTAATAAGAATTTCCCCCTTTGGTACCTCTTCAAGAATATCTGGAAAAACTGTTTGAAGGTTATGAAAAATTTGTTTTCGAGAATTAATTATTTATTCTTATTGTTTATTTTGATTTCCGTTTGTATCCACTCAAAACTTTTTAGAAATCTGGTTGTAAAAAAGAAGCTTTTAAGTTTAATTATATTATTTTCTGTTACGTTTTACAATTTTTCTTTTCTGACTACGGGAAAATACTTTGCAATAAAATCAATGTTGAAGCCGCCGAGTTTATTGGCAGTCTATTTGTCTATTTGCCTGGTTTATCCTGCTGTTGTATTAGAGGTGTTCTTTTCCTAGTCAATACCTCAGCTAACCCTTTTTATTACATTCGTACAAGGATGCTTGTATCATCATCAACTGTACATTTCTGCTCGATTGATTTTTACGCACGTTTTTTTAATTCTAAAGCTCTACTCTCTCCTTACTTCCTTTTAATGTCTCAAGATTTATATCGTATCATTACGCGGAAATTAGGCCTTTTGTTTTGTATTTGTTTGGTAACAGCATTTCTATCTTCATCAGATATCTATTTTATTCATGTTTAACCGATTTGGTCATAGTTATGATTATGTATTGAGTCAATAAAAGTATTTGTATCTACCTGACTCCGTAATTTTGAATGTTTGCCCCGTTCCTATGATTATATTCGAGACACTCCCATCTATATCCATTGTTTCTTAACACAAAATGTGTTGTGCATCACGAATTATGCGACACGAATTATGCGTTGTCATGGCGCGCATGTAACTCAGTTTTGCTCTCGGTGTTGTCACGCATTTTTCTTTGATGAGGTCCTGCCGCAGGGGACGTGAGTCGTACTCCGTCTGGGGACAACATGGACGATCCTCCGGCTCCCAGTCCTAAATGTAACGTCACTGTAGAAATAAAGCTTACGGACACCGGCTTTTTTCACAGACACTCCTAAATTTCATCACATTGTCTTGCTGACAATTTGCACGTCTCTAAACAAGTGTCATGGTGTAAACTCCTGTCTCAATAATGAAGCAAAGGTTATATCTCTCTTCTTGTTTTTTATTCCGGTCCTGGGTAGCTTAATGGCTGAAAAGCTGGTTATTCATATGACCATTAGACCAACTAATTTTTTATTCATTGTTTATTTTTATTCATTTTCAATGTATTGTACCGAAGTCATAGTCTAGTATTCTTTATCGTAAAAAATCGTGCCTGCCTACTTATGTAATAGTTTATGTGCTTGTCCGATGTATCTTTACATCATTGACTTTATCCTTCACTTTGATAACTGCTTGTTCCACTTGAACGCCATATTTTCACTTCTTCCTGACGCATCGCGCCATTTACTACTGACTATTACATGACAGCTTCCCTATAGTATTATATACATTTTATTGAATGTTTATGGATGAAATTTTTTGAGTTGTTTTAATCATTCTGAACTCTTGACGATTCCAATCGTTTAATCTATTTGTATATTATCTTGGGGTTATAATACCTATTTCCTAGGAACTGTTGACTTGTCATAACAACAACGGATGATTTTGTACACTTGGTGTTTATTCTCATTAATGTTTACAGGAAACCAATGAGTATCGTCTTTGCATTATTTTTATTGTGAAGATTATATTGACTCGTTGTAATGAACAACGATCTAAATATTATAGAAAATATCGATGTATCGGATAACATGTCTCCGAAGTGTCATTCCTTTGTGTGAGTTGAACGGAACCTGATTTTTACCTTTTCATTCACGTCATTCTCATTGAATGGCATTGAATGCGTCTCTATTCAGCAAAAGCCTTCAGTTACAAGTTTGATTTAACCCGCAATGGCGACCTCATTGCGCGACGCTTTGGCTGTAGCTCTGAACATCGAGGAAAAAAAGGCATGCGCCTCTGTCTCGGCGGGGCAAAGTTCACAGAACGAAGTTTGTTTGAACCAAACTTTAAGTAATTTTCCGACGCCTCAAATTCAACAAAAGAAGGCTAATTCATCCGAAGAATCTACGCGTAACATTTGCTCCAATCAAGCGCCAGTTGTAGACACAAGTTCATCTTCAACGACTGCGACAGTTTACGCGGTCGTCTCCCAACCCTCAGAAATGAGTTCCAAAACGGGCGAATCTGAATCTGCCTCCCAGTCCTTCTCAGCGGACTCGACGTCTGATGTTCAGGCGTCCTACGCGATTGCGTGCGGTGAACAAATTTCTTTTATTAAAAGTATTGATGGTTTTTTAATATACGTTCCAACCGGTGCTGTAGTTGATGCAAAAAGCAGCGATCCACTCGGAATAATTCAAGATGGAGTGACCATTTCTCTGCCTGAGAATAGCAATTTTCCCGATTATTGCATTAATCCCAAACTAGGAATTTCCTGCGACGGCAACGAGACCAGTGAAGTTATCCCAAAAACTGAAGTTGCGTCTCCAGAGACCAACTTAGAAGCCTCTGAGACTCTCGAAGATCGTCTAGCGAAAAGGAACGCTTTGCTTCCACCTCGACAGCGTCGCAGGATTGCCCCTGATCCTGCGTTGACCTGCGTGATATGCACTCGAGTGTTCAGGACGACCAACGCTCAGCGTAAACACGTCGCTGTTTGTAAACGGAGACTTGATAACAACCTCGACCAAAAAGCATTAGAAGATCAATCTCGTCATGTATGTTCAGTTTGTCGCATGGTGTTCCCTAGAGTGCTCTTGTTACAAGACCACATCAATTTCGTACACAATAAGAAACGTCCGCTTACCTGTCCTCAGTGCCCTAAAAAGTTCTACAGACCCCACGACCTGAAAATTCACCTGAATATACATTTTGGTATTAAGAATTACGTGTGTGATACGTGCGGGAAACAGTTTCATCACATATCTAACCTTAAAAGGCATCAGCGAACGCACTCGGGCGTGCGGCCGTATGCGTGTGAATTGTGCCTAAAGCGCTTCTCACAAGTTGTCAGTCTTCGTATGCATATGAAACGTCATATCAATGTTAGTGGTGCGACTCAATCTTCCTTGAACACGAAGAAATCTCGTAGTTTTTATTGTCAATTTTGTGGCAAAACTTTTAACACCAAAGCTGAACGTGTTACTCACGAAAAAGAAACGCACGAAAACGTTCGTAAAGCCTGTTGTAGTTCGTGTGGTCGGGATTTTGCTTCGACAGAGGCGCTGAAGTCTCATATTTGCCATAAACAAGCCGGTAAACTTAGTACGCGGTGCTCCAAGAAAAACAAATATTTCATTGCCAAAAGCCCTATGGCGGTTTCTACCTCGAACGGAGTTCGAAATGCGATTCTGCCAGAAGCCTCGGGGAATGATTCTTCATCCCCTAGTACAAATGTCGAGACGTCCCAAATGGAAAACTCTGGTCTTGAGCGTTCTTCTATATCAGACCTCATATCAGCTAAATCGCCCCATTTTATTAACATTAGTTTAGATTCGGACAACCTTATGACGACGGCTAACGTCTGTACAACTGCGACTCGTAATTGCAGTGTTGACACGGTCGTTATGTACCTGTCTGCTAATGGCGGCGATCATTTATCGTATGTTGCTAAGGACGCGTCTCTTTTGAACAGTGACGGCATTAAATCGGCCACCAATGTATTTGAGCCCAACGAGACCATAGTAATTGATATGTCAGAAAATTCTTTGAATGAATCAAAGTCGCGCGATTCTGTGATCGACCCGAACGAATTTTGTTTGCATCCAACAGAGGTCACTTCACAAGCGTCCTCGAAGAAGGGTGAAGTTGAAAAATTTCGTGATGCATGTATAACTGACAGGCAAACCGTGCGTAAAGATAGCCTCGACGTAACCACCGAGTCCATTGATGGTATTAACTTTAATGAAGAGGTACGCGTGCACACAAATCTTGTCGAATCTGCTGATATAGACGACCAAAATAATGATAGCTCGAGCATTGATGGAGTTGTAAATAGAACATCGACAGCTTCGCCTACAGAAAATATTTCCCTTATTCCTTCTGATATCGACGTTTTGAGACTTGGCATCGACGAATTGCTTGCTGAAGATAAGAGTAATTTCAAATTGTACAGCGCATCTTCTAGAATGTTTGATGATTTGGGCCGTGTGGTTTTATCAGTCAGTTCTGCAAATCTAGGTACGAATGACATCGAAAACCATACTTCTGGAGTTTCGAAACCGTTTCTAAATTACAATTCTAACTCATTAAAAGATGTGAGCAACAGCACTGAATCTCGAAGCGTAAAATGTTGCAAATCAGATTCTTCTGATGTATTTGCACACGTTCGACCAGGACGGAAGATTCTGCATTCTCTCAGGAATGTCGCTGCAAATACTGCCTCGTCAAAAAACATTAAAAATAAAAACTCTTTAAGGAGTTCAAATTCCGTGGGAAAAGAAGCTGTTAGTCTTACAAAAACCGGTAAAATAACCCGCGTTCACGCGTCTTCTGGTCGCGGCATCGACAAGGAGAAAGACGGCATCACACATTCGACTGCAACAACGGACATCACTTCCGTTTCTTCTTCAGACGATAAACCAAGCTGGGAACTCGTTACTCCGAGTCAAGGGCCATTCCCGTGCCAAGTTTGCTCAAAAGTCTTCAACCGTAAATGGAACTTGGAACAGCACGAAGGCCTTCATTTTCCTGAGCGACAGCGCTACTTGTGTCGCTTGTGCCAGCGGTCGTTCGCCTACAGGACGACCTACCTCGCGCACAGGCGCTCCCATGACCACACCACCACGACCGTGGCCTGCCTACACTGCGGTAAGGTAGGTTGTCATTAATTTGACCACACCACCACGACCGTGGCCTGCCTACACTGCGGTAAGGTAGGTTGTCATTGATTTACATCTTCGCGTAAAAAATTACATCTGCATCAATTAATTTTACATCTTCAAATTGTAGTTTGAGCACTCTATATAACTTGAATTAATAGCGCTCAGTTCTGCGAGGTTTATATCTCGTTGTATGGACAGATATGGATTTATCATTTCAGTTTTATGGACTGTTTTGATTATTCTATGGACAGCTTTATTTCTTGAATATTATTGTATAATAAAAATAACATATTTCTTCATGGTAACAATAATAATAGAATAATTTTTTTGTTCATCCGAATTTAATGTACTTTGTTTTCAATTGCACCCGAGTTCGTTATCGCGTTAACGTCTACATGGTTCAACGCTTTAAATTATACTGGAACTCTGGAGTTATCAGCGGTTTTATCGTGTCAGGTTATTTGAGTCGCGCGAGTGTCGGTGGTGTCTTAGCGTTCGCGCGAGTCCTGGACGAACGATGAATTGTGTTATGGATTATAGTTATGTAATTCATTACACGTTATTATACAGGAATGTGGCTCATAGTTGGAGTCCAATATTTGGTGTTTGCTTTGAAGCTATTATGCGTGCTTTCGTTTGAAAAGCAATTTGTGAGTTTTTAGAATACCTCTCGAGTGATTCTATTTAGATTTTAGCGTCATAAGAACTTGAGAGTAAGGGTACTTAACCGGCCCTTTACCGCCTGACATGAGTAACCGGAGCAATATTGTCACACAAGCCTACTTCCCAAAAAGGATACGTTCTAGTGAGCGCAAAATGACTTGCACTGATGGTTGCCGCCACGTACGACTTAGTGTTCTCTGTTGCGTACAAACGTCCTGAAGTTGCTACACTCGATAGTTTACGCATAATTCAAGTTGAAAGTTATGTTCCCGGAGAGTGATGTACGGCGGTAAAGGGTTAAATGATGAAGAGCTTTGCGCCCTGATATGCTTTGTCAAATCTTTAATCACCAGTTATATCTTATGATTAATTTCTCCTCTATTAGTTAGTAGATTTTTATCTTACAAATATTTGTTATTAAAGTTTATGTGTGTAGTTTTTTAAGCCTAGCACCGTATACAAATGGGGGTTTCGGGATGATACCGGGACCTGAAAATGTATGGTACCTAATGAGAGGATAGTGAGACATTGCCAAACTGGAAGTGTTGTGTGTGGGTTTGAAGGGGCATTTATTTAACTAGCATATATCAGCTCTATAATTTTTTAACGGAATCGGGGTTCGCGGGGATGATAGGATTTAGGATAACACGATTCTAAAATTGCAGGGATTATCGAGCTCGGTCAACGTCGTGTTAACCTGGTATTTTATATAGTCTGAAGATATTACTGATATTTTGAATATATTCGAAGAATAAACTAAAGTTTTTAGCGCTTTGTCTGGCAGGAGTTCAAGAGCAGAGGCGCGATGATGGCTCACGAGCGCAGGATCCACCAGAGAACAAAGCCCCACAAATGCTGCTCCTGTGACCGCTCCTTCCACCAGCGCGCCGAGCTAGCGTACCATCTCAGGTACGTGGGTGTAGGATACCTCAGGTACGTGGTGTAGGATACCTCAGGTACGTGGTGTAGGATACCTCAGGTACGTGGGTGTAGGATACCTCAGGTACGTGGGTGTAGGATACCTCAGGTACGTGGTGTAGGATACCTCAGGTACCTGGGTGTAGGATACCTCAGGTACCTGGGTGTAGGATACCTCAGGTACGTGGCTGTAGGAACCCAAACAAGTACCAAGATTAGGATACCTCAAGTCTACCACCTGCTATTGGGTGCATGTGAGCCCCGGTCCACTAGGAACTCCACACAACTGGGTGTATGTGAAGTCATGTGCGTTCCCAAGCTCTCCCCCCAAACCCTCAAATTCACATATTAAAATGGGGTGATATGTGCCCTCGTCTATTTGGTCCCCGGACTGCATGGTGTTTGTTCCTCTGCTCAGCGTCCTCGACAGCTTGCATGATATTGCACTGCAGAACTCCGATCGATTTGCCTTTTTTCGAGTAATAGTGTGCGGGAATCTTGCTGCAATAGTAAACTTCACATCCGTCTCTGCTAACCTGTATGCGTTATTATGTCTCATTAGGAGTATAATTTTTCATTCAAAACGTCGGTAATTCCTAATACTACTTGGGATACCGCTCATCAACAGCCAATCGTTGCACTCTAGCTCGAGATCATCTTAGAACTTTCGTCAAGCGTTTTAATTTAGAAGCGAACAGCTGTGAATGGAACATACAATAGCATTCGATACTTTTTAAAACTTATTTGCGCAAGCTACTTCTAACTAAGAACAATGTACTAAAAAATCCGCTCAAATATAAATTGAACTGGAAATAATTAATTTATCTAATTGCACAGAAGCTTTTTGGTCACATGGTAATTCGTTAACTCATACTGCATAGTGTTTAAGGAGTTGTGTTCATTAGTTATACATTGATCACTTGGTCACGCATTAATCACCCACTCAATACACACTGCCTTTTGCTCGTTATTTTAAGACGTTGAGTTACAAAGTTCCATATTAATCTCTTTGTGGCGCATTAAGCACTCAATACACTGTGCTTTTTGCTCGTTATTTTAAGACGTTGAGTCATGAAGTTAAATATTGACTTTTTGTGACGCATGAAGCCCTCATTACAGACTGCATCGCAAGGAGCAGCCGTACGTGTGCTTCACATGTGGCCGCACCTTCGCCCACTCGTCCAACCTACTGCGCCACGAGCGCCAGCACTCGGGCGAGAAGCCGCATCGCTGTCCGGTAACTTCTCGTCACTAACGCGAGGCTGAATATTGCAGGGAGTCTATGACTGAGCATAATATGTTGTGCTCGGCTCATTGTTGCAAGTCGTGCAAAACTTCTTGTCACTAACGCGAGGCTTAATATTTCCAGGAGTCTATCACTGGGCATAATACGTTGTGTTCAGCTCATTGTTACAAGTCATGCAACCTTCTTGTGACCAATGCGAAGCTGAAATTTTCGAGGAGTCTATCACTGGGCATAATACGTTGTGCTCAGCTCATTGTTACAAGTCATGCAACCTTCTTGTGACTAATGCGAGGCTGAAATTCCAGGAGTCTATCACTAGGCATAATATGTTGTGCTCAGCTCATTGTTACAGATCATGCAAAACTTCTTGACAGGTTGTCACTAATGCGAGGCTGAAATTTCAGGAGTCTTATCACTGAGCATAATACGTTGTGCTCAGCTAATTGTTACAAGTCGTGCAGGCTGCGAGGCTGAAATTTCAGGAGTATTTTCTCACTGGGCATAATACGTTGTGCTCGGCTCATTGTTAAAATTCGTGCAAAACTTCTTGTCACTAACGCGAGGCTGAACATTGCAGGGAGTCTATCACTAGGCATAATTCGTTGTGCTAAGCTAATTGTTACAAGATATGCAAAACTTTCTAGTTACTAGCTATCTCTTCATTTAAATAAATTTTTGGTTTGTTGGAGATATTAAGAAGATGAATAATTTTTCAATGATTTGACGTGCTTTGAATGGCTATACTTCAGTATAATTTTCTTCATTTTACATTTATAAGTACAGTGCTGATGTATCCATGCAAGAATATCGTGTGTTTTTTCCTTTTTAACTTGATAGCTCGAATTCTACGAATTATTATCCAACGTTGATTTATTAGCTTTATGAATTATTGTCCAACTTTGCTTTATTTTGTGCAGTATTGTTTACAAGGCTTCATTCAAGCGGTTGGTCTTAAGCGTCACTTGAAGAAGCATCACTCAGAAAATCATCCCCTGCAGCGCTACCCTCTGAAAACGAGCAGACAAGAGGGCGTACAATTCTCAAGTAATTCGCTGAAAACAAGAACATGTAAGCCAGAGGACCTATTGCACCCACTCAAATCGCTGCCTCATGCACCGCCTGCCGAGCCTCCCGCAAACAAGGTTTCAACATCGTCACAAATTTATAAAGACAACTTGGGGTGCGACTCTACGTTGAAACTCCGAGTCGATGGCATAGAATCCAGTCAACAAGCTTCGTTAAGTAATATTGGAAATGGTCGCCTGCAGAACAATAATCAGACCGATAAACCTGCAGATTTTTCTTCAGTGCAAAATAAAAATGATTATGTGGAGTCATTCTCAGGCGTTACGCCTGATGTAGCCTGTCCCGATATTACCGACCACGCGATGGCCAATATAGGGGATGTATATGGCATCATATTCATGCAGTAGAACAAACTATTGCATGTATCATAGCCGGATGAACTGGTAACGCGGCACATTTTTCCGACAGAATCATGGTCAAATGCTAAATATGTATATTGTATGAATTAGTACAATGCCAAAGAAAACATTTCGTATTGCTCATACAATTTATCCTTTGTATTGGTGCCATGAACAAATCCAGTATTGGATTGTTCATGCACAAATATCATATTTTTTTAACAGCGATGTTGCAGTTAGCGATAGCCTCCGAGTGCGAGTACATATCTTTTTGGCAAGAAAGCTTGTGTTACTGAGCAATGTGACCTCATGTCCATACTTTAAATTAACTTCTGCTTATGTTTTGTAGCTGAATTTTATAATAATAAACAATTATAGCGGTTTCAGCGTTTATTAGGCCGTAGGCCTGTCTCCAATTCTTCACATCGCAGAATATTCACAGCTTCTTGCGATCTCGAACACGCAACTCACTGCGCCAATTTTTGCAGCAGTGTTAATCCCCCGGCCTCCTCTCCACTCCAATTTTGGTACTTTGAACTGTAACAACTGGGCCACCCTGCAAGTGTGATGTCCTCTTGATTAATAGAAAGTTTCATTTCTTTTTGCAGGAACCAAATATTTTGCAATTGAGACAAAATATTTGGGATAATAATTACTTAAGAAGATGTGGAAATTTATCCGGTTTTCTAAGTAAGATCTTTGAATACCTTAAATTACATTTTTATGTTAGGTTTTCAGCATTCATATCATGCACCACGGACAAATGAATGTGACGTGAAAACTGCTTCCGATAACGTCATTTATTTATTTTGTTTCATCCCATTACATCAAATATTTTGTTTTGGCGTATCTCATTAACCTAACCGCAAGAATCGTCATCGATAAATTTAACCTAGGACGTTTTTATGGCTGTTCTTGCGGCCGGTGTCAAAAGTTCAGTGAACTAAAATATATCCCAAACTAGTGAACACAGCTCGATTAAACTTCGCACACATGCCCACTAGGAGCTAAACATCATAGTTTGGTTCCAATAAATAGGTGTGCAAAGTTTCATCCAGCTGTGTCTATTAGTTTCCGAAATATTTTAGGCTCTCTGAACCTTGGACACCTGCCGATAAAGTGTCAGATAGTTATAAATAAACATAATAAATCTGTGTTGTTAATTCAAGCAAATCAGAAGAGGATCAAAGCATTAAATATTTTAAAGTAGGAAACAAAATTATACGAATTGATGTTTCATTAAAAAATACTTCCTACGTTTGCTCTCGAATTTGAAAATATCTGCGCAATTTCTTTTGGACAATTACTCTTTTTGAGATTTATCCTGCTTGCTTGTTTTCAGTAAAAATTTTTGTCGAGCTGTGTCATCAACGAAATGCATTTTAATTGAATTTTTAACGATAGGCATATCATAAATGCCATAATGTATAATAAATACATTAGACACTCAAACAGCATGATTGTCATTGATCATATAACTTGTTTTCTCATTATTTATTCCCAAGTCATATATTGGGGAAATAATGAGGTAAAACTTTGAAATAGCTTGACATCATAGTGACAGAAGGGAATAATAAAGGGTTTGATATGCGGCAGAGGTGGTTAGCGTCCATTCCTTATAAAGGAAATATTCTCATCGTAAGAACAAAACACATCTCTAAGCGTACATAAATACATTTCGATTCTATATTCCTCTTTGGATAGGTTTCAACCAGCGAAGTACGAATGTATTCACGCGCGTGTCGTGTCTTCTATACATTAGTCACAATAACAAGTTTGACTAGTTGTGCTCTGGCACTGTGCTTGCGCATAGGCAGTGTCTAGACTCTCTCCACTGAATTTGTGTTCCCGTGTTTTCGCCGCTAATGAATCATGCTAAAGTTTATGAAACACCAGCAAAAGCTCACTCCTGAGCGGATTCAAAAGCAGAAGGAGCTATTTGCTTATACAAAGGTACATAATATTTTAAAATTTTACTTGATTTAAATTAAATAAAACGCTTCAGCAGGACAGTCAGTCCGAAATCGAATGATGCACCTCAACGGGTTATGGCAGGGTTCAACGCCTCCCACTTACGTGACGACTGCAATCTGCAAATAATGTAGTTGCCGCCATTTATTCGAAAATTTACACTGCTGTATTTTAAGATTTTATAGGTACGCTCACTGCCACTGGGACTGGGGTTGTAATGAAACTAAAAATGCTTCAACCTGTTCAAATGATTCTTGAGAATTGATAGCCATACATGATAGTGCAGCCCATACTTCAGTCATAGTGGCAAAGCAGAGTTATTTAGACTCACCTTAAAGTTCAATTTTAACTCCTATAAGTAGACCAGCAAAATATTATGGATACCAGCATCATCAATCATCATACATAAAATATTAGTTTAAATCTTGAAATCTTGAGTAGGGTAAACGCGGTATATTCCGACACATTAAGGCCGCATCGAGAAATGAGAAACTATAAAAAAATAACCGAATGCGTTACTCAAGTTCTGTTTGCTTTACGTGACTTGCAAAACACCGCACTATGCGCCAGCAACGATGTACCATCACAAAGTGTTGCTATATTTATTTAAAAGCCTTTAGAATGCAAACTTAGGGTAAACGCGGTAGGGTAAACGCGGTATATTCCGACATTGTAGGTAATTCCGTCACTTCTCTAGTTTTTCCTTTATATTAAGCTTTGTTTTAGTTCCATGCGTTCATTGATGGTTGAAATGGTGATGTCATACATTTGCGTGTCGAAATACTGCAAAAACACTAGTCATCCACGTGTTTGAATTCCGTTTGCTGTGTGAGCTGTATTGGAATACAACACGGCTTTGAATTCGAACACTAATAAATATTGAATACTACTTAATTACACTTTTAATTAACAATTATTAAGCTTTTAATTGAGCAAATTTTAATTTTTGTACACAGCTTGGAACGATCTGTGTGTGTCCAATTCAAGTTGTGACAGAATTAGTTTACGTGTGTCTAAATCCATTTCTCAACTTAATCATCTATTAATTTATTTACCACTTGAAATCAGCAAATACAAGTATTCTTAAAGGATTCCTAATATATTCACAGACTATTTAAAAGTCTCGAACCATAATATTCTTCCTATACAAACAGTTATTCACTATTTGGTAGAGCAAGGTCAACTGTCAAATTTGACACATTTTTCGATGATCTCACTGGGTAGCGTGCATTGTCTCTCTTTGGATCTCGATATTTTCCCGCTAGATGGCCAAGACCTAGTGTTTTGGCAGTAGTTTGACGCGCAAATGTATGACGTCACCATTTCAACCATCAACAAACGCATGGAACTAAAACAAAGCTTAATATAAAGGAAAAACTAGAGAGGTGACGGAATTACCCACGATGTCGGAATATAACGCGTTTACCCTACCAAATCCCTATATTTTGACGCTGTGTGTGACTAAATTTGGCACATTGTGAGACGAATTCCGGCCATGCTTCAAACTCTACTAATACGTAATTCCAACATCCATGTGTTCAAATTCCGATCGCTGTGTGAGCTGTATTAGAATATGACATGGCCTTGAATTAGAACACTATTGAATATTGAACACTACTTAATTAAGCTTTTAATTAAGAAAATTTTAATTTTTGCACACAGCTTGGAATGAGCTATGTGTGTCCAATTCAAGTTGTGTCGGAATTAGTTTTTATGTGTCTAAATCCATTTCTTAACTTAATCATCTATTAATTTATTTACCACTTGAAATCAGCAAATACAAGTATACTTAAAGGATTCCTAATATATTCACAGACGTATTTAAAAGTCTCAAACCATAATATTCTTTCTACACAAACAGTTTATCACTATTTGGTAGAGCAAGGTCAACTATCAACTTTGACACATTTTTCGATGATCTCACTGGGTGGCATGCAGGCTGGAATTCTAAGAATGGAAGTTCACTTATAAAAAAGCTTTCCACCACCAAAGGTGAAAAGCTTTCCTTTGATGCAGTGCTTGGCCAGGTGATGAGGTGAATGACTAGCTATAAATGAAAAGGTGGATCAAAAGTGGACAAACTGTTTCAATTGTATAGTACCTCAGGTTTGCTATAGAATTATTTAGATGTCTCTTGTTTGGTGGATATTTTTTATTTTATTGAATGGATTTTTTTGAGAAATATCCAGGCCTTTTGTTTGTAATGATCAAGTTTAAGTTAAGTACATATTTAGTTAATCAGTACTGTAGTACATAAAAGATATTGGGGGCGGGGCTTATGGCACAACCAATCACAGCTTGAAAGCATCCCCATTAACCAATCACAACTTGAAAGCATCCCCATCAACCAATCACAGCTAGAAAGCAGATAACATTACAATTCCATTAACGAATCACAGCTGGAATTCTGGAAAAAGATAAAGATATGCAAATAATTGACTGAAAGTGTTAAAGTTCCTGACCTTTCCAAGCTTTCAGGTCCTGCTTTCCAATATGCTATGTGTACTGGTTAATTTAATATCCCTCTAGAATTCCACACTGGTGGCATGCACTGTCTCTCTTTGGATCTCAACATTTTCCCGCCAGACGGCCCAAACCTAGTGTTTTGGCAATAGTTTGGTGCGCAAAGGTATGACGTCACTATTTCAACCATCAATGAATGCGTGGAACTAAGACAAAGCTTAATATAAAGGAAAAACTAGAGAGGTGTCAGAATTACCCACGATGTCGGAATATACCGCGTTTACCCTACGTAAATGAGATAAATAAAAATGAACTGATTCTAAAAAATCACTGGTTTGTTACTATGCTTCAGTGGTTCCCAAAATCCCAAAGTTGGCAATATTGCCCCGCTAGGGGCGGTGGAAAGATTTTGGGGGCGGTAAGGAAGAAGAGGGCAGTAGGAGGGCGGCAGTCAGAAGTTCAAACGTTTGTTTGACAATTTATACACAACACATGCAGCACATGGCCCACAGCAATGTTTTTTTTTACCCAGATCTGTTTTTTTTAACCTCTCCTGGGTTTACGTCTCAGACAAATTAACGGCTGGACTCGCAGCTGGTCTCATGGCCAATTTCCAAATTCAACGTCAAGGAATATTTCTCAAACTAATGAACTTAACTCAATGAAACTTGGTACATGTATTTATTAGGACCTAACGGTACTAATGTTTAGCTTGCAAAAATGTTTTTAATTTTGCCTTCATTTGTTTTTGCCATAGCCGGCATGAACAATATAAAAAGGCAATACAGGCCAAAATTCACAGCAATACTGGCCGAAATTTACAATTTCTTCCAAACTACTGAACAGATTCTAACAAAATTTTGAATTTACTGCCCTAACTACCAAACAGTAATGTTTAGCGCATGAAAATTTTTGTATTGTGCCTATGTTCGCAAGTTTTATTTCATTTCACCTTCATTCATGATTTAAACAGCAATATGTGCTTAAATTTGCAGTAATAAAAAAATTTCTTCCAAACTACTGAGCAGATTTAAACAAAACTTTGTATTTAAATACCTAAACTCAGCAATGGTGATGTTTAGCGCGCTACAAATCTTTTGTTTTGCCTTTGTTTGCGAGTTATACAGCTATTTGTAAATGGCTCTTGGTTAAACCAGCCAGTAGAAAAGCCGGTCCTTCCTCCTATATCTGTATAACTTGCAAACAAATGCAAAATAGAAAAATTGTCACAAGCTAAACATCGCCGTTGGGAGGTTAGGTACTTATATTCAAAGTTTTGTTGAAATTTGTTCAGTAGTTAGAAGAAATTTCTTGATTACTGTGAATTTAAGCGACAAATTACCTGGCAATACGGGCCAAATATAAGGAAGTGTGGTATCAAGAATGATGGTGAAATGAAAAAAACCTCACAAATAAAGGTAAAATAAAAAAAATTTAATAAGCTAAAAAATCACTGTTTGATAGTTAGGAATGTATATTTGAAATTTCGTTCAAATCTGTTCAGTAGTTTGGAAGAAATTCTTTGATCACTGCAAATTTTGGCCTATATTGCAATATAACTTACAAATGAAGCTGATATTAAAAGAATTTTCATGAGCTAAAGATTTACTTTAGGTTATGATGAATACATGTTCCAAGTTTCATTGAGCTGCATTAATTAGTTTGGGAGATATTCCTTGATAATAGAATTTGGAGATTGATCGTGAGACCGGCCACAAGTCCAGCTGTAAATTTGCCCAAGACGTCCTCGGTTTCTAGTGCTGAAACCGTTAAAACAGCTAAAAAACATATTGGTTCACTAAATGGGGTTTTATTTGTGATATACACATTTGAGTTTAACCTTTATCTTTTTAAATTGCAGCGTACTAAATTTCAAGAAAGAGGCAAGTCTTTGACAAGTCTTTTGTCAGCCTTTCCAGAAACCTCCAAAATGCATTAAAATAATTGTTGGAATTATGTTGCCAAATTGCCAATAAATTAAGAATTTTGCTTTGTCTTGGTTGAGAAAAGCCAATGAAAAAAATTGCTCTGATCTGAATTGAATAAAATTTATAAAAAATTTGATACTTTCAATAAGCTTGTTTTTATATTCAATTGAAATATTAATAACAGTTAACTAACCTTCTAATTGCAATTCCTTACTTTGTCACATTGTGGTGAATATTAGTTACACCACAACATCAATGGTATAACTAACATACCGTAATGCATCTGCCAGTGTTGATGTTGAAGTTCAGGTCAAGTCTTGACAGTTATTACTGCTTACAATGCTCTTAATGTGTTTCAAGGAGGTCTTAAAACATCCATAGTGGTATTCAACAAATGGATTTAAGTTTTAACAAAACTTCCATTCCTGTGAACCAGTTTAATACATATATAATATTAAGAAATGGGGACAGATACTTCCAGGATCCATGATGATACCAGCCTTGGTCATGCAAATAACCAAATGCTTGAGGAAACTAAATTGATAAGAATTATGATACATAATGAAACCTATAAATAAAATTGTTTTCACATTAAGGAATAAGCTGTTGGAATGACTACCAAAAAAATGCAATGGAAAATTGGTTTAAAAAAATTACTCTCAACAGCAAAATGTAGCTACCATCTATACACCATTAATGAATGTAATTTACCTTGACACTTTGTTGTTTTGCTAGAGTCCTGCCAAAAATAACTGTTGATATTATCTTGAGTTTTCAAAATTGGTGCCATTTACACATTATCCCACTGATTCAATCACTATTTTGTATCAAAATTTCTTAACTCAAATGGTGTTTTGTTTTGGGTTAAAAGAGCACACTGCTATATTGCTGTAGTTTGGATCAGAACAACTGCTTTACTGCAGAACTGCTTTTTAAATTTGTTTTCTGAAGATGCATTTGATTATTTGATTTCAACATAACGTAATACCAGCTTATAATACTATGAGGGCTTACTATGTTGGTCTAATTTAATTTACACTTCTTGTTCTGTGATAAAATTTTCAGTCATTACCATGGCTAATAAGATCCAATGGCTGATGATGATAAATTAAATTTGGGCTTTAGTCTGGTACTACCTAAATCTTTTTTAAATTAGAAAAAACAAAAGGCAAAACTGTTCAACACTGTGGCAATTGAGATTTTTTTGTTTTGTTTTATGTCAACATTGGATTTCTGAAAAAGAATGAAGCCTATGTGTTTCAGAAGACAATTATGAATGTCAAAATTATGATGTGGCAAGCAGGGGAAATGCAAATAAGTCTGCAAAAGAACATCTTTTGATGTTCTGGTGGCAATTCTTTTCTGCCATTCTCAGAGCAGAAGTACAAACAACTTTACTTAACCAAAGCTCTGTCAAGAACTAGTGTAGTTTGCTTAAGGGGACCGGCTACCCTCCGGAAAACTTCTACAGTTATTATCCGATCATCATGAAACTTCACATACATACGCAAAATGTAAAAATAAGAACATTTTGCTTCTATGAATTTTTTGAAAAAATTCATAGAAAACATGAAATTCATAGAAAACGGCTAAAAAGGGGTACTTTAGAAAATCATTGTCCTCCTACAAATATCATCCTACAACATCGAGACACGTAACATTCGGTTCGTAAGGACCATACCTAAAAATTTGATGATAATTTTTCTCATTTTCCCCTTAGTTTTTTTTAAGCGTGTTTTATCCCAATTTTCTCATTTTCCCCCCTCCCCCCCTTCTCCCCCATATAAAAAATGAACCAGACAGAAATTCAAAAAATGATCATCAAATTTTTAGGTATGGTCCTTACAAATCGAATGGTGTATGTCTCATTGCTGTAGCTTGAAAACTGTAGGAGGACAATACAATACCGTGACAATAAGTTGAACTTTTCAGGACGGCGCAACAAAGTCCCGCGCGCCCCGAAATAGACACTCAATGTAGCATGGATACCAAACTACAGGCTTCTGTAGCTTAATCCACTCAAGAGTGCTAGCAGCAACTTGTAGCACACCTCTCCGTACAAAGTTACGAGGGTGACTGAGCTCAGATGCCAGATACATCAATATATGTAGTCTTGCCGCTCTAATTTTCTTAGGTCTATTTACTGAAGGAACTCCACCCCCCGCCCCCCATTAAAGCCCGGCCGTGTGCGTCAATATTGCCGTACATGAATCGCAGTAGTATCGTTGGAAAGCTCAGAATGTCAGCTTTAAGATGAGACTAAGCATGTAACTGCAGCACAACTCACGTAGAAACTATTTTCAAAGATTTCAGCAGCTAATTACTTTATATCTAATTAGTTAAAGAACTCTCCCACCCGCTTCCCTTTAAAGAGACGTCATTAACGTAAATATTGACGTACAGCGATGGCAGTGGTGCCATTGGAAAGAGCAGAATTCCAGCTTTCAGATGCGCACAAAAACCGTGCCCCCCATTAAAGCCCGGCCGTGTGCGTCAATATTGCCGTACATGAATCGCAGTAGTATCGTTGGAAAGCTCAGAATGTCAGCTTTAAGATGAGCACAAAAACCGGAAAACGCCAAAATTTAAAATTTTAGGGTAGCCGGTCCCCTTAAGAAAAAATATTAATCATTTGCCCCCTATTAATGCTGGTTTCAATGCTTCAATACAATACTATGCAATGAGAAATTCATTAAAGCTAAATATTATATACAAAGCATTATTAGGCCAATTACCTATAAGTAAATACATTTCTTGCAGGGACTTGTTTTGATGATAAAATGGAAATGTAGTGTAATAGGCCATTGATGGGATAATTTCTTTTCTGGTTGGAAAATGTATGAAAATTGAGTGCTGTTCAACAATTCTGCTTAAATTAATGTACTATCAGCTATGAATTTTCTATCAATTTAATGAATATACCAAACATAGTTGTTCCAGGAAAAAATCAAAGTGAGAACCTCATTAATAATTATTTCAAAGAAATAACAGTAATTTTTTCCTAGCTAATTATTTACATAGTAATTGTATAATGAAATCTTAGTTTTGTAACGAAATTCATTTTTCTATGAAATGAATATTGCTCTTGATTGAGGCTTTTTTACCAATATGTTTGTTTTGATTTTCTAGAGAGAATGTTGAATCAAAGAAATATCTGAAGACATTTTTGTTATTTTTGGGTCAGGACTAAAGAAAGATTTATTGTACTAAATCAATATTTCAAAAGCATACAAGATGCTGCCTGTTCAAATCAATCCTAACCAATATCAAGTATTAATGTTTAATATGAATATTTTTAACAATGGTTTGTTCATTTACCATGACTCAGATCAACAACCAATTTTGTTTTTAAATCATGCTTTAAACATTCTGTACAATACCGTAAAATGGGGTAACTTTGACCACTTATTTTTCAAAATGATGCCATTTTTTTCTCTTTTTCATGGGTCACATTTTTAATTTTTTAACCTATTAGATATGCAAACTTTTTAAATCTTTCTATTGTGTTATGTAGCCTCAGTATTAGGCCTTTGATGGCCATTGACAAAATTTTTCTATGTCAAATCGTTTTTGAGTTTTGGGGGTTTTTGTTAAAAAAAAAGGAAAAAGTGGTCAAAGTTACCCCGCCGGTCAAAGTAACCCCATTTTACAGTACTATTTTTTCATAATTTTGCTTTTAGAATCATGACTCTGACTATTTTGTCCTAATTATGAACATCTTTGTGTATTTTTGCTTGAGAATTGACTGCTAGACAAGTACATGATAATTTGATGGTTTATGTTGTGCTTTACATGTTCTATCTCATCCTCCAGGCCTGCCAGCATGGCTTCCCCAACAAGCCCTCGGCCCTGGCTTACGACCCCGAGTTGAAGCTCCTTGCGGTGGCTACACGAACTGCTGCTGTTACTGTGTATCCTTTACTCTGTACAAATTGTGATCCATATACTACTATAGTATATTTATATTTTCATGTTATAAACTCTTGTATTCTCAGTTGGGACTAACTTGCTGACTTTCATTTAAGCTATTTACTCACTATGACGAAGAGAAGATTTCTTGTGGAAGTGTTGAATCATTCAGGCATGGCATGGCATGTCTTCTTAAGCTGATATCTCAAGTGCTCTTGACTTTTTATTTAGTGTTTTACTTGCTTGTATATTCATTCTATGCGTGTACACTTGGATTTCTTATTTCTTTTTACTTCAAGTAAAAGTTCTGCACGTTATAATGACTCACTTCACTCATTGTGTAGTAGGTATACCCATTGTAATTCACTCAGTATTTTCCTCGTTGCGTTCTGCCTTACAGTTACTTAAAGATCTGCCACAAATATTTTAATATAAGGAAATGCTGAGCTGTGAACCATAATATAAGGGCATGCCTGATGCATTCAACAGTAATTTGACCAAAACTGACAGTTATACTAATAGACTGTCTCTCGGCGTCTATGTTACCATAAGGATATGCACTAATTTTCACTTCCCCAAGATTTCTTTAGTATCAATTGTTTCTGCTGCATTGTTTAAAAGCTCATGACCTAAATAATTAAGCAAATTGCAGATAAATTCCTCTTGAAAAGGCGTTGAGACCATATTCGTGTTCAAGTTCTTGCTAAGCAGCCAGACGTGCGGGTAAGAAGGTAGAATGTCTGACCCAACTGTGGTCGCTGGTTGCGTCGTTGTAATGCCGTTATTGGGCTTGAATGGTTCTTGATTGATTCTGATTGGTGGTCAGCACCTCGACATAAAATGCTTCTCGAGCACGTCTCCTTCTGCAATTCTAAACTTCGTAAATTTTCACGATTTAATCCAGTTTCGTTCTTTTCTTCAATTAAATTTTGTGAACAGAACCTAATTATTCACCGATCCTCAGGCTTCGAATTCTCTGTCTTAGTTTGCTTTTGATTGACGTAAGTAAAGTGGAAATTGTTTCTCGACAATAAATTCCATTTCTGAATAATAAATAAATAATTGAAATAATTCCATTTTAGCAAGAAATTCCATTTCTTCTCTACATTGCAACTCCGTTCTTTGGTTACATTACAACCCTCCCCTCCTGTATGAGAATTTTCTGCTGTCGTCCATGAAGCCGTGTCGTGCGAGCGGCGCTCAAGTGGCACCTCAAAGACCCACTATATTGAGCCACTGTGGCGAGCTCTGTGGCATTGTTGCCCCATTGGCCGACGGCATAACCTTGCGCTGCATAAACCATCTATATCACTAGATAATCAATCCTATTTATCTCATATTCTTCTATTGCTTGACTAGCCTAACTTTTGTCGTTTAAATCTACAATACCTATACTTTAGAGCCTCGAATTTAGCTTAACGTTGCCACACAAGATTCTTTTCAAAGTTTTTTTTCCAGCATTACATTTAATGATAAAGCCTCAGTATTTCAATGGAGTTTTATTTGTTTGAAATCAATTGATGGAATTTTCTCAGTCTTAGAAATGGTACCCACATTTTTTTGAGTCATGAGTAGATTGTTCTATATTTATTTACCAAATGTTTGTTTTGCCCGAACCAAAATAAGTTACTGTGTTGCGCCTTTTGCGTACCTGTTTCTCATCTTATTTTTCCATTATTCAACCAACGCGTTTGGTCTCGTCCTTCTTATCTCTCCTCTCCATTCTATTCACATACTTATTATCAGTTGATATCGCCTCACGCACCCGTGCAATGTGATGCGATCACCCGTGCGATGTGATGCGATCACCGTGTGTGTCATGTCGAGCATGTGATGCCTCTGCAGTTGTCCGTTGCGGGCTTCGCTATATGCCTTTATTTTCTCTGTCATTTCCTGTTGATAGTTTCATGCCCATGCTTTAATTTTCATTGCTGTTACGTTCAGGACTCTTTTGTTCTGAAATATTCTTTGGTGACTTTTGGCAAGATTTCCTCGCATGAGAACCAAATTTAGTTAATGATTATGACATAGTCCTGACTAAATTGCATGAACATATTTGTACGCACTGCATTTTGTGGAAGAAAGGTGTAGAATGTTACGTTGTCGTTAGAACAATTTTATATTTATCTTTAAAAATTAAAGTTTCTTCGTTCCTACTACCTTTAATTTTGTATCATTTTGATTCAATACGAATGAAAACATTAACAATGACATTAAATAAGTACAACTGTTATTTATCATTGATGTGAGTGGCCCGTGACTGGTTACAGAGAAATGACTAATCATGTTATCGCTCTCTACTCTGCCGCAGTATCAATACTAGAAGCTTATAATGTGTTACGTTATGCGCGGCTGTCGCCATCGCTCATTGTCTCGTTGTTGGCTGCGGGTGTAATTAGTCTTTATAATTCCTGTAATCACCGGACAAGCTAATAATGACACGTGGCTAACGATGCTACGCTCAGTAGTCAATTGTTGCATTTAACAAAATTTTAGAAAACAAATACATCAATTTTAATCAATCATGAAGTCTGAAAATTCCCGCAATCCGTGGCGTGGCGGCAAGTATCGGATGCGGTTCATTATCAAGAACAGCGATCACAATAAGTTTCCTTGGTCGTTATTTGTAATTTAAGTCAATGGGCCAGCGCAGCTCGTGCTTCAAGTCGCTTGTAATCGACTTAGAGTCGCGGCTGAAAAAAAAGTTCGCGTAGAAACTTTTTTCCAGCCGAGTCGCGGCTAGAAAAGTTGCTTGTTTCTACGGCACCTTAGAGGGGCGGGTGCCGAGGGTCGTCGGTCTGGAGCCCTCACTCCGGATAATCATTAGGTTCTGCGGGGGAAAATTACACCAATTATTTACGGCTTGTGGTTGACCCGTAGATATTTTCCCTCTAGGAGATCAAGCGAATGTATGCGGGGTTGGTTTGGAGTCTTTATAAGCCAGGAGTATAATTCATTATTTCTTATCAGGAAAGCTCTGTTATTGATACTTGTATTTACTTCAATAGTTTATTTTATTGACCGACTTGACACTCATCTATCCAACTTATACTGTCAATAATAATAGAATTCATTGTAATTACGACAACCGTAAATTGTGGCGTATATAATGTGAGCGAACGCAAAATTGATGCACTGCAGCTTTCAGTTATTACTTCAGGTCTGTTAGGTATGACAATGTTAGGTCCCAGTGAACAAGGTACTTCGGTGGCAGTGGTAGGTATCGCTGTACAAAGGTAGGTATCGCACCCCGGACAGTGTTAGGTCCCAGTGTATACCATACAGGGTATTGTGCCATTATACATGGCACCTCGTGCATTTGAAGTGACCGGTGGTCAGCAATGGAGAGGATGTCGCTCGTTACTGGCAGCCTCCCTGATGATGGCGACTATGACGATGTAGTTGTTTGGACGAGCGCGTTTCGAGTGCGAGGCTATGGACGCTTTCCTTTTTATTTATTTTTTTTTTCGTTACTACTTACGTGAGTCGTGACGGTCGCGCCGCGCGTTCACGAATTCAGAGTCTTTGGCTGTCACCATACTGGATGCGCTGTGCGCTTTTTGGATTTGTACGCGCAGGTTAAAAGAAAGAGAAGTTGTATATTTTTCTAAATAAACTCAGTATTTTGGGTGATGATAAAAAGATGTATAGACGGTTGGAATTTGTTGGAATTGTCGCATGAAATTTTGATCTCAAAATTCATTCTTCCACTTTGTGAGCGATTTTGAATTTGAATTGTCAAATCGTGGATGCGGATCTTACTGTAGAAATAACGCATATATTCAGAGCACAAAACTTCAACCCTCTTAGTTATAACCCTTCCTAACTCGATTTCGCGGAATTTCAGGAGTTTGCCGCGGGCGATTTTGAAGGGTTTATATTTTTTTTAATTAGCCTGCAGCCCGCCTCGTGATGTCCGAACAATTGTCATCGTGGCGCGGGGAATGAACAAGCGGCCACATCTTTCTGCCGTCATTCTCCTACTGGAAGCGGGCCAAACTCGGAAGCTTTTATCTGACTAATTTTCCACGAACTGGCCTCTGAAGAAGACGTAATGTGCTGCAAAATAAGAATGTTTTAGTTCATTAAAGTAAATGGGAGAGTGGTTGTGCAGTACGAGCGCTGTAACTGCCTCATCAATGCCAGACAATGAGGGGAGGTGGAGGCAGGGCGGAGAGGCGGTCTGTATGCCTTACGTGACTCCATCTGCCTTCTCTCTGACGCCAACGACCGCACGGTCCACCAAGTTGTTTTTATCGTCGAGTATTTTGTTATTTTTTTATTGCACTAGGTGCTAACCAACTTGGTCGGTACTTCACACCCTTGACATTGTCTCGCTATTTTTCTTTACTCGTATCCCAGATAATGATATTAAAATAACTAATTCATATGTGCTTTATGTTGCTTGAGTTTACCTGTGTAGAAATAAATAGTCTATTCTTCTAGATCAGATTGTATCAGTCCTAAAACCAAATAGATATAATTTTTTGATTCATGCCGTAATCCAAATGTGACTAACCCAGCTTGCTGTAATACCTTCGTATTCTGGCCATACTTTCAAAAATCGCTAAGTGAACGTAAGTTCATCAGCCAATCATTGACGGTTTTCCAAGCAAAATCCACCAATCATAGACAAGAAAATAGAGCGTAAGTACTTACGTTCACTTAGCGAGTTTTGAAAGTATGTTGAACCATAAAATGTCCATGCGCTGCACAAGTGTCGTATGCAGCGAGTCGGTAACGCGTATGCGGCGCTACAGCCGCGTGTGTCTGCATGGCCGCGATATCGATCTTCTGGTGACGTGTTGGATCCTTTGCGGATCTTTGCCCTCTCCGGAGTGCGTGAAAAAAGAAGCAAAAAAAAAAGCCGTTGCTTTTTTGGGACACCAGCTGCAGACCTTACCTTGAATTTGGCTGAGTTGATTTTCCGGTTCCCCTAGACGCGGTGTCGTTGAGTTCCTTGCGACAGCGTGAGCACGTTTATTGCATCTTGCTTATTGTGTTCAGTGTGAAGGTGCGTGTATAGATGTCACTTTTGAGTGCTTTTTATATCCAATTGATCTGTGATAATTAATTAATTCTGCCAATGACGTACGTTGGAGAAGTTGACGAACGTGACAGTCGAGGTTGTTGAACCTGATCACGTCTAATCTATTTATCATTGCAATTCTTACAGTCATGCATATCCGCGCTGCGTGTAATATCGAATTGTTTGATTGTTTGAACCGAGGCTTTAGCCGCGAGCTGTTGCACAACGTATCAGTTCAGCTCCTTTCTGTTACGAAACGTATTAGTTTAACTGCCTGTTGTTACACAACGCATCAATTCGCCTGCCTGTTGTTACACAACGTATCAGTTCACCTGCCTGTTGTTACACAACGTATCAGTTCACCTGCCTGTTGTTACACAACGTGTCAGTTCACCTGCCTGTTGTTACACAACGTATCAGTTCACCTGCCTGTTGTTACACAACGTGTCAGTTCACCTGCCTGTTGTTACACAACGTATCAGTTCACTTGCCTGTTGTTACACAACGTATCAGTTCACATGATGGCTGTTGCGCTACGTACAAATTCACCTACAGTATTGCATAAAAATGATGAAATATCAATTCATCATTAATTTATTGCATATACGTAGTGTAAAAATTCACCTGCTGCTCGTAGCAATTTGACAACATTAGCGTCATATCCCGTAGGTTTACCTGGTCAAGTGCGTTATTATATCTGTATCTGACTATGATTATTTCTCTACTTCACACTATACTCAGTTGCTTGAAGTTCCCTATAGGTCTAGAACCTATAGGTTTATAGGGAACCAATCAAACCTATTGGTCTATAGGTTGGATTGCGTTACTTGTTCTTGCACTAACCACATTTCCAGTTAAATTTCCTTGACCAAGGCAATACAGGTACGGTGCACCGGGGGTTGAGTTCTACGGTCAACATGACTCCCACGATCATGCCGTCACCGCCATCTCTTTTGTACCTGGCAAGGTAATATTAGTATTAAATAAAAACTCTGTTGTCATCCATTTTACAAACTGTTCTTTAAGTGCATGAAAATCTCAGTGCGGTAATTTTAATAAGAATACTCAGAGCCACAAACAAAATTGGTGAAATTTGTTATTGTTTCATTGCTTGGGTTCACAGCTTGCCATCTCATTTTTGTACCCTTAGTGGTTCCCTGTTGATAAGATATTGTTTTATTTGTTAGTTATTTAATCCATGTACATTTATTGATTGCTGGATCAGGGCCAGCTGGTGACGCTGTGTGATGACAACAGCCTCCACCTGTGGCAGCTACAAGCAGATGGTGGGCCTCAGTCCAGCCAGCTGCGCCTCCTGCACTCTGTTTCACTGGAAGGAAAGTGCGTATTTTTTAAAGAAAATCATATCAAATTATTCATGGCAGTGAGGATAATTAACTAGTTTAATAAATTGATAATTATAAGTAAGATTCAAACCATGTGCAATTGAGAAGGCAACGGATTTAATTATCAATTTTTTTATTCAGAGGTGAATGACGAAAATATTCACAGTACCTTCATATTATTTTCAAGTATTATGTATATATGCAAGATAACAAATATTTTTGAAAAAGACAAAAGTTTCAATAGAATTATCTCTTCATGAAGTAATGACCTGCATAGTACCTATATAGCCTCGTGAAGCCTGCCTCCAGAAGACGATGTTGGCAACATTATCTGTGCATCCGCTAACTTATTACTTATTTGGCCAGACTGAAGAGGATCAGCGTGATCAGCTGTGGCGTGGGCAGCAACAATGTGCTGGTGGGCACCGAGGGCGGCAACATCTACTTGTGCAGCCTTAAGACCTTCACCTTCTCTGACAACATCATCTACCAGGACGTGGTCATGCAGAAGTGAGTAGCATCATCTACCAGGACGTGGTCATGCAGAAGTGAGTAGCATCATCTACCAGGAAATACCTCAGTAGTATCATCTACCAGGACGTTGCCTAGGGAAATGGAATTCTACTCTTCTACCGTTAACTTTCAAGTTTTAAAGCAGATTTAATTTTTGTATTCCTAATTAATTACTGATTAATGATAGACTGTGCTGCTTTCATTGTTAAATTCTTAAGATTTCTGTCTACTTTTTGTTTGTGAGCATTTTACTTGTACTTCATTATCAAATTAAATAATTGAATGTTCACTTCCGACAACAGTTCAATATTTCAGATAATACATACCAGGTAAATATTAGTATAGTGTTCTCAACTAAGTTCCCTGTTATATTAACTATTTTCATCCTTATTATATTTATACTGCCTCAACTAAGTTCCCTCTTATTTTCAATATTATTATCCTAATAACATTTCTACCTCCAGCGTGCCTGAGGTGTACAAAGTTAACCCCGGTCCAGTGGAGTCTCTGTGCCAGCATCCTGCCCAGCCTGACCGCGTCCTTATAGGATACCAGCGCGGCCTGGCTGTGCTCTGGGATATGCCTTCACTTACTGCTCTGCAGGTCCTTGTAATCTTGTGCATTGTTAACATAGCTTTATTATAGATAATGCATTGTGAACATAGCTTCATTATAGATGTATGTCTGTTCATTATATACACCTATGTAAACATGACTTCATTATATGTCTGTTGTGTCTTACTTCATATTCTTCATAGTCTGATGTCGTCTGCTGTTTATTTATGATGCCATCAGTCCCCATCACCCACAGAAGTGCAGGTCCCTTTAAAAATGTACATTACGAACATAGCTTCAGTATCTTCCTTCGCATCTGTTTTTTACAGTCTGGTTGCTTTCAAGATTTATTACCTTGTAGAAATAAACGTAGAAATCATTTGTTATGGTTTAATCGTTAATGAGGCAATACGCAATAGGGTTCTTTGCAATGTCAATACTGTCTGCTCTATATGGTTTTTTAGATTGTCACCGAATTCTGATATAAGTTAATATCTCGGGGTAAGTTTTTCTTAATTTTTTTATCTGATTAAAAGTGTAAAAATAAGCATGCTTGACGACATTTTTATTCGAAAACCTCTGTGTTGCATGAAAAAGTCCCACGCGTTTTATGCTAACAACAATTTGAAGGACGATGTTCTTATCTGAACACGCATATTGACGGCAATCCTGGAAATTTAATTCACCAGAATCTGAAAATGCATGTTTATGGCAATCCTGGAAATGTAAATCCACCAGACGTACGTGGACCTATGTGTTACATGAAAAATCTCACTCGTTTTATGCTAACAACAATTGGAAGCACGATGTTATTATCTGAAGATGCATAATTGATGTCAATCCTGGAAATGTAATTCACCAGACGTACGTGAGCCAGCAGCAGCTGGAGAGCATCAGCTGGCACCCTGATGGCACGCGCTTCATATGCAGCCACAACGATGGCTCTGTCACCATCTGGCCCTGTGTCCTGCCAACTCAAGGTTTCCTTATCTAATTTACTATCTTTATTCATCAAAACATCTATAAATGCTTCTGATTTTATTTTTCTAATGTTTGAAATCGTGAAATGCTCAATAATGGTGCAAAATATTTTGAAGATGTGATATCGCTTATCTAATTTAATACAATTGCTTATCTAATTTAATATTTTTATTCATCAAGTAATATATAATTGCTTCTGATTTGATTTTTTTCATGTTTTTTTTCAAATATTTTGAAGATGTGATATTATTTACACTATGATGAATCAAGGATACTGTAGAATTTTCGCAAATTCTAACATTGAAATCTTTGATCGGCAGGAAATTCTGAAGTAAACAAGCAGCCGGAAAGTTTAGACGGACCGAACACAATCTACGGACCCTTCCCCTGCAAGCCCATCACTAAAGTGGAGTGGTGCCGTGCTATGGGGTCAGTGATTAGCTCCTGCTTACTTGTTAATTCTTGCTGTCTTATTAGCTCTTGCTGTCTTATTAACTCTTGCTGTCTTATTAGCTCTTGCTGTCTTATTAACTCTTGCTTCTTATTAACTCTTGCTGTCTTATTAACTCTTGCTGTCTTATTAACTCTTACTGTCTTATTAACTCTTGCTGTCTTATTAACTCTTGCTGTCTTATGGAAGCTAGTATATATCCTTGGCCTGACTCGAAATTCCAATCAATACCACGCGAAAAAAATATGAGCGGTTCAATAATAACTTATGAATCTTATCATGTTCATTTATTTGTGCATTAATGTCCATTAAATTTATTTTCGGGGAGGAAGGCATCAAAAACATACCTATTAAAAACGTATATATTGGCAGAGAAATGTGTATGTATAATTTATGGCAACGTTTCTACACTGAAGATAAATAGTTAGTAATGTGTATATTGTAAGATATGTTTGTGTGCAGCACGGAGGGCAGCGACCTGCTGGTGCTGGGGGGCGGTATGCCCCGTGGTAGTCACGGGGACCGCAACACCGTGACTGTGATGCACTACAGCGGCGAGCAGCACGCAGACTCCAGCACCGACCAGCACGTCACCTTCAGCCTCTCATCCCGCGTTGTCGACTTCTGCGTCACCGACCGCCACTACGACCGCGTCAACGACAAGACGGGCGAGCAGACTGGTCAGGGGGTGATGGGTGGGCAGCAAACTGGTCAGGGGGTGATGGCTGGGCAGCAAACTGGTCAGGGGGTGATGGCTGGGCAGCAAACTGGTCAGGGGGTGATGGCTAGGGAGCAAACTGGTCAGGGGGCGATGGGTGGGGAGCAAGCTGATCAGGGGGTGATGGCTGGGGAGCAAACTGGTCAGGGGGTGATGGGTGGGGAGCAAACTGGTCAGGGGCTGATGGCTGGGGAGCAAACTGGTCAGGGGGTGATGGGTGATGGCTGGGGAGCAAACTGGTCAGGGGGTGATGGGTGGTGACTGGGGAGCAAACTGGTCAGGCTGTGATGGGTGGTGACTGGGGAGCAAACTGGTCAGGCTGTGATGGGTGGTGACTGGGGAGCAAACTGGTCAGGCTGTGATGGGTGATGACTGGGGAGCTCAGTGGTCAAGCTGTGCGCGTCCCAAGTGTATAATTATGATCGCACCAGCAACAAGACTGATGCGTGCTCTATTCAAATCCTGAAATTTAAAAAGTATTTCCTTCACCCAATTTTTATTGTCACTACCAATTAATTTTGTCGTGCGTCGTTCACATCTCATATTGAGATCTGTGTCGGTAATTTTGCTGCATTTTGCTATGAACGGGGTTGTTTGGCTGGAAAAGGGTATCTCATATTCGATAATTGTTAAAAATGTCGAGGAAACTCAGGCTGAATTCCAACACTTATAAAGATTAATTTTTTAAACTCATGCCGATCAATTGAACTAAGTTTTATTTTTCCCTAGACACGTCTGTTGCGGGGTGCCTGATCGTGCTGTGCGACGAAGAGATCGTCTTCATTGACTTGTGCTTGCCAGAGTGGCCGACTCTGCCACAGCCCTACCTCTGCTCCCTGCACTGCTCTGCCATCACCTGCACTGCCATCGTCTCTAACCCCCTCCCTTCCGTCTACGCCAAAATAAAGGTTTTATCGGCTATTTTTTTCTTTCACTGCTGTTTTTTTCACTTGAATAGAAGGTTCTTAATCTCATTCCTAGTTCATTTTACAGAAAACGTTTAGTATTATCTTTGCAGTTTATTAATTTATTTAAAGTTCCTTATTTGAATATATTTATTTTATTTGTTCTACCATTAACAGTGATCATATCTCAGTTTACTCGAATAAACATTGCTTAATATCCTCCTGTTTTCCTGCTTATTATGTTTATTTTTAATTTATGCATAGCTGCGTTTAGATATTTGCCCCAAGTTCTGATTTGAGAGATAAACTTCCAGATCTGTATTATATTCAAAAGAAATACACTAGTGTTGCTCTCTCTTTTAGGGTGTTGAAATAATAAGAAGCAATATTCGTAGAATTGGCCATTCATCTCATACCATGCTATATGGTATATGCTATATGCCATTTGAAATATGCTATATGCTATAGGTATGCAATATGCCATATGCTATACGCATGCACTCTGATTTGTGAAGCAACATGGATATTCCAGTCAGGCAATTGTGAGCCTAAATGTTTATTTTTTTTCGTCATCGCGTTAATTGTGTTTTGTGATGATGGGCTTGCTGTGAAGAATAAATTATTTTAAAATTCCCAATTATCTCCATCACATTTCTTATTCTAATATTAACTCAATAGTGTGAATATGGCGTTCTAGTTTCTTTTTTATGTGCCATTAAATTTTATTTAATTGAATAAATTTAATTAAATTAAATATTAAATGTTGTCTATTATTATTTGCGTGCGCAGGCTGCGGGTGCTGCTGGTGTGGGGAAGGATGTATCAGCTCAGGCATTCCCCATCTCAGGGGGCGTGGCCGCCCCCCACTCTGCCCCATCACCTGACACTCCCCAGGACCTGCTCATCACGGGGCATGAGGACGGTGAGGGCATCCACTCTACGCTTGATTAAACCTGCAATTTTTCCAGATTTCTTGACAATTTTTTAATGTTTTATTATGTTTCGGTGTCTATATATTCACTAGCACATCAATTTTCGTAATGTTTCCTTATGTTTTGGTGCTTATATATTCACGAGCACATCAACCTTGTATGCGTAGTTCTTCAGTCATCTTCTGTTTACCAAAAATGTTCAGTCTGAGACAGCAGCTGCGTTTTTAGCGCATTTCCTCATTTATTGAAAAAATGCGCTATTGTGCTCTTCATGTCCGTACGTCCGTCCGTGACTTCACGTCAAAGATGGACGAGAAAATGCGCTCTCTATCACTCACTGCAGTGAGTACTGAGTTATATTTTTCATCGTTTTTTTTCTAACAACATACAAACCGTGCAGGTACGGTGAGGCTGTGGTGTGGGGGCGGTGTGTGCGTATCACTGCTACACACCATCAACACGGCCACGATCTTCACGTCTGACGAGCTGCCTCCTGACGACGGCGCTGGCGCAGAGGACGATGACTGGCCTCCCTTCAGAAAGGTCCTTCTTGTCAAGCTCAAATAATGCAATATTTCACCATTTGTTCATTTCATGATGAAATTATCAAAGTTTTTAATAATAGGCCTATAAGATTTCCAAAATATTTCGTTGCTGCCGGTAAATTAGTATGTTTAGCTTCTGAAATTTTAATAAAATTCTTATAATTCTAATAGTAATGTAAATTTAACAACGACTTAAATTGTTAATTAAAAGAGAGAAGTGTTATTCATTCATAATCAATATTATTAATAATTATAATGATAATTAATATTATTAATAAGTATGTATTGATATTTATTAAGAGTTATTTATGAATCTTTTTCAGTAATGCAAGTAGGGTTGGCGAAGAAATTTTCAATCAATTGTTGAATAATTTTTAGAGTGTGCGGTCAGCTTGTGATTCTTTACACTTGTTAATTCATGTCCAAGCGTCTCCAAGTCTTCATTGATTCTAGTGAAAGGCCTAATCAGTATATAATATTTATTCTAATTTTCGAAACATTTAGTGAAAATATTTTACCATGCTTGCTGTTTAAGCCTTCAATGGATAGTTAAGTTTCATTTGGCAGCTAAAAATGTTGAAATATGAATACTTTCACATAAATATTATACCTATGAGTATTTTTCGGATATTTCACTGTTTTCTTCTCAATACATCGCCGTGAGAAGCAAGCCTTGGTGCGTGCATCACTCTATTTTCCAAATAATAATCCTTGATAATAAGCTTGGATTATGACCGATGATATAATCATATTACAGACAGGTTTGTTCTACCCTTTTTTTTTCTAAATAATAATTTGATAATAAGCTTGGATTATGACTGATGCTATGCTTATATTACAGACGGGGTTATTCGACCCATACAGCGACGACCCGCGCCTGGGCATCAAGAAGGTGGAGATGTGTGGGCTGAGCGGCCAGCTGGTCGTGGCTGGCACAGCTGGACAAGTTATTGTCATCAACTATACGGACAGTACCACTTCTGAACCTGCTAAACTACAGGTAATTAACTAGTTACTGGTGATAAACTAATTGTACTTTCCAAACTACAAATGCTAAACTAGTTGTACTTTCCAAACTACAAATGCTAAACTAGTTGTACTTTCCAAACTACAAATGCTAAACTAATTGTACTTTCCAAACTACAAATGCTAAACTAGTTGCAGGTCCTGAATATGTTAACATTCACAGCTCAATTTATTTACGACACATTGCCTGAAATGAACGTGAAGTTTTTCTTTATTTATTTGGTGTGAATTTATTTCCTGTGATATCTCTAAATGTTTAGTAGTATCAGATTGCATTACTATACAAATTAGCTCTTGAATACAGCGGAGAAATAGACTAGGTTAATATCTATGGCAACTATTATTACATGTTATCTATGGTAACTTGTATTACATGTTATCACTACTGCAACTAGCATATTATTTTAATATGGTTATTCTGCACTGATTTTCCAAGCTATTCTAATTGTATTATTTGAAATTCGCTGCAAACTGTGGAGCTCTAACTCAGAATTATTTCAAGTAAAGAATTGAGTGATTATCTCCGTATACGGGGATGCCGAAAAATTGCTGATGGTGTGAACCTCACGTCAAATTTTCATTGAATTCCTAATTCTACCTTCACATGTTCTGTAAATTGATTATAGTTGAATTTAGTATGGAATATCTGAGCTATTATGTAGCATAATGATGTAATAATATGTAATGTAATGTGCGCAGGCTGTGGATGTGAACCTCGTGGCAGAGACAGACAATTTCGTCTGGAAGAGCCACCCTAAACTCGAGCTCAAGCCCGACCCTGTTGATCTGGGACCAGGAGTTGAGGTGAGATCCTTCCTGAATTACTGCGATTTTCTGATGTTTTAAACTGTCGTATGTCTATTTGAAATATACGTCATGTTGGACCTGTTGAAAGAATTTTTAGAAATTCTGTTACTCAAAGGAAAATAACTTTAGAAAAAAGTAAAAGTCTGATGAATAAGAAGCTAGATATGGTCAAGAGTGCTATCCCCCAGCAACGAAATGTGCCTGACAATGTAAGCTTGTCCACGACTGGAAGATATAAAATTATTTGTTTAACGATGTAGGGTTTTGTTATCACACGAGTTATCGTACTGACTCTGGTCACGCCGTTGGCAGGTACAACTGCTGCTGCAGCTGCATCCCCCTGCCAGCTGCACGTCCCTGCACCTGCACAGCGAGTGGGGCCTCCTAGCGTGCGGCACGGCGCACGGCTTTGCCCTCGCAGACGTCGTAGCGCGCAAGAAGCTGCTCGCCAAGAGCACCTTGTCTTCCTTAGGTCAGTAGAGGGTGCGAGAAAACGGGAGACCCGTTGGTCAATGGATGAAGACATTAAAAGAACTTTTCGTAAAATAAGTTGTTTCATTTACAGACGCATATCTAAATAGCTTTTCTTGGTAGTTAAGGATGTTTTTTATTTTAGTTTTGGCTCATAACTTGTGGTGTCACTGAAACAAGCACTTGTATCTAAATTCTACTGACAAACGTATAAAGATTTCAACAAACAATTGTCGTCTTGTGCGACCAAGCCCATTGCTATTAAACTTGGGTGTGTCGTGCCCTCTAAGTTCGTTTGTACCAGACGCCACGACAACTACTTCGTAGAATAATAATAATTGTAACAATAATTTCCATGCTCCCTTGGCATGCTTTGAACAATATTTGCCTCTCATTGTTTCATTAAATGAAGCCTTTCAAGCTTCTTTTTCACCGTCGCTTTAATCACTGCGCACGCAGACTTGGCGAACGCCGCTGACGAAGGCCCCATGTCCCGGCGCAAGTCCCTGAAGAAGTCCCTGCGGGAGTCCTTCCGCCGCCTCAGACGGGGACGGTCCCAGCGCAAGACCACGCAGGCCGCCGCCCTGAACCGCCCTCAGCCCGCCGCTGTCAAGAGGTGAGTTCTCATCTTTGTACTCCTAAAGCTCCGTTGATTATAATTAATTGTTATTAATACACTGTTAGAAAAATTACCGTTAACGGTATTATCGGCGTTTCAGTGGCCGGTCGGCGCGTGAAAAGAAATACTGTGTCGCCGTTTTTATTCTAATTTAACACTAGAAATTCGTAAAACATCTGATAAAAACGGCGAAACAGTTTATTTTCACGGGGCGACCGGCCACTAGAACGCCAGTGGGACCGTTTTTTCACCGTTATTTCTAACAGTGTATCTTAGGTTATGTTTCATTGTTGTTGGGAAATCTACTCTAACAAAGTTGAAGGGAGCAGGGATATCGAAGCTCAATTTCTAAAAATGATGCATATTCATATATTTTTCATTGTATCCCTTACTATTACATATTTATTTTTATTATCAATTTTGGAAAAACTGAATTTTAAAAATTGAATTAAAAAAACTGAAAACTGAAAGTGTAGACTTTTAAGATGAACTTTGAAGAAGAACTTTGCTACAAACTGGCTCAATCTTCCTGGAAATGAAGTTGTGAGTTCAAGGTGTTGGTGTGGCGGAGTGCCCGATTGTTCCTCGCGCCGTCAATTCAAAGAAGCAACTTTTAATTATATTCATAGTCGCGAGACGTCAAACTTGGTTGAAAAAATTTATACCATTTAAAAAAATTAGAATTGAACTCGTAGAATACGTGTGATTTTCCAAGTTAAGATGTTTCACTGTGTTATTCTTAACTAACAAGTGAGTGGTGAAGCATCTGAAATGCAAATATGGAAAATATGGACACTGAACAGCCATAAATTGCTCCAGAAATTACGACGTCAGCAAATTACCTTGATGGAACCTAATATTGTAATAGTAACATAAAAGCCCGGGCTGTTCTCTCTGTACTTCAGCTTCGCGTTCTGTGACTGCATCATGTGATGGCTGTGAATCATCAAATGTATGCGTACATAACAAATACGGACGTAGGGCCGGTTCAGTTCACTTAATATGGTTTATTTTAAGAAATTATTGGATGTATTTGACCATCTGTTTCTATTCTTACCTACGCTGCCTTTTGACTCTTCATCCAATTGATAAAAGGTAAAATATTGCAAGCTGCTCTGTACACTAGCCTTGCATGAATCCCTTTGAAGTTTTGAATTCGGAGCGCAAGAGTTCGCCGTGCTTTGCTTCTCCTGTCGTTAAGTTTTCATTACCGCAGTTCGTCTACTTGTATTATATCAGCGAGGATCATTTGTAGAAATTAGTTTATAGGGAGATTGTAATATGTAGTGCGGTCCAAGCTGTTCCAGTGGAACTTCGGTTCACGAACTAATCGGTTTAAATTCTTGTCAGTTCTCGCATTGGGCTGTGGTGTACAATATCATTAACACATCGCATGTATGTCTGCGCTTGAGTGCATTCTTAGAGCTCGGGCGTTTCATATTACTTGAAAGGCCTAATTGTTATTCCCATTCTATCATTGAACGTAATTCTTGCAGCATAGATATGAAGCTAACAATAAAAAAATATAACTCAGTACTCACTGCAGTGAGTGACAGAGAGCGCATTTTCTCGTCCGTCCGTCCGTGAACTCACGGACAGACACAGACGGACGGACGGACGGACATGACGATCACAATAGCGAGTTTTTCCATAAATGAGAAAATGCGCTAAAAACTTAAGAAACAATTGTGTTATCGACATCCCCAAGTAATGCGACATCTGCTTAAGATGCAATCGCTTGATGAAGCTATCGCGATCTTGCTGGAAATAGAAACAATCGAATGGTCTTAAAGCTTTATAAAATATTCCTGGATCCAAAGTATAGAGATAAATAAAAATGGGAAACATTGTTTCAGCTTTCAAACTTTTTTATGGAACCGATCGAGCTCGTGAACCACTGCTCCACTGTAGCTGCACTTTAAATATCAAATACGTTAGTACCTCAGTTTGTCTCCATATGTCAAGGCTACAGTTACATTGATGAAAATAAATTTATAGTCGTCTTTTATTTTTGAGGTATGGGTCCCGTAATTTGTTTCATATTTAATTGCTTTATCTATTTTATGTTAGATTAATGCAACAAAATTTGGGTTTGGAATATGAATGATTTGAAACATCGTTTGCTTCGAAATTTGAAAATATTTGTGGGTTTCATGCTCGGGTAGTTGCATTTTTGTGTGTTCGGTCTTGTTTACATTCAACCCTATAGTCTCTGGCCTAATTTACATTCAACCCTATAGTCTCTGGCCTTGTTTACATTCAACCCTATAGTCTCCAGCCTAGGTTCCATTCAACCCTATAGTTTAGTCTCTGGTCTAGGTTCCATTCAACCCTATAGTCTCTGGGCTAGGTTCCATTCAACCCTATAGTCTCTGGTCTAGGTTCCGGTCAACCCTATAATCTCTGGCCTAGGTTCTGTTCAACCCTATAATCTCTGGGCTAGGTTCCATTCAACCCTATAGTCTCTAGTCTAGGTTCCGGCCAACCCTATAGTCTCTGACCTAGGTTCCATTCAACCCTATAGTCTCTGGCCTAGGATCCATTCAACCCTATAGCCTCTGGTCTATGTTCCAGTCAGCCCTATAGTCTCTGGTCTAGGTTCCATTCAACCCTATTGTCTCTGGTCTAGGCTCCAGTCAACCCTATAGTCTCTGGCCTAGGTTCCATTCAACCCTATAGTCTCTGGCCTATGTTCCACTCAACCCTATAGTCTCTGGTCTAGGTTCCATTCAACACTATAGTCTCTGGCCTAGGTTCCATTCAACATTATAGTCTCTTGCCTAGGTTCCATTCAACCCTATAGTCTCTGGCCTAGGTTACATTCAACACTATAGTCTCTGGCCTATGTTCCAGTCAACCCTATAGTCTCTGGTCTAGGTTCCATTCAATACTATAGTCTCTGGCCTAGGTTCCATTCAGCCCTGTAGTCTCTGGCCTAGGTTCTATTCAACCATATAGGCTTTTGGCTAGGTTTATTCAACCCTATAGTCTCTTACCTAGGTTCCGGTCAACCCTATAGTCTCTGGGCTAGGTTCCATTCAGCCCTATAGTCTCTGGGCTAGGTTCCATTCAACCCTATAGTCTCTGGCCTAGGTTTCATTCAGCCCTATAGTCTCTGGTCTAGGTTCCATTCAACACTATAGTCTCTGGCCTAGGTTCCATTCAGCCCTATAGTCTCTGGCTTATGTTCCAGTCAACCCTATAGTCTGGGCTAGGTTCCATTCAACCCTATAGTCTCTGGCCTAGGTTCCAGTCAACCCTATAGACTCTGGTCTAGGTTCCAGTCAACCCTATAGTCTCTGTATAGTCTAGTACCTCTAGTTCTTGTGTGCGTTGCTTCTCTAACGTTTATTGTGCGCTTTAATTCTAAGTGCTGCCTATGTTCTTCCTTCTAGTTATTTGTTTCCGTCCATTTGCTTAGATAAACGCTAATTATGCTTTGCTTACGACGATTGTGTTTCTTCTCAATTGTTGGTCGATTAAAGACTACTAATATGATGCTCCGTGCTTGTCTGAATTATTTTTATATGCATAGTAAATTGTACAAAGTGTCTGTTCTGAATTATCAATGTTTAGCTAAGGACAGTCCCATTTGTAAATTTCGAACCCATGAATTCGGCACTATATTTTCTTGAGGAACTAACCTGCCTCTCTTTGAACCATGAGGTAGCAATGAATAAGCTCATAATATTTAGTCATGATCCCATATCCCCCCTTCTCGCGGCATGTCCAATACTCTACCGTTAATAGCCGCTCTGCAGGGCCAATGGGTCTCTGTAAGCTTTGCATGGTAGTTACAAGTCGCAGTGTTCGCTCCCTATAGAGCTCTTGTGATGATTAGTGAGGGCTCTGTCGTAGAGTAGGAGTTAGTGTTAAGATCGTAACGGTTTTCTGACTTACTTGCAAGCAGCTATGAAGATGAGCAGGAGGCTGAACCGCTCACTCAACAGACTGTAAGTAAGCTAGATGCTAAGCCATCATGTGGTGATAGTGATGGACTCGTGGATGACGGAGGTGATGGTCTAAATGAAAACGATGATAGCTGCTTGGAAAGCATTGTTGACGCCGAAGAAAGTTCCGGCGATGAAAATAAATATGATATCGAGGCCGATCCAGATAACGCCAAAGACATTAAAACGGAAAGCGATGGCGACGTTCTACGCGAAAATGCTCAGACTAAGGAAAAAAGCGCTGAAAGTGCAGTAGGAACAATCGAAGGTCAAATCAAAGAAGTCGTCGACGATCTCGTTCAAAATGCCGCAGAGCTTCTCACAAGATGTTCCAAGTCCCCAGTGCAAGAGAAAGAGGCTGATGAGACGTTGATCGCCAAGGCACAACGCAGCGGAGTATCAGAACTCCAGGACTCCAAAGAAAATTTGTCTAGGTCTGTGCAAGGAAAAGGTTTCATCAGGGACGAGGAAGAAGGACTCATCATCGAAGATTTGAACAAGGCGGAAGAGCAGGGTTCTGTCTCAGAAAAGCTCGTCATAAAAACGAAAAACGCTAACTCGAAACTGGAGAAGGCTAAAAAGATAAAGGGTGATAAGAAAAGTGGTAGGAAGAAAGGTAAAAATAATTCGGAAAAGACGCATGACAAAAACAAGGAAAAGAAATGTTCTGTTGAAGAAAAAGCAGTGCATGTTAATGATGCTCTCGATGTTTTCATTGACGTAGTACGGAACAAAACCGATGCCGCTCATGAAACTGTTTCAAAAGCAACTCATGAAACTGAAGCGTGTTTGAAAGATACAACTAAAAAAATAGAAAAGGGAATGCAGGAAACGGCTGAAAAAGCAGAAGCAGTGGTAGATAAGGGCATAAAGGAAGCAAAAACAAAGGTGGACGAAGTGGAGAAGTCTGCTGTGAAGTCAACCAAAAGCTTAGGTGCTACTTTTGGTAAAAAGATGTCGAAGATACAGAAAAAGGTCGAGAAAAAATCGCCTGCTGTAAGCACTAAAATCGAGAAAACCAAATCTAGTATTAAGTCGGAGCTTGATGACGCGTCAAAGGCCGTTTCCTCTGAAATCGAGAAGAAAACTGAACTAAAGTCTTCAAAAATTGAAGAAACTTCATCGACTGTCACCAAAGAGATTGAAGACAAAATTCGTGATGTTTCAGAAGCCATCGAATCGAATTCGAAAATGATTTATGATAGTACCAGTGAAACTATTGAAAGTGCTGCGTCTGAAATAAAAGAAGTTGAATCCATTGTAGTTTCCGAAGTGAAGGAAACTGCATTAGTGATCGACGATAATATTGAAGCAACGAAGTCGTCTGTTGCTCAGCAGATGAAAGAGAGTTCAAAAACCATAGAATCAAAGGTTGAAGGAATCACAACGTCATCGACGTTAAAAGTTACAGAAATATCATCGATCACTACTTTTGTCAAAGAATCTTGTGTGACTGCCATTCAGTCTTCAGTTGAAAATTCAAAACCGTTCATGGAATCTGCTCATGAACCTGATAAACAGGAAGAACGTGAAGTACCCGACCAAGTAGAAGCAGTCCAAGAATCCGTCAAACTGGAGGCAGGCGGAGAACCGGGCAAACTAGAAGCGGACGAAGAGTCCGGTAAACTGGGAGCGGGCGAAAAATCTGACAAACTGAAGGCAGGCGAAGAATCCGGCCAACTGGAAGCAGGCGAAGAGTCCGGCAAACTGAAGGCAGGCGAAGAATCCAGCAAGCTTGGTTCCGATTCCGAAGAAAGAGCAAAGCGACCCAAGACTGCTATAAAGAATGTTTCTGATTTTTTGAAAGACCAAGCCGAGAAGATTACTCTGACTGGTATAAAGATAGGTAAGAAATCCAAGCAGATATCTGCTGAAAAAGCTGCGAAAGACAAACGTAAAAAGTCGTTTGATGCAACCAAGAGTGAGAGTGCGGACTCTGGTGATGCAGAATCTGTTAACTTAGATTCGTTGAGCTCCGTATCTGCTTCCGAGAAATCTAAGCCAGAGGCTGACAAGATCTCGAGTCATACCGCATCTAGTTCAGCTTCTTCATCTCGTAACAGTAGGGCGACAACCAATGAAGAAACGCTGGCCATCAACGAGCCTGTACCATTCTTCTATTATGTCACCCCTAAACAAGTCAAATGGCGCTCTTCTCGCCGCTCAGATTTAGAAAAACATGCTCAAGATGAGCTCAAATTGCAACGTGATAAACGGCGTGTTTCCTCTCGCGATGGAAGTTGTGTGGCTGAGGAAGTAACTGCCAAACAAGCCAAAGAAATTGAAGCTCAGCGAGAGGCTGGATTCTTCAGCCTGCCTCGCATGGTCAACCCGTCTGAAGCGTACGCCACTCCTGAAGCCAAGCGAGGGAATGTGAGCGAGCGATCTCATTTCAGCCTACCTCGTTTCGTGTCACCTAAATCAATGAAGCAAGCTGAAACTGAGACATCTTCGAGCCAATCAGGGTTCATTCGCTTCAAGAACTTCTTGCTTCGTAAAGACAAAAACGAGGGCTGCCAAGAAAGAACAGATTCTCAGAAAGTAGAGGGTTCTAAAGATGGCGACCCTGAAGCTATCATTGGAAGCGAAGAACTAGCCTCCGATTATGAGGCAAATAAGGAATCTCTACCTAAAAAGAAACGCTCTTTGTTCCATATTGGACGGCTGCATCGCAGTGAAGACATCAGCTCATCTGAGGTAAACTTATCCAATATCCCTGAATCAGCAGCGTGTGTTCCCGAAGATACAAAGGGGAAAAGCTCTTCACTGACTCGACCGCGGTCGTTATGGTTTGGATTTCGGGACAGCAAAGACAAAGAATCACCTGATGTCGCCGAAAGTCAAGAAGAGTCAGTTACGACCACTAAACCATGCGGGGAATTGGTTGCAGATGAAGCTGAAACTAAGCAACGTAAGCAGCGCATTAATCTGACTATTAAGGGACTTTCAGAGTCTAAGGATAAAGGTAAAACAATTGAAAAGGCTAGTAAAGACAACGATTCGCCCGTTTCAGGAAGGAAACGTTCCTCACTTGATTCTCTTCATCGCGCTCCCAGCTACGAGATAGCGGTATCGTCTCGCGTGCACTACGAAGATTCAGACTGTTCACCCAAAAAGTCCGTCTTCGAGGCCAGCAGTAAAAAAATAAAACAGCTTTTCAAGAACCAGGCTTTGCGGAACCCTTTCAGCCGATCTCGTGATCTTGCTGACAAACGCAAAAGTTGTCCAGCAGGTTCTTTGAGCGATGGCGACGGTCCCTGGCCTTTGGGAAGCTCGGCAGCCGACCACTCCAGTGCCCCTGATATCAGCGATCGTCATCCTAGCATCAGCACCTTCATTGACGACACTCCTGTTGCTGGTTTTCCTCCTGTCGTGCCAGCTTCTTCTTCTATTGTTACTACGACTGATGTTACCACTAGCACTTCTACCAATACTGCGGTGACTGTAGATGCTACTGGCACATCTAAAATCAGTGCTGAAATCGCGACCACGACCACTGTTGATCATAACACTTCGGCTTTGGCACCAAGCGACGCTGTTGATTTAGACGAACCTCCGACGTATCCTCCCCCTAGTGTACCGTGCACTCCTTCCAAAGAGGCTCCCTCAGATCCTAAAGTTGACATTGCGAGTAATTCTGAAGAGGCAGAAGACGAAGAAGAGGAAGATTCTCAGTATGATCACCAGCCCAGTACTCGCTCAGACTGGACCAAATCGTTAGAGCAATCTTTGCGCCGCACACTCGAGCGCAAACTAACCTTCTCGTTGCCCCCCGACGCCCCTGACAGCGTGGACGCGGATGTCGGTGTACGGCCTGTCGAACGAGCTATCGAGGCGCGCCAGCAGAGCGCCGACTACCTCGGCTCCATGGTGCGCTGCCTTCATCTCTCCAAGTGCTTCATTGCGAACAGTGAGTACTGCCCGCTTTTATTACGAGCTACATTATGAAAATTAGTTCAAGTATGTTCATTGCTGACATGAAATGATTAACAATAATAAGTTACCTATATCTTGTATCGATTACGCAAGAGCTAAAATAGGTAAACTTTTGTCAGTTCCGTTGTCTGAATTATCTATCAAACATTATTTCTTGGATGCAAAATCTTTGACTGACGCTGCAGGTCAAATGATGTCAGCGACGCTATGGGCGGGCACTAACAGCGGCGCGATATTCGTGTTCACGATCGCGATCCCTCCGTCGGAGAAGCGCAAGGAGCTGCCCGTGACTGTGCAGCTGGGCAAGGAGATCCACCTGAAGCACGCGGCGCCTGTGCTGAGCGTGACCATCCTGGACGGACAGTCACGGCCCTTCCCGCCGCCCCTCGCCGTCAAGAAGGAGCTCGTCAAAGGACCTGACACGAGCGCTCCACATAAAGTCCTCATCTGCTCCGAGGAGCAGTTCAAGGTGGGTAAATAACAGACATTTGAAAAAAAAATATTAGGAATCTTTGAGCATGCTAAATCTATGTGATTCTAAAGAACTATTTAGGGTATCTGTAAGCATACCTTTCCCATGAAGTGAGAGGTAGCTTAGATCGATTGAAGTCCATGTGATGCGAGTAGCGATTTAAGGTACGGTGTCACAAAAAACTTCATTAGTTCTTTCCAACTCTTAGACCCAAACATGTACAGACATCGCTTTCATCATCACAGTCTTTATCTTTCATCATCACAGTCTTTATCTTTCATCATCACAGTCTTTATCTTATATCATTTGTGTGGTCATGACAGGTCTTCACGCTGCCACAACTGAAGCCCTTCTGCAAGTACAAGCTGACCGCCATCGACGGAAGTCGTGTCCGCAAGATCGGCTTCGGGGAGTTCGTGTCGTCGGCCAACAAGTCGTACAGCGAGCCCTGCTTCAGCGTCGTCACCAACCAGGGCGACGCGTCTGTCTTCAGCCTGCCTGACTGCAGGAGACAAATTGCAGCCGCCTGCTTCAAGAGAGAGGACATCAAGTGAGCCTTATTTTGCGCTGTAATTTTGCCCTTAAATTGGCATTACTAATTAGTTTTTTCATTTTTTATAATGAAAATTGCAACGTTAGCCGAAGTTTGATTGGTCAAGCTGCTAATTTTGGGTCTTTTATCATGCGCACTATGGGTTTGATTTTTCTGCTAGAGAAAATCTCCGATTGCATACATTTTTGGGAAATTTAAATTAATTTGGTAGCTGATGAGTAATCAATTCAAAATAAGGTGTGTACTATATATTCTTGTGTCGTGCAGTGGCATCAACTCGGCCGTGTTCAACAATAGAGGCGAGCTCATCTTTTTGACGTCTCCCTCCGAGCTGATGAGAGTCTCCCTCTCTGCTGCTAACATCACCATGCCTCGACCCACCCTCAATCTCAATGGTTGGTAGCTATCTTTAGTTATTAGTTATCTTGTGTCACTTTGTGTACTAATTTCGTGTTTTTTTCCCGAACTATGTTTCTCCTATCATAAGCCACTTTTTTGTGGTATTTTTTGTCATTCAACCAAACTAATCCTCTCTCAGTAGTTTTTAAATTAGCTGTAACCAAATATAAGGTAAATAATGATTATAAAGAGTAGGTAAAAAGCATGATTGCTTGCTGTATAATTTCGAATATTCCATTGTAGTTAAAAATCTTATAAAAATACTATTTAGGGTATTATTTTAAACAATACAATGCCCTCACTGGAGCGTGTGAATGTAAAACTACCAAATATTTGAGATGATTGAGATGATCTGTGATGATCTGCTTTAATATTTGTAATAATTTGTTTGAACAATAACCAGATATTTGCACTACTAAATTTTGTGCTACAAACAAACTTAATGATCAAGTTTTCAACCGTCATGACACTGCTGATGAAATTAGTGCCTCTAGGTTTGCATAATTCTAAATTGAATTTGATCACAAAGAAAGACAACCGCAGTAATTCCTTTCGTATCGTACTTGTCATTGTACTGTACAGCAGGTACAGTCAACAATGTAACAGCTGCTGCGGAGCCGCCAGCCGAGCCCATAGCTGTAGCTGCGTCGCCTGGGGCTGCTACGGCTGCTACGGCTGCGTGTCCGTCGCAAGAAGACAACGAAAAGGTTCACTTCTTGTTTATATTTCAAGTGCTGGGATTTTTCTTATATTACAAAATGTTGAATATAAATTCACTGTTCTACTGTCAGTTTTATTTATTTTTTCTTTGAACTAAGGCCGAGTTCGGTTTCATGGAGTGCAATTGTTTTTAATTTGAATTCTTTTAATTAAAGTTTCGGTATTTAAGGTATTAGATTTAATTTGTTCTCTCACGAAATTCAGACCATGGATTCCGCTCCCCTGGGCAATTTTTTTCCAAACTCAACTGGATTTTCAGTTTGTGGGCTTTTCGTGGCTATTCACTCGCAGTTATAGTGCGCGATGTTCCCGCCTGATATTCTTGAACTATCATTTAAACATAGAACTATCATTTAAACATAGAACTATCATTTAAACATATAACTATCATTTAAACATATAACTATCATTTAAACATAGAACTATCACTTAAACATAGAACTATCATTTAAACATAGAACTATCACTTAAACATAGAACTATCATTTAAACATAGAACTATCACTTAAACATAGAACTATCATTTAAACATAGAACTATCATTTAAACATAGAACTATCACTTAAACATAGAACTATCATTTAAACATAGAACTATCACTTAAACATAGAACTATCATTTAAACATAGAACTATCATTTAAAGCTAAACAAAGAAAAGTGAGTAGTGTTTCACTATACGATCTGCCTGATATATTCTAGCTCTATTTTAACCTTTAATTATTCAAACTCAGGCCAAAGAGGGCGTAGAGGAAGACAGCGCGGTGGAGCACACGGTGGAGGTCGTGGAGTTGGCGTCTGGCAGTGGTGGCAAGGTGGAGGAAGTGAATGGTGGGGACACAAGTCTACTATCTGGAGACATCACCATTGACTCCATCCGAGACCACATGTAAGGGAATATATCAAACATAGTGATTCATACTCATGGGTTTTATTTTGATTTTGATCTCATTAATGCAAATTGTTTTCCATGTATTCTGTAAGGTCGTTCATCTTGAACCGATTTTACTATCCCTTCGTGTATGTACAATCGTTATTCCTCATCGCGTGTTTTGTGCGATTATGATTTGTGCTGTTGTCTTCTCATAAGCGTGCTTTATCCTTCAACTAATTCATTCTACTCAGTTCTTAGAATCACTCGAACGATTTATTAGTTTGATTATTAAAGCACATTTTAATTCTAATTTCTAACCGAACTAACCGATATAAATATCAACTAGGTATTTTGCTGTGCAAACCTTTATTTTTTTTTTATCATAAGCAATTAATTTGTTTAAGTTGTTGTTTAGGAACAACGAATAAACTCTCGCTAATGTAATTTATCCTGATGGTCAGGGTGGTCGGGAGCAACACGACGCTGGTCTCGTCACGGACGGCGGGCAGCGACAGCAGCACAGCGGCACCCGTCGTGCTGACCTCCACCAGCAGCACGTCCTCCGTGACTGCCAGTGGCACCGTCACCACCACCAAGCAGATCATTACCGTTATCAAGACCTCCTCCACCATCAACGACGACACTGACGCTCATGGTCTCTTTCCTTACACTATTTTATTTTGAAGCACATTTACGCTGGCCGATCATTGTTAACGATCGTTTTAATCTTTGCAAGGCACTGGACGAAGTTTCCAGCAGTGCACCGGCTTTATCAAAATTTTCTCAGTTGAACGCATAGATTCTGAGACCTTTAAATCCAATTCCTGTTGGCCGACTGTTGAAATTTCACCAAGTGAAGTATTCAAGTAATCGACTGATTCATAAATTTGAGTAACAAAATTTCATGCAGTTGACAACTGTTACTCGAGTTCTCTTTAGATACGCCATTCACACTGAACATGCAATAAACGCTGAGTCTTAAGAACATTTGAAAGTTTCCCATCTGGATCAGAAGGCTAGGAAATATGTACGAGCACGGTTCACGAATCATGTACGACGCATGTGAATGTTTGCATCAACCGAAATATTGTTCGCGTGCATTTTAATATCTCGTTTGCTAACAGTGTTTGGGCGGCGTAAAGTGATATTTAGAGCTTTTTCAAGATATAATGTTTCATTGTATCTAATTGTAACGCAACTTCAGGAATATTTTGAGATTTCCACTCGTTTTATTAGAATTTTTAACGCACTCGAAAGTCAAGATACCGTTAATGAACAGATGTTATTGCTTGTTTGATAAGAATATACATTGTAATCATGCTTTTCTTGTGAAATGTTGCATCTTGTTCAATTTGCCGAAGTATTCACGTACTTAATCAAGCTGTCATTGTGAGCATTCTGTCTTTTTCAATGGCTTTAATTTCTTCAAAGGTATTCTCGACGATTTTTCGTTATAACTCATAAGCGTGTGATTCGCTTCTGCTAATTACGGTAGCTTCATAATCGCCTCCGCGGCATTATATTAAAATCGTGGGTATTTGAAGATAAGTTTGGGTGCTTCTTATTGGTTTATAAACTTTAGTTTACAGCCCTTTAGTTTACTGTGCAGCTGTACAGCCCATTTATTTTTTATAGCAAGATTAGATTGTCTGCACGGTTACAGTGATTCACTGATCGTTCCTGCACAATGTTTGGTTTTACAATTATTTGAAGTGCAATTCTCGATATTTTCTTTTTCTAGAATATTTTCTTGGGTAGAATTAATTGATTAATAATTTGTGTGACAGGTGAGGAGAGCACTGTGGTGAGCACGACGGTAATCGAAAACAACACGGCCACGAGCAGCAGCGACGTTCCTGCTGCCGACGCTTCTCCTGCAGCCGTCAACGGCACCGAGGTACGCGTCTAAACAACCTTTACTTATAGCTTATTTTAACCCTTTAATGCTCTAATAATAATTGCATAAGTAGTCCATTTCTTGAAGAATTATAATCCCCCATTTGTAAACTGTCGTTCACAAAGGTAGTTTATATGAACATTTGTTGAACCATTTCTCAGAATAACTTTCGTGTTATATTTCCTCTTCCCGTTCACGTTCTCTGAAAGGTTTTTCTTTCACAATTACCTGACTTTATATCATGTTACAATACAAATACTTCTTAAAATTTGCTAATTTAAAATATAACTTTCGCTCTGAATAGGGTACAACCACATCTTGATATTCTTTGCTTCTGTACTCATCCAACCAATGATGTCTCCTGGGAAGCAGCCACTGCCTACATGTACCTATTACTCTATTTTATACAACTCATTACATCAGATGAGACTTGGTTACTTGCATTCTCACTCAATTGAATAATTTGAATCTTATTTCATTGATGATTGAAATCTTATCTGATCATGCAGCGTGATTTCTCGGAACAGAAATTGCATTTAATTGACTATTACATTCGCCCAAATTAACCAATGTAATTTACTGATAAAAAATAATAATAACCGAAATCAAAACGGATAAATTGTTTTCTTCCATTTAGTTTTACGTTTTCTTCTATTAATGTGGAATTCAAACATAAACGTTAAGTTGAATCTTCAATAGTAAAAGTAAATTAATTAAACAACAACAGTGGAGGTAACAATTATCGACTCCTAATATTTCGGAGCTGCAATGTCTAAATCAGAATTGTTGTACGATCAGTGCCGAGTAATCCCCCTTCTCATTTCTCACGATGATTTTACTCACTTCTCACAAGTAATATACTCATTTAGCATGAATATTTAGTCATTTAGTTCCTATAAATAACATCAGTACCATTTTTCCTTCCACCTCCTTGCTGCGCGGGGTTACTTCTGCTGCTGGGTTACCGCGTCTCTTATGGTGTAAATAAACTCGCATCTCTTGATTGCAGTGAAAGAAACACTGCCTCATACCGTGAGTAGTTGCGCTTCACATTCTTCATGCCTTTAGATTTTACCTTTTTACTTGAGTCATGCCTTCAGATTTTCATACATAAGTTGTACATGCCTTCAGATTTTCATACATAACTTCTGTCTTGCTTTTAGATTTTACCGCTTGCTTCTATAATGACTGTAGATTTACAGGTCCAATTTTGTATTATTTATGTTTTTTTATGTGGGTGTAGTTTTGCTTAACTTTGGTTTCGTCTTGGTTAAGGATAAAGAACAGATCATTCGTCAAGATAGAAGATAGATAAAATCATTTAACCTTCTACCGCCGTATGTCACTCTCTGGGAACATAAATTTAAACTTGAATTATACGTAAACTATTGAGTGTAGCAACCAGAGGACGTTTGTACGCAACAGAGAACATTTTAAAATTGTCGTAAGTGGCGGCAACCATCAGTGCAAGTTATTTTGCGCTCACAGGAACGCAAAAACGAAGCAAAAAAACGAACGAAGCAAAAAAACTTCCTTTTTACGAAGTAGGCACGTGACAATATTGCTCCGGTTGCTCATATCAGGCGGTAGAGAGTTATGATAGTTTGAGAAATTAATTTCTCGCTCAATTCGCAACTGCTGGTTTGTATACAATTTAGCGCCGCTTGATTTGTTGAGCTCATGGTTCGTTTGTAGCTCTTCTAACCAAGCTAGTTGAAATTTTTAGCATACTTTCCTACTTAACCATTCATTTTGAGAAGATTCTTTTTCATAGCAAAGTAAACCAATTTACTCGCCCTGGTAACTCATGATATTTATCCAGGTTAGAAATTTGCTGAAGTTGAACCATTCAATTTTTTTATCAAATTAAAATTTAAGATCAGCAAGTCTAGAGTGAGAACGAAGTAAGCTTCGGATGTCACGGCAAGAACTAAGTAATGTTAGGATGTTACGTCGAAAATTAAATAACGTTAGGATGTCATATGAAGAACTAAGCAAGCTTAGCATGTCATGTCAAGAACTAAGCAAGCCGAGCATGTCATGTCAAGAACTAAGCAAGCGTAGCATGTCATGTGAGCTAAGGTTATCTTATCCCTCAAAATGTCGAGGAGGCGCCCCGTACGAAGAGGCGCGGAGCTCCGCTTGCCAAAGCCGAGTCTTTCTTCAGCAAGAATCCGCGTAACCGCGAGTGAAGGCATCCCTGCTGCGTCCTGCTGGTCCCCTGAAGAATGCTAGTTGTGTCGCCTGTAGAAGAGGTGTTGCGATGATCAAATCTTATTTAGGTAGCTCTTCATGAATCACGTGAAATATCTCGTGTGTTGGATATCATTTCTGCGTCCAGGCTCTGTTTTATCAATATTGTCGGTGTTTCGAATCTCGAATCTATAGTAAGCGTCATACCATAATCTCGGCCTTATTGCTGATTGCAATGATGAACTGAAGTGGAACTTTCCCCTTAAGTCATTCAGTTTAATATCAGATAAATTATCGTAGACGCATAGTTATGTTCGTTCCTATTGTCTGGCCGTCATCATTAATTAGATGAAGTACAACTAAAAAGCTTAGGGTTTTAACGTCCAAGTTTTTCGTTCGTGGACGATGAGTTTCAGGGAAGTAGCACGGAATTTGTTTTGTTATAAAACGTGTGTTTCTTAGGGCAGGTTCTATTTGTTTGTGAAGAAAATCGTTCATCATGCATGTCAATTCTATGAAGTGGAAAATTCATAACTTGTTTTGTTGATAATTATGAGAGTGACAGTGAACTCGCGTTAATTTTTTACAACGATTTCTAATGGCTTTGGTTGCTATACTCTCCTCTTGAAGGGTGGCCGCTTTTCATGATAAAAGTTTGTCCCGTTTATGAGAGAGAGTTACAATCAATAGAGAGGCATTACATCTGCATTCATATGATCCATTAATATTTGTATACTAGCCTGCTGGCAAGGTAGATGTTTTCTACGGTATTTCGACTAAAGCTTGACGATGTATTATAGTTTCGTCACTAAATTGTATTGCAAAGGCAGAAGAATTATTGCCAGTTTCTGCCATCGTGTTATGTGCAGCTATTTTGGTATTGTTTTTAGTTTTAGCACGCGCGATATTCAGAATAGTTATTTCAATCAAAAGTAAATGAAAATTTTTAATCGTTAATGTGATAAAGAATTTCTTTTGATCAGCCCAATTGTTCTTATGAACTCTGTGAATTACGTTTAACCTGATTTTTTTTTTCAATTGATGCGTCATTCGTCTACAACTATAGTAGTCTTTCATGCTATTATACACTTCAAATTTGCTTAACTACTTTCGGGTGTTTAAGATCGCAGCTAACTTGCAAATCAGTGGCTTGCAAGAGACTTATTGGAGACCTCATTATTATACATCTTTTTCCTTGCGTGTGTGAGCGTCCTAATGCCATCTTCATCATCAACATCAATACAGTGGGATTTTCGGGAAGTAAGTTTGAAGGAAGGCTTTTTTTTCTTTGCGGTTGCCAACCCAAGGGCAATGTGCCCGAATCGATACTTTGTAATGTATTAGAAAAAGTCTAGTGTAGTTGATCGAGTTAGCCTGGCTGTAGCCTGGTGAGGCTTCCGTAGCGCTATTGTATTTAGTGAGCAGAAAAATAATGGGCTTCTTATATTATATCTTAACGTATGATGAATTTATTTAGCCGTCTATTCCCATCGTTGCCTCATCTTATTGTTAGTCAAAAATCTCTTAGGATAAAGCAACTTATAACCTTCTTCCATCCCTTCACTCATATGGAGAGACGACGACCGCGACTTGAATTTGTGTTGTGAAGTTTGACGAATATGATGTCGTATTGTTTTTATTTTGATGAGAATTGAGTCCTCTAGTTTTCTTTTTGGGCGTTAGCAATTAAAAAGGGGAAACTTTTAATTATTTTTTCAACTGCCATTTTATCGTCGTTATTCAACATTCCGCATTTTAATTTATCCTTTAACATTTATTATCAAGATTCTAACGGGGCAAGTTTTCGTTATTTTGGTCACAACTATTGCGTTTTACGTCGCTATTGTCTCCTCTAAGTAAATTCCCCAACCAGGCTTCGTCTCAAGGAATTATCGATATCTTGTACTACTCAATGTCCAACAATTTTCCATTAACATTTCTGCCGTGCAGTTTTCAGGCCTTCAAGAATTCTCTTAATTCTTAAATTGAAATTGCATTGTCATGCATTGTGAAATTGCATGTCATGCTAACGACAGGACTGCCATTTTTACAAACTTTTGATAAGATTTCATTCGTAAGGCCGTTCAATATCATGCTTAGTTCAGCTAGAGACTGAAAATGCTAGTAGATCCATATAATTCTAATTTTTTCCTAGTTGCATTGCTGCCGTTGGTGTGAGGATTATAATACTGTGTGATCGTGATTAGAATCATGACCGTTTTTTGTTATTGGTAGCGACTGAATAAGTTTCATTTTGTTTAGTTTATTGTGCTGTCTTTGCTTTCCGAATACTGCTATTCTTATTGTTCTATTTTACTGACCTGAAATTAAGTCTTGGAAGGTATTAACTGTCTGAAAGGGTTTTATATTTATTGATTTATAATGGACATCATACAATGCTAATTTGCGTGCTAGCAAAATTTATGCAGATACACCCGAAACTGGAGACCTTTCCTAGTTCTGGAAACCTAGTTGGACTAAGACGAGTTGGTGTAAGATGATGCATCACTTCCATGCGTTTGAAATTGTCTCGTTAAAAATAGCTTTCTTGCCATTTGAAAGTATTGCTTTGGAGTATTGCTCTATATAAAGAGAATGATTATTATCAGGAATGTGTACACATTTCCCAATCAACTGTAATTTTATTTGGGTTCTTTGATTCGTTCATTAATGGTTTACCTTGCATTCCATTTCTCCGCTGGACATTTTTTTTCTTGCCGCAACCCCTTCAATGTTCGTCAGTCGAGAGTTCATTTCTTTTCATAGTCGAGGGAGACGATGAAGCATGTAAACCTCATTCGTCTGAATTAATGCTTACATAATCAATGGATTCTAGGTTTCTGGTTCACCGAATGTCATATTTCAATTCAGTATACTAATTTTATATACTTTTCGAATTTGAACAACAGAATAAATTGGGTTTTAAGTAGAACTTATGTGCCGTATATTTTCTGATGTTTCAGATTCCGTAGGTGAGAAATTCGGTTCTACGTAATTAAAACGAATTCGCGTTTCATAATTAATTTAATTTACTGCGACGGTTATTCGAAGTTCTTATCTAGCTTTTGGGAATCCAGATGTTCGACGGAAAAAAATGACGAGAAGCTGCCTTTTTGTTCATAACTCAACCTTTTTTTATCGTATTAACTTAATGGAGGAAACTAACGTGGCATTACGAGTTGTTTTTAGAACTTAAGTTTTTTTTGGCGATTGTTTTGTCTGTATTTCAGCTACTTTTCTTCCTCTTACCATGTTCCATTCCTTCACATTCCAGCGAGTGGCTTAGTGGATATATTTTCTAACCTCGAGTTTCATGCACGGTAATGGCATAGGCATCGCTTCTTCAGAATCACGTAGGCTATTTCACTCTGTAATTTGGATTTCAGTGGGCGTGTGAGAGGTATTACCTGTATCTTTGTTCGCTATGTATTATTTTCTAGATTTGTAATGTATATAATTGCGTGGAAATCGTCCAGGCAAGCAAGCTTATTTAAACTACGAAGAGATTAGAAAAAAATGATTTTTTTTTTACCTGCAAATCTTCAATGAATATTAATGACATCCATTTCTACACTGACATGGTAGCGTAGCTAAATTGCGATTAAAATTCCCAGCATCAAGGACGGTTGTCAATCGCTAATTTGATGAGGTATGAACGGTCTAGGGAAATGAAACAGTCAGAGGTACACGATTTTCTGGTTCATTTTAGCAGCTTCTAGGCGAGCCACTCGTTGACTTCCTTCGGCACGGGAGGCCACATTTTGCTGACAGTCGGCACGAGACTCTGGTCGGCCAGCCACATGCAATACTCGCGCAGCAAATCTGTAAATGTAGAACCATTCATACCAGTCGTCTAAGCTATCAATTACTTATGTAAACAAGAATAATCCCGTGATAAATAATCGAAAATTACGAGTCATGAATACGTTGGGAACTTTCAGCAATGTGGATAAACTTGTCAAGCCAAAAAATTCTCATTTGAATGAGCTGCAAATGTTATCGCAGCAGATAAATAATAGTTGAGTGAATACTCACAGTTCGGTTGTTTCTTCCATATGCGCAAGAGTTTATCTTTGGTGGCCACGTCACAAATTTTCAAAGCTCGGACCAAACTATCCTTCTGATTCTGATATCTGTAAATAATACTTTTAGTTAAAGAAGAACATGCGCAATAACGGTTTTGAGTTCCAAAATTTAAATCAGGTGACTTCTGAAATAAAGAAAACTTGGGAGCTTTTACTTTTGCACTTAAAAAAATTTCAAAAACAGCATTTTTTATCTACATGCTCATTCTCATCCCAAGTTAAAAACACACAGCCATGATATTGCTTCAAAGAATAACATAAGAAGTGCCGAATAGTGTACTTCAATTATCTCTACCTTGATAATCGCGAATAGTTCGGAAGGCGATGAATAATCATGAGTGAGATTACCTGAGCGCCAGCGGACGCAGAAGAGTAACAATTTCGATGAGGTGTTGGGCGAACGGCTGCAGTTCGCTAAACACGTCGCCTTTCAAGAGATGGAACGCAAATCTTGAGTAGCCTTCAGTGTTCGTTGGGTGCGGGATGAGACAGCAGGGGATAACCCAGTCTGCCCGTCCTGCGAAAAACACTAGTTTTATTTCGACGTAGTTTTTTATTCGTAGTAGTTTTTATATCCGACGACCTGCTGAAAATATTCATAGAATCTATCATGTATATCATTCAATCCTTGAGTAAATTGCGAGAAATGTGTAGTAGGCGCGACGAGAATCTAAAAATGTTGTCAAAATTTTGTATTTTTTTTTTGTCTTGGAGGAGGAAGTCTCGTCTGCAGCCTGCCGTAAACACAGACACGAGTGTCATCAGCATAACTAGTGCGGTAACCGGAGAGAAAAACTCAACCGAGCCTGAACACTAATTTAGCAACGAAAAAACGTACGCTCCATTACAAATAAAATCATCACTGAAATAGTTTGGAGCGCAAGGCTTGAACAACAACTGCAATATACGGTATTTGTGAGAAATGAGGCCAACAAAACAAATGTAAAACTTGTTAGTTCTAGCAAAACACCATATTTGATACAAACCATTGAAACGTCTGCAACACGCAACGAAATCAATAGAAAACTCGATGATGTAAGGAGAAACTCATTCGCTTTGGGTGCAACAAGACAACCGTTCTAATATAGCTAACACCATTATTTTTTAAATGATTGCGTGCCATACACAATATAGTTTCAAGAGTGCAGTTAACCCGGTGGTCTCCTACCGTAGGTGGCGTCGGCGTAGCACATAACGGCGTCCTTGTCGCTGTCGTAGTGAGGTGCCGGGCGCAGCAGCGGCTCCGAGAAGCTGCACAGCAGCGGCCCAAACCGACTCAGCCACTCAGGCTCAATAGCCGTCACGCCTGCAATGAATCTTAGTTAATATTGTCAATAATTTTGCATTAGAACAAAATTCATAACTATGCCAATGATCAACGATAAGCGATCAAACTTTATTTAAATTTTCACTAGATCAATACGCATAAAAAGTCATATATACGTACTGAGGCCTGCATGTGAAAATATAAGTCAGACATTCCACTAAGCATTTTGAAAGCTACAATACACGTATGAGAGTTTCTCTATAACCTCACTGATGCCGTTTCGCAGTATACAAATTTCTCTATTATATTCTTGATGGATGTCGAGATTCAAAATGTCAGAATGAACTCGTCTCGGAATAAATTGTGTTAAACGGATTCAATTTCACCCTGACAGGTGAGCAAGGTTCACACGAACCTCGCATGAACATTTTGTGAGTTTCGAAGATATCCTGGTACACCACCCATTCCGGCTTGTCAATACGCAGTACAGACGAGTGAGGTAGGAAGACTGGTTCTTCCAAGTCTATTGTTCTGAAAAGGTAATAATTTTGTTCGGTATGAGGACGTGGACGTACTACACATATTAGTAATGAAAAGTTATATTTCAAAATATAATACAACACAACTTGGCAATGGAAAAGCAGAATTAGGAAGAAAGCCTAACTCTGACAACCAATTTGCATGGTCGCAACAACTGTGATAATCGGATCATGTACAACATATAATTACAATGCCGCAGAAATAGAATTTTTAAATGGAGGTTTGGCTTATCTAATGCAAATGATAACGCAATATAATGAAGCAAGTAGATCGCCGAACTTCAGCCGACGGATCAGCTCTCTGAGGAACTCACTGGTAGGCGTTTTTCCATTTGATTTTATCCTCGGCTTTTTTGATCCTAGACAGATCAACACGACGCGCGACTCGGTCCACGGACCCGCTCAGCACAACCTGGCGCAGCGCACAGCACTGCACGCGGGACAAATTAAATTATTCAGTCGCATGCTATACACGCTTGTATATTTGCAAGAAATATATTGATTTACATTCAGTGGAATGTATTCCTGGAATCAGAATTAGAATAAAACTAATAAGATAACGTCAGTAGAACTGTGTTAGTTACCAGCCAGAGAGCAGTTACCTTCACGGGAACTGCATCGCAGGATGCATTATTCAGAGCAGAGAACACAAAAGCTAGAATAAAACTAAAATTTTTCTCATTTGGCACATTATTCCCTAGGCATGAAATCCGAGATGAGTATAAATATACACATGCATCCCGGTTAATTATATCTTAAAGACGCAGAGTTCAGGACGAGATACCTGCTCTGCGGTGGGCAGCTTCATGTTGGGATCCATAGCGACATTTGCCCCCGGGACAATCATGTTCACTTCGTTCGTGAGCTGCCGACGCAGCTTACGGATGTTCACCAAACCCTTTTGTCTGTCAATAATTGGTGGATATATAATGCTATAATGCTAAAAAATTACATGAAATCCTCCCTATCTTTACAACCAAACAAATAACATATTTCACACGAGTAAAACATGTATAATATAACATGTGGACGCATACAAACATGAATTAAATATATGTAAATGTTGATTATCATATTGGCTGGGTTGCTCACCTAAGACCGTACTGCTCGCAGAAGTGGCTTGTGTTGTTGTTCGCCTCCGCCTCCAGCACGGCGCGCAGCAACACCATCAGGTCACCCAGGCGTCTAGTCTGTCCCGTGCCACTCCAAGACAGACGAATTTTACGCCATTCACTTCGGCGACGATCTGTAATCCCAGGAAGATTAGTACATTATGAAATGAAGGGAGCTTGAATGAATGACAGTGAAAATTGATGAGAATGAGAGTATTCTGCGAAGTGAGAAATAGTCGAGATGCTGGGAAGGGGATATGAATCAATATTCAAAATAGGGATGAGTAAAAGATTCTAACTATTTAAAACGAAACCTACAGTAGTGGCGGTGAGAAATCCAAAAAGTAGAGGAATAAAAAATGCTTATAAAGGAAGTGAAAAATGAACGATTAAATATTTAGAAAGCTAACCAAAATCCTCTCCGGAATTATCGAGAGGCATTTCGATGAGAATTTCCTGCACGGTGAGAGCGGCCACGAGGGCGATGGTGTAGGGAAACAAGTCGAACTGCGCGCTGAGGCAAAGCATCTTCGAGTAGCGCGGCGCTACGGGGAAGCTGCTCATGAGGCGACCCAAGCCTGTGATCACCGTCGTGTCTGCAGGATATGAAATGCGACATCATTATGACGGATGTTCTGATGATGAAAATATGGACCTATGATCACCAAGTCGAGCCAAAAAAGTGCAAGTCGAGCCAAAAAAAAGCAATTCCGATACTCTACTAAGGAAATTAAAAAAAAACACTTAGATTACTTAAAGACAATCAAGTTATCAGCAGATGAATCATTGTGAAAATAATTGATTCTAACAATCAAGATACAAAAAAAATCAAGCGCATCTGATAATAGTGATGATCAAATTCTGATGTACCAATTATCAAGAATCAATTGTTTGGTTCTATTCTCACTTATCAACACACAGCCATGATTGCCTCAAAAAATAACTTCGATCCGTCAGTTAGAAGCCAGTGATAGTTTTTAGCGCATTTTCTCATTTATGGAAAAAAGGCGCTATTGTGCTCGCCATGTCCGTCCGTCTGTCTGTCAGTCTGTCCGTCCGTGAATTCACGTTTTCGTCGACGAGAAAATGCGCTCTCTGTCACTCACTGCAGTGAGTACTGAGTAACATTTTTATAATTTGTAAGAACTGCTTAATAGTGTGCTTTAATTGCCTCTACCCTAACCATAATCGAGCCCAATCATTATGTCCGACAACTCTCAATGATTTTGCCGGAATCGTGGAAAAATGAATGCAAGTGGCACATGCAATAAGATATTGAATTTACATAAATAAAATATAATTTACCTTTATGAATGGGTGTGTTATTATGACCTGAAGTCTTGGCTTCTTCAGTCACGCCGGCGTCGCGGTCCTTCTCTAGCAGAGCTCCCAGGTGAGTCAACCTCTTCAGGGACTGACGAATCTGTAATGATAGTTAAAGATCAAGTCATCATTACACATGCAACGATCAAACAACACTTACGAAAGTTGACTTAACGTTAAGAAATGTCTTTTGCACTTGAAGATTTATGAATTCCTTCGTTTCAGGTAAATTTATATATAGTTTATAATTCATTCGTTATAGTTTATAATTCATACTTGCAACTCTTGCATTAGATTGTTAACTCTTGGAACAATATTAAGAGCCTCTAAACTTTTTAAAAATTCTCTAATTTACATTTTTTGATTGCTACAATGCCTTCGAAAATAAAAATAGTTAACAGCAACAAATTAAAAAAATCACTAGGAAATTCCAGAACGAATAATCATATTGAATTTATTATTTTCTTCATTCAATCTCCAACCTAAAAATATATGAACAACTTTGTCGCTATAGGTTCTACTAAGAATGTTAACAACAATACCTGCACGTGCTCGGGTGGGGTTGGGTACGGGAAATTCACAACCGGTAGATTAAGATTCTTGAGGATGAGCACGACGTCGTCGATTGGTCTGCACATAATCTCAGGCTTGGCAAACTTGGCGAAGTCGTTGAAGACGGCGGAGGAATAGAGTCTGTAGCAGTGGCCGGGAGCCACGCGACCAGCTCGACCGGCGCGCTGGTTAGCAGAGGCTTGACACACGTTCGTCACGTGGAACATCGACACGCCTGTCACTTTGTCAAACACCTGCAACGTGTGATTACGATTATTGTATTCCTTAGTAGAAAATAGCAAGACAAGAGCTTATAGACAAGTAGAGTAACATTTCAAAAAAATAGCATGACAGAGTGATTACGGGTCATGTATTGTGTCCCTTTTAAAAAATAGCAAAACGAAGCAATTGCGGGCAAGTATTGCACCCCTTAATAATAGGAAGATGTAGCAAGTACGAGTCAAGTTCTAAACCCCTTTACAGAAAATAACAATACGGGTCAATATGAATCTTATTAGAAGGGCCATGATCGATGGTGAGCGTGTGGTCGAAAAATTTATTTATTTTTCAACAAATTCCACGATGTGCAGTAAACACAAGGAACGAAAGTTGGCGGTAACTACGATTAATGAAAATAAAACAATAGGCAATTAAACATCGCAAAATTATTCTAGCACTCTTGGCTTGCCTATAAACTAAAATGTAGCTATTTCACGATAAAGTCGGTAAAATTGACTTGATCAGAGAATTAAACCAACCGCAACGAGATAATTGACATACCGAGCAATGAGCATTAAAACCACCACAGCAAATTTCATCACAAAAATTCAATAAGAATGAGAGAAAACATAAAAATTACTTAACCCTCTACAGCCTGACATGAGTAACCGTCCGAGCAATATTATACCAAGCCTACTACCCAAAAAGGATATGTTTTAGTGAGCGCAAAATGACTTGCACTGATGGTTGCCGCCACTTACAACTTCAAAATGTTCTCTGTTGCGTACAAACGTCCTCAGGTTGCTACACTCAATAGTTTACGTATAATTTAGGTTAAAAGTTGTGTTCCGGGAGAGTGACATACGGCGGTAGAGGGTTAAGAGAGTTAACAAAACAGATCAATGAAATTTTTTTATATTTTGATGGTAAATAATTAAGAGCAAGTATGAAGTGAACCTTGTCTTTGGTCTTGCCACAGTCAACGACGTATTTGACGTTCGGGATCGTGAGGGACGTTTCCGCGACGTTGGTGGCGACGACACAGAGACGCGTGCCCGCGGGAGGCTTCTGAAATACCTGCAATGGAAGTCAGAACTCAAGCCTCATTGTTATCATTCATGCCAAAAGAATGAAGATTGCACTTAGATCAAATAATACAGAATGTAAAATAAAGATGACTAGAAAACAATCTCTAAATTCTCATGGTTGAACTATATAAGGTTGACCAACGAGGATTTCCGGCTCTCAGTTCAGCTTTCTAGTTGCGCCACTGAGATCGATAAACGTAAATAATCCCGTCATTCCCATGACGGATTGGTTGACTGGTTTGATCGAATTTCGGTGAATATAATGTCTGTGATGTCACAGAGATCAGTGATGTCACAGGCAAACAACAAACTACGTCCGTAAAAATGAGCTTCTCATGGGTCACCTTATACTAGTTCAACCATGGGAAATTTTATTCAAAAGTATAATTCAGGTATATATTTGGTTGACAATGTAACATGAGTCTTCCGGTAACTCATTTCATTAATGGAGTGTTAAAACAATTTTTCTATTCAGCTAGCCACGCGTTTCTGACAATCAACAAAATAATAACTCAAGAGATTTGACTCAGCAGAGATATAAATCAAAAGGAACATTAAAATAGCACCCATAAACAATGACTCTACCTGCTTCTGACGATCAGCAGGCAGTAGTGAGTAGAGAGGCAACACGTGCAAGGGCTGCTCGTTGCCCACGCCCTTCTTCTCATCGTCGCCAGGCTTATCTTCGTCAGCGTTCTCGCCCAAATCAAAGTCATCGTCGGACGGAACGCCTTCTTGGTTTTGTTCTTCATTCGACTTTGAAGTTTCAGTAACATCGCCATCTTCAATATCGTCGCCTTCGTTGGCTTCATTCTCGTTGTCTGGAAACACCGAAGCTGCAGCAGCAAATCTGGAATGGGAAAATCAATTGGTGTGTGTCAACAATTTTTAAAAAGTTAGAATGTTCAGAAAATTAGTGCATGAAATCATCGGCAAATAGTGTAGGTTTTAAGGAAGCAGTCAGTAAAAATTTATTATTAGTATCTTGCGTATCAGAAATGCTTCAAAACAGACTCAGTCCAATATCGAATCCTGCTCGCAAAATATATCCCGGAACCCACATATATTCATGACAACTCAGCAACCATATTCTCTAGCTAAATTTCAATACCAGCATTATTATCGTTGCTATCATTGTTTTAGGCAGAAGATTAATCCCGTCACACTCATTGATGACGTAGACAATCGAGTCGCGAATAGCAAAACAAAGTGAAGTCGAAAATTACAATATTCACTCACAAAACTAACGAAGTAGAAGCGTATAGTATTCTAAATTGGCAGCCAGCCAAGCAATAAAAAAATGGCTTGCTTCGTTACGACAATTAAAAAATTTTGACGTGATTTCAAGAACAACCACACTAGCAGACCCAGCGATGCAAATGATAGCTGGCTAAAGAGGATTAAAATGTGGTTAACAAGAAAATATTTGCTCAAAAGTCAGAAGAAAAACTTACTCGTGCACGTTGACCTCGAGAAGTTTCTTGGTGAGCAGAGCAGCATTCTCAGCTTCTGCTTCTTTTTCGGCAGCTTGTTTTAAAAGCAGTTCCTTCTTAGCTAAGCGTTGCTTTTTCAGACTGTTCAAACGTTTTCTGGAACAAAAAATTATATATTGATCATAATGAATACAATTATGTCGGTCAGATGTAGTAAAGGTGGGGCCAGAGGCATAGCATGAGAATGGACGTAAGTACAAGGAACAATGAGAGAGCCGAGTGTTGTATGTGTGATGGCTGTGCGACGGCGTGTGAGAGAAAAAGACTGAGTGAAGCTATGAAGAGATAAAAGATTGAGGGCACAATTTATCGTGATTTGTTCAAATTAAGAGCTAAAAATAATGCTATATTAATGAAAGAAGATTAATCAGACTCTCAAAATTTACTTTTTCAACTGAAAATTAGAGACAGGACAGTTTTCAATTTAACTACATATTTGGTATAATTTTTTTTATTGAAAACTACGTTTATTTCTGATTTGCAGCACAGCGCAAGATACATAGGAAATCTAGAGACGCTATTTCCAATTTATGTGCACAAATTGTGATAATAAATAAAAATCATGATCGTCAATTGCAAAAACAAATGCGCACATCACAACAGATAATATTAGAAGAAAGCATGCCATCGATTCTGTTTTATTAATTAAATAAAAAATGTAATTGCATCAAAATAAAAAAAAATAATATTGAACTATACCTGTATTCGGTGGCGTCTCCATCATGAGGTTGCTCAGTGTCCGGCAGGCCGGTGGCTGGGAAGGTCGCGCGCAGCTTGCGGCACAACAAATTCACTTCCTGTTGACCTGTGGAGGAGAGTACAAGTTTAAACCTTACCTAATTCATGAATGCTAAGTGCGTAACCCAGCTTGGTAAAAATAATTTTAGTTTAAGAATAGAAACTAAATTCTAAGTACATTACATACCTCAGGAAAAAACATTTCAGATAAAGAAAGGAAATTACCTATTTTACATTAAGTAAAAATGATGTAAATAAAAAATATGTACGATAACAGGTAATAATCTCACTTGAATAAATGCGAGAATATTCATTTCAGATCAAGAAAGTAAATGACCTAGTTTATTTAAAGTAAAAATGTTTTGGATAAAAAAATATTTACGATGACAGGTAAGAATCTCACTTAAATAAATGAGGAAATATCCACGAGTCAAGGCAAAAAAGACACGTACCTGTGAGGAAGACGAGTATTGCTCCGTCAGGAAGCTGTCTGTGTATCTTGCAGATTTTGTTGTATGCGGCAGTCAAATAATCTTCTTCAGTTTTCTTATTATAATGAACCGTCACGGGGAAAGTACGACCTTCTATCTGAAATTATGGCCATTCATTTGAACATAAAAAACTCAAAACATTAATGTGTTGTGATGGAAGATAATGATTCAAAGGTAATCTATTCAAATCATCTAACTTGTGACAAAATGCAATGTTTCTTAATCGTAATAGGCACAAATCTAAAAATTGTATATGTGCACACTCTAGTGTGCACATATACATTCACGAGAGAAATTACAAATTGTATTTTAGATAAAGTACAAATTCTTATCTGAAAATAAAACCAATTTATTAAATATCAAGAAACTAGAACCGATTATTCATCAACATATAAAAATACGACGGTTTAGTTTTCGTAAAGTTGAAAACAAAAAGACATTTTTATAATTCTACCTATTTAACTTTAAACAAACCCCCTAACATTATACAGAAGAAAAACATTAAGGGTGGCACAACGCTTGACAAGAGGCGGAGCATCTTGTTTAGCCAGGCATTCAAAAATTCTACCCATTGAAAACTTTAGCCGAAAAGTAATGCCATCAAACTAAACAGGAACCTAACCTCACGACACAAACCTTGACAATAGGTGGAGGTCCCCCGAGCTTCTTAACGAGCCAGGCGTTCTCTGTAAAGTCCTCAACTCTGAGCGTGGCAGACATGATGACGAGCTTGAGAGGCTTGCCACGCTTGTGCCGCGCGGGCGCCACCCTCGATAGCACCCCGATGAGCAGGTCAGAGTACACGCTGCGCTCGTGAGCCTCGTCGATGATAATGGCAGAGTAGCGCGACAACAACTGATCCTGTTAATGATATAATTATAATTATCATGAAAACATTAACAAAGATACATAATACATGTGCAATATGGAAGATTTGGTAAGTGGCTAATGCGTTACATCGGTGATTATAAAAGAGTTTAGGTGCTGGTCATGTCAAAAGGGAATAGGAAATGTTTCCTGACAACTTAACTTATATTTATTATTAAAAATTGCCTCGGAGACAGTTAATGGTCACTAACATAAAAGATGAAATCAAACCCTAGCCACAGAACACAAAATACGAGCCACAGCGCAGCAGAAAAATAAATTATGAAATATGCAAAACATTGATATCATAATCAAGAAAAATCCGCATGATACATTACATGAGATCAATCCTGTATCAAGTGCCAGGCGGCTCCAGGTACCGTGATAGTTAAGTTAACAACCATTCCGATAACTATTGAATCCACGGTATCTATGACACCATAGGCATAATAAGCATAAGTAAAATATACATAGGTAAACAAAAATGTGCCTTGTATCGATTTCTGCCATTGACGTACCTCTTGGAACTCCTTGAGCAGCACACCATCCGTCATAAATTTGATCTTCGTGTCTTCCGTGGTGTTGCCCTCAAACCTGATCTGGTATGACACCTCGCGACTACTCAGGCCGAGCTCGTAGCCCACGCGCTCCGACATCGCTACCGCCGCTACACGACGAGGCTCCGTGACCGCAATGATTTCTTTGCAACTGCAACGCAGTATAATAATTGCACTTATAAAACATTTCCTTGATAAATTAATTCATACGTCAGCATGGCTTCATTGCAACTGAAGTTACAACCTACTAATTTTATGGCACCTATATATAAATAAACATTTTTGATATCATGCAATCATATTTAGAAGAAGAAAGGCATCGAAAGTATGAGCTTAGTTGAAAATATATTTAAACCAAAATATGAAAGTATCTTTTACTCTTTATTTCACATTTTTATTTGCTGGTTTCATTCTAATTTCAAGTTTGAAAATGTGTACTTCAGATTTAATAGTTCTCCATCAATTTTAAAATATTACAAAACGCAGGCAACTTTTCAAATGGTTAAAAATAAATGTTAAGCGCCTCCCGTACCTTGCATATCCAGCTTCATAAAGAAACTGCGGCACTTGAGTCGTTTTGCCACTTCCTGTTGGACCAACAATGACCGTCATCATATTTTCCTTAATGGTCTCCATGACGACCTGTTCCTCAGCAATTATGGGCAGGTCCATACGGGCTTCAGCCAACTCTCGAGGCCGCTTCACAGGGATAAAGGTGGGAGCTATCTTTACTGCAGTTGTACTTGAGCTATGGTTTACTTTTGCAGTATTGTTGATAGCATCAGTCTTGTTACTTGAGCTATTTTTTACTTTTTTAGTATTGTTGAAAGAACCAGTATTATTTTCTGAAGATGTTTCATCTAAGAGATGACTCTTATTACTACTCATTTCTTCATTAGCAGGAGAGTTTGAATCTTCCGTTGTTAAATTTTCAGAATCATTGGTTGCTTCAGAAAATTGAGTGTTGGAGTTCTCTAGACTAGCTTCTCCATCCTTTTTAATTTCTTGAATATCATTTTCCTCATCGCTGTCTGAAGATGATTCAGAGCTGCTGGGTCCTGCATACTGCAAAGAAAAAAATAAATAAATACTCAAGTTAATCTAAGGTGATCGAGCCAGAGAATATTAAAGCCATTAATTAATTTGCACCTTGGCAAACATATGACAACAAAAAATTCCATACAATTCAACAGGAAAACTATATTATAATATTATAAGCTACTTCCAATTTAGCTTACTAATCATTACCTGGTAATTACTAAGCATTACTCAAATTTATACTGATGCAATATAATAAATGTTGGACATGAATAAAAGGGGCTAAGCAGAAAAACTAATGAGCTAGATTCAGTCGAACATATAAAAGTGGGATTTTCACACATTTATTTCATATTGTTATTTATGCATGGCTCCATTTTTTTCCTCAATGCACAAGTACCTAATGCAGGATTTTTCTGAACGTGAAATATTCTTTTTTCAAACAGTAACATCAATGGTAAATAAATTCACTCACAACAATTCTAGGATCCCTTAAAAACTTTGCTTTCTTGGAAGACGCTAAATCTTCTTTTCTTTTGCGCTTGGCACTGCTGCTGATCTGATTGCGGCCTAGATGGCGTGCCTTGCCATCAGCATTGCTGTCTTCAGTAGCAAGTGACTCGGCAGTTTCTGCATCATATTTTGACTGCAGGAACTTCTTCCTGCCTTCCGTCTGAGTGGCTTGAAGACTTGTCAGTTTAGGGAACTTTTTGCGGTTCATGGCATGATTTTTTTCCAGAGCTTCCAAGAGTTCTTCACGCTAGGGGGCAAAAATTATAATGAATTAGTAAATGCAATATGGATAGTTGCAAAATTGAGGTAGAAGTCAAAAGAATAGTATCATCAAACATGAATAAAAATTTTCTCAAATATGAAGCACATTTATTCAGGAAATACAGGAATTTCCTGTATTTTCCCTTCAGTAATATGAGAAAAAAAAAAGCTTTAAAATGTAAACCAAATCATAGCTAAGGAATAATAATTCTTCAACAATTTGAATGGATTTTTTAAACTTGTCCCTGCAATTGAACCTACTGGATATCAACCAATAACCTAAACATATAATAAAATACTTAAAAAAAACTTTTTAAAAAACCACGTTTTTCTTGTGGACTAAAAAGTAGAAAATAAATTATGGCTCGCCCCAAAAAACGTGGGTCGGGCAGATTTATGATTAAAGCAAAAAGCACACAACACACGAATTTTGGAAATTTTTTTTGGAAATTTGATGGTGAATGGACAGCCCGACCCACGTTTTTTGGGGCGAGCCATAATTTATTTTCTACTTTTTAGTCCACAAGAAAAACGTGTTTTTTTAAAAAGTTTTTTTAAGTATTTTATTTTCTCCTTTTTAGTCCATTGCTACACCTGAAAAACGTTGTTGCAAGCCAATTTACTTGACTTGACGTACATATCGATGATACGCAGCGTAAGCGCCTGCTCGTCTATAACGTGAGCGCCCGCACGTCATACTATATATATACTATATATATATACTTTACTCAATTAAGCTAATTTAGGTCTCTAATTGCTAGTTTTTATGATTGTATCTGAAATTGTTAGGTGAAAATAGCCTGCATGCCGAATTTCAGATCTCTAGAGCAATCAGAAGTGGGCTAATTTTCGTTCTCAATGTCAACAACAAACAAACAAACGCGAAGCTGAGTAAAGAAAAACGTGTTAAAAATTCAATAATTAGGAATCCCTTATACATGCCAAATCTGTAGAATCAGCATTTTGTAGCTGATTCAGAAAATAGGACGTTAGAGTTAGCACATAAATTGGCAGTTTGAGTTTGAAAAGGTTAGGTCAAATTTTGTCAAGTTTCTTTACATTTAAATATTAAAAAAAGAACTTCACTGACTGACCTAACCCCAGATTCCTATAGTATAGTAATGTTGAGTCTACATATTTGGTAAACGGGCAGCCAATTCCATAGAATCAGCAATTTCGCAATTGTGGCACAACACATGCACAAGAAATAAGTTCTACAAAAAAGTGCAGGAATAAATATTTGTACTAAGTTAACTAATTACAAAAATTTTCAGTAGAGAATCTTAACAATACTACTCACATGAGCTTTCTTCTTCTTTGTTTCCACAATTTTCTCAAGGCGTTTCCTCTGCTTCTTGGAGAGGAGTTTGACAGGCTCAGCTTCCCTGACTTTCTTGGTCTTCCTCCTCTGACTTGGAAGAACAAGGGCATTGCTGCTGTCATACTGAGGTATTTCTGACCCATCATTGAACTCGACTTGAATCTGAAAATGTAAATGTTAGACATTAGAAAAATTCTGATTATATTCATATTTCAACATTAACTTTTATGCAAGAGAGTCAACATATAGGGTCACTTGAAAAATTCTTATTATACGGTATTCATTATTCAACATTAACTTTTACGCAAGATAGTTGACATATGTCATTTACGGTCACTTGAAATCTCTTTCCAAAAAAGCCCAGCTTGTCACCTCATTTATGTTTGAGGCTACGTACTTTATCATGCCTCTGACAATATCTAATCATCTACCAGCAATCCATACGTAGCTTCAGCCCCTGTAATGCCCATGAATTAAAATATGGGAATTTTTGCAAAAATTTCAACTAATTCAATGAAATTGATGCTCTTTCTGCATATTTTAGAAAAGTTGGAAGAAAAAACATCACTTCAATTAATATAAAGTAGCTGGAAAGAATTGAATCAAATTGCAGCTTGATTGTTTTTCTTTGCACTTGATTTAATAAACTAAGAAAATTTTAATTTCTTCCAGCGTAGTAACCACTTTTTTGGAATTATCATCTGCAATTTCCTCCAATATTATGCATAATTTTGAAAAATCCATAGGATTGAATTTATCTTAGAATTGCCCATAATTTCTTGTGGTGGCTCCAGATATGTAAATTTCTGCATATTTTTATGCTTTCCCGCAAAAGGGTTAAAAAACTAGAAGGGTAACTAGTAGCAATAATATTTGAGTCTTCTTAAAGTTATTAAAGGATTGCTCTCAGATAGATTTTAAGATTATTATTGTATTCAGTCTAAGCTGAATACAAAATGCAGTCACATCTACATTCATGAGCGATATTGATAGGTTCATGAAGCTTTACATGTACAAAGAACAAATCTTGCATGTGGTGCAGAGAAGCAACATCAGTTCCCAGGCATGTGGCACATCTTAATGCCTATGATTGCATGAACTGCATAGCCATTGACTTCAAATTTAGACTACATCTAGTATCTATGTGGAATGTATGAGAGAGAGCGTCAGTCTATGATGGAGGTGATTCTGAATGAGGGAGGTGAGATTAACAAAGTTGGGTATGAGAGAACAAGCAAAGAGTGGATGGCATTGATTGTGGGTTTGTCTGAGGGAGCAACTGTAGCTATACTTGAGAGTGTGAAGAGATACTATTTGGAAAACATGTGGAGGTTGAGAGAGAGGAGGGAGGATGACAAGTGTGGGGGCTTGAAAAGCGGAGGGTTGAGAGAGGGGAGGGTGGGAAGGCAAAGGTGACCGAGCCAAATGTTCATAGTACATTATTTCTGTTCTTCTTTTAGGATGTTGACATGCACAAAGGAATGTTTTAGTCTTTTTAGGATTGTTGTGAATACTTGTTAATTGAACTTTTTTCAACTATCAAGTGTGATGTGAATTTTTAGTTTTTTGGCACTAGTAAAAGAGCTTTTATGCAGCATGAATGAACAATTTATCTAGACTGGAGGTCATCACACACCCTATTCAAATTCCAATCTATTTTTAACATAATTACTTTCCCAACAATTTAGAAGCCACAAGATTCCTGCCAGGCACATTATATATATATCTTAAGTGCACATATTAAATATATATATATATATATATATTAGTTTTGGATGGCAGAATTAGTTTATTTACACGCGTGCGATTAACGACCAGAGAATTCGTTGATTTAAATTATCAAAGAGTCGGGCAATTCTTCAGATGACGTTGGTAGATCGAAAGGCATATATCAGGAAGTAGTTTTGGTTTATTAACGACGTTTCGAATGTAACGAACATTCATTTTCAAGTTACAAAGAGCATTAAATATTGAAATTTTGGTGGAAATAAGTACATAATATACGTAAATAGGATACTACAGTAAAATTTTTGAATCAGAAAATCACTCTGAAAACTATTTCAAAGTTCAGGCAAATCAGGTAGTTAAGAATGAGATAGCAGGCGTCCAATCCGTAGAGACGATGAGGCTAGCCATCTTCGGTCGATTGATGTCAGGCCACTGCTTGATGACAATGCTGGTGGGTTCCCTCAGCACAAAGCGAGTGACGGTCTGGTTGAGATTTTCGCGTGTGATTCACTTGCTCTCCGGGTTGGAGGTAGCTAATAAGACAGCGTCTCGGTGTCCTGGTTGTTGATCCAAATTGTCCGATGTAGTCCAAAAGATGAAGAAGTCTACAACCTTCTTTGAAGCAAAATTTATAGACCACATCGGCCTCTCGGAAAACTCCCGAGTTTTTGCAAGGGCCATTATCGCGTTTAGTTGGGAGTTTGATGATGTTGTCACGAAGCCTGTTAAATTCATCGCCAATTTTGAGATGAAGTTGCTTATTTGTACTGCTTTGAGACCTGGACTGGTTGTTAGCTTGTCTCAGGTGGTAGTAGAAACGGCTGTTCAATGTCACAATTGTTACCCCAATGATTCCAATATAATCCAAATAATGAAGAAGTCTACAACCTTCTTTGAAGCAAAATTTATAGGATACATCGGGTCCTTGGAGAACTCTCGCTTCTTTGCAGGTACCGTTGTTGCGTATATTCTGGGATTTGACGTTATTAAGAATGTCACGAAGCCTGTTGAATTCATCGATGATCTTGAGATGAAGTCGCTTCTTTGTAATACTTTGAGACCTGGTCTGGTTGTGAGCTTGTCTCAGGTGGTGGGAGAAACGGCAGTTCAATGTCGCAGTCGTTACTGCAATTACCCGAATGCAATCCAAATAATGAAGAAGTCTACAACCTTCTTTGAAGCAAAATTTACAGATTACACCGGCCTCTTGGAGAACTTCCACTTTTTTGCATTTGCCATTGCTCGGTTTACATAATTATTTATAAAAATGGTGGATTGAGCATCAAAACTTTGAATTTGTCCAGAATGTATGACTTTGAACATATGCAACATATCTACTTTCCAAGCCACAACTTTTTCACTAAGCAAATAAGCTTCAACCTAAATGTTAATAAAAGTGTATGATTCAGCTCTTAAAATTTTAGTAAAATGTTAAACTTTTACAATCTTGATTTTGGAGCTGTGCAATTTCTGCAAAAGTTTCACTTTTTGACAGAAATGCATCTATAATAAAAATTTTAATCCTAGATTGTTCTGCAATTAGTGTATTGAGGAGCAAAACATTATAAAAAAATGTGTGATCATGGCATTCTGTATAGCCTTGAAGAGTTAAGTGAATTTGCATTGCTAAAGGCAATATTTGATATTTTTTGTTACCTAACCATCAATACTTACATAATAACTTGTTAGCCTTTGTGATTTAATTATCAAATCACGACACAAACCCAAACATTTTTAACACATTCCTACTAATATTAAACATTGGTTTTTATGTCATTTGTGGGTGAGCTGAGAGTGGATTTTTTTGAGCCATTGTTTTATGGATTTGTCAGCCGTGATTCCATGTCTTTGAGCCGTGAATTCCATATCTTGGCCATGAAGAGCCATTTACAAGCCACAAACTTATTTACAAAGTCATTTATGTGCACATGTTATCCCAAATCTCTAATTTTACCCTAAAACAGTCAAACAGCATTCAGCAACAATAACATTTGTCTTTACTTTGGTGGCAACTGGACATGTGGTAATGCAGTCTTGGACTGTTGGACACATGATAGCCTAATGCAGTCTGACCACTCTGACGTGACTGCAAATATGCTATCTTCATCAAAATGTTTTGGCTTGCAGAAGTTGAAAATTTTATGAAACAACATGTTAGCAAAGTGAAAACCATAATTTTTTATAAAGCCATGAGAATTTATACTTACTGAAATTATGATATTGGAGTGGCAATATTTCAGAAAAAAGTAAGAATTTTCCTGACTTTTTGGCAACAAGTTGGGAAAATTCCTACTTTGGCAATTGGCAACTAGTTGTTGCCAATTGCCACTTATCTACTGCTGCACTTTACTTGCCAGTGGTCAATAAAATTACTATAATACTTGTCTTAATTATGATTTGCAGGACTAAATTAGCAAATGAATACAAGCTTTACAAGGATTTTTTTATTTGACTATGAAGTTTTGTTCAGTTTAATGTTAACAAAATGGGTCATTTATTTTGAAGCCAATTTCATGTCACAAACGAGTTTAAAAAATATCAGAAGAATAGGCCATTTTTAGCATTTTCAAGGAAAAAATTGGAAAAGGTTATAAAAACATATGTAAGGGTCACACTTAAAAGCTGAAGGCGCTGAAGTAGCTGAAGACGCTGAAGTGCGGAACATGTGGCGAATAATGGATCGATCAAATGCGGCGGAGAATCGGGCGATTCCGTAATTTGAGAAGCCGACACTGCAATAGCATATCACCAATAATATATATAACACTGGTGTCAAAAGTAACGAGACGTAAATCTTGAACCATAGCGTTTGAGGCAGATATACCCGTTCTCTGTTTAAACATGTTAAACGATTAATCACCTTTCATTTCAAGTGAACCCTGACGATCACTTCAGGTTTCACAGGTTCAATGCTCATATCTCAGAAAATATTCAACCCAGAGAGTGCAGAGTGATGAAATAATGTGGATCAATTACTTATTCACTGTAAATAATCACTCCGCACTCGACCACAACATTTAGCACTCGCCAATAGTGCTTAGCGCAAAACAACCTCTTACGGTTTAACTACTTCAACGCTTACCGTCAACCGGGGCTACTCGGGACGGTTTTGAGCGTTTTTTGTTAATAACTTCTTACGATGAAACATTTCATAAACAAGTTTAGGCTCATTTTATAGCTCTTTGCAAGGGCTATCAAATGGCATCTTCAAAAAAATTCCATATGCTATTTGTAAGGTGCAAGAAGCAAAAAAAGAGTGTCCCAAGTAGCCCCGTCGAACGGGGCTACTTGGGACACTGGGAATGAAACTTCATTTTAAAACACTAGAAGCATGCAGAGCGTACTCATCCATTACTGACAGTACTCTGAAGTCCGCCTCTTTCATTGTAGATGATGTAGAGGTAGAATAAATGACATTTTCTGTGATTTTTACTTGTTTTTCCTTTATTGATATGATATTGCCATATACATTAATTACCGTATTATTGATGTGCAATTATCGTATTATTGATGTAACAGTTTTACGCCGTGTCGGAGGTGCGTCCCGAGTTGCCCGCCAGTCCCGAGTTGCCCCGGTTGACGGTATATCTCAGAAAATATTCAACGCAGAGAGTGCGGAGTGATGACATAACGTTATTCAATTACTTATTCACTGTAAATAATCACTCCGCACTCGACCACAACATTTAGCACTCGCCAATAGTGCTTAGCACAAAACAACCTCGTACGGTTTAACTACGTCAACGCTTATATCTCAGAAAATATTCAACCCAGAGAGTACGGAGTGATGAAATAACGTGAATCAATTACTTATTCAATATAAATAATCACTTTGCACTCGACCACACCATTTAGCACTCGCCAATAGTGCTTAGCACGAAACAACCTCGTACGGTTTAACTACTTCAACGCTTATATCTCAGAAAATATCCAACCCAGAGAGTGCGGAGTGATGAAATAACTTGAATCAATTACTTATTCACTGTAAATAATCACTCCGCACTCTCTGGGTTGGATATTTTCTGAGATATAAGCGTTGAAGTAGTTAAACCGTACAAGGTGGTTTTGCGCTAAGTACTATTGGCAAGTGCTAAATGTTGAAGTCGAGTGCAGAGTTTTACTGATATTGCTGTGTGGTGGTTTAAATTGAAATATGCTTGATTGATTTCCGCCTTGCTTATATAAGATGCTTTTATAGTTGTAAGATTCGACTGTTCAAACCAAGATAAGACAATAAGTTTAATTGTATGAACATGAGTATAGTGCTGTTTTAAGCATATGTTATTTGTCAGATTTTTAAATTTTTTTGATTTGTAGAACACAAAAAGGGGATATGCGTAGTTTGAGTGCCAAAATTTTCAACAGAAGATAATGAAAAACATTACTTTACTTCTTGGCAAATTCGCGGAATTCGTCCAGCCGCGGCGTTTTATTGATCAATCGTTCGCGGAATTTGTCCAGCCGCTGCGTTCCATCGATCAATCGTTTGCCACTTCAGCGTCTTCGGCGTCTTCAGCTTTTAAGTGTTACCCCATATGTTAATATAATTAACCTGTCTCCCAAACTTTTTTGTCCAATTCTGTCAAATTTTTCAGTTTATCCAATTCTGCCCAATTTTCCAGAAAGCCTGGAATATGAGAGAAAATTTTCAACAAATCATAAGTTTAAGTAAGCCTACTTTTGATTTACAGGTAATTATTTTTAATTGCAGGCAGAAATGCAGTGATATTATTTTTGAATGAAAATGGGTAAGAGGCTAAGAGCCATAAAAGCAGGTAAATTGACTGCAAGCACAGGAATTTTTGTCTCATACAGAATCAGATTTCTTCAGTCCAATTATACAGAAGTCAGATTGTCATTACCTATGATTAGTATCAGGCAGCGCCGCAGCGGGATCTACACTTTGCGTTTGCAAGTTGTGACCTTGACACTTGACAGTAGACCATAGTGGCAAACCAGAGCTTCTTTAGAATCAGTTCGTTTTTAATTTCCTAATTCAATCAAGATTTAAACCAATTTCTTAAGTATGATAAAGCTGGTATCCATGATACTTTACTGGTCTACTTATAGGACTCAAAAATGAACTTGAGGGAGAGTCTAAAGAACTCTCTGCTTTGCCACTATGCAGTAGACAATTGAATAATGTTGTTGATCTAAAATTCTTCACTTAAATATTATTTAACATCAACTTGCAATCACTAAATCAAATGAAGAACTGATCAATCAATTACTTACTTTATCTTGCACTGAAGTATCAATAATCGTTTTAACATTGTGACGCGCTTTAAAATTCCTTCTTTTCCTAAACTTTTCTTTGATTTTCTCAACTTTCAACATGTTGAAATAAATACTATTTAAACAAGTAACAAATAATTCAACCCCCAAAATTATAAGTTTTCGTCAACGAACTGAAAGACCTCCGCGGACTCTCGACCTCCGCTGCTCCGCATACTCCTGCAGAAAGGAAGACGACGTGGGTGCAACTAACGCAACAGCAGAGCAGTAAACAGAATCACATGTGTTTCGCTAAGGCTAAAAAGAAAATGTTACGTGGTTAGTATTTGGTATGTCCGAAAATTTGGAGGAACGATTTTTAAGCATAGGGTCACAATAAATAAAAATATCAATTAAATTCAGATATGTTCTAGAATTGAAATAAACTTGGAAGAAAATTTGGTTATCTTGAAAATTTTTTGATTGATATATGCGGAAATGAAAAGTTATTATACACATGGAGCTCATTTAATTCTTATTAACAACTTCATACACGCAGTTTTTGCTCAAGTTCAAATAAAAAATTAGTCGGTAGCAATATTCACATAGTTAGGCGCCAAGAAATAATCACTATTTGATCTCATATTCGATTGTAATGGAATAAATCTAGTCATTAGATCTTGAAGCGCGAGTAGTACACAGAAACACAAGCATTAAATTACGATTTGTTGAAATTTACCACATATTTCAGCAGATGCAAAACCAAGGCACCATTCAGCATTAACCCTCATAAGATTGCATAGGTGCAATTTTACTTAAACTCAAAGCGATTATAAGTCGGAAATTAAGTAATCTGACAATAATTGTTATAGGTGAAATCCTCAATTGAATTAACATGACCGGACATGAAAAGAAATATGACGCGACGTATGACTTTATCTTAGACCTCTGCGTTTGTTACTTTTTCCCATTTGAGACCTGATGCGACAAGAAGGTTTGTCCCAGTTAGCAGTAAAAAAACAGGACAACTTTCAGTACTCCTGGGAATCCCGGGATAATACCGAGACGATATCTCACTGTTGTCGAGATGTATTAAAATTTCCCGGAATTTTATCTCTTATAACGAGTCAAGGCAAGACATAACGAAAAATACTATTTAGTCTTAATATTCAATTAGAAAAGTAAATTGCTTTAGGATCAACATTTTTTTCTGCTTGCAATGTTTCAGGTGAATCAATATTATTATTATAGTACGAAGCATTTATCGTGGCGTGTGGTTCAAACGGACTTCAAGGGCACGCCACACATAAGTTTAATAGCGAGCGAACAACAAATAGACACAAGAAAGGGTGAAACGGATAAAATAATTAGGCATTAGATTCATAGGCTCTACGAAATAGTTCCGCCTTTAGGCGTCGACGAAACACCTGGAACAAAGGAGCCGAAGTTACGGAAGCAGGCAGACTGTTCCAGGTTCTGGTGGATGCGACCGGGAACGATCTGTCGCCGATGGTAGATAGACGTGTAGATGGTACGACGAGGTCCGATGTTGATGATTAGTGCAATCGTCTTCTAGAAGGCAGATCCGACACGCGCTGCAGACCTTTCGTGAGATAAGAAGGCGCCAGACTGTGAAGGTATCGGAACTTCAGAACAGCGACCTTGAACTGCGTGCGCTGCTGAATGAGCAGCCAGTGGAGATCACGCAATATCGGCGTCACATTGTCGAATTTTCGCTTATTGCACACGAGTCGAGCAGCAGCGTTTATTGCGGATTGTAGTTTATTAAGTGCCGTGGTCGGAAGTCCATAAAGTTTAGCATTACCATAGTCCAATCTGGTCAGAAAGAGTGCCATCACAAGGACCTCAGGGACCGGCCTCGAAAGACAGCGGCTGATGCTACGTATTCGTCTGACAGAGCGCCAAAGCAAGCGGTGGTGACTTTGGCAATGTGACTGCTCTTTGATTGTTCAGAGTCCAGCAGAATGTCCAGGTTGTGAACTGCGGATGCAGGCATGACGAACTCGTTGCCCACGCGAACAGGGTTGGCCGGAAGCTGATGCTGGCGCCGAGCAGTCAGAAACCAAATACAGACGGTTTTTGATGCATCGAGCTGGAGCCGGTTGGAGCGCATCCAGTCTGAGACAGCGTACATGCAGGCGGACATCCGATCCTGCAACGCTGCGGAGTCAGCCGGTGCACCGCAGCCATAAATTTGGGTGTCGTCAGCCAACAAATGCGGATTCAAACTGTGTGAATCGATTATATGCAATACTTCGATAGTGTACAACAGGAAAAGGATCGGTCCGAGAACTGAACTCTGTGGTACACCGCAAGTGACCAACGATGGCGTAGGAGAAGAGTTCCCGCGCCAAGCGCTTTGTAATTTATTGCTAAGACAGGACTCGATCCACAGCAGCACTGTACCGCGAATGCCGAATTATACGTCAAGTCGACGCAATAAAGTGGCGTGGTCGACCATGTCAAACGCGGCCGACAGGTCGAGTTAAGCTAGTGCCGCAGTGTCGCCGCGGTCTACTGCTCGCAGAATGTCTGAAAGCACCTTCAGCACAGCGGTTTCCGTCGAGTGCAGATGGCGGTATGCAGACTGGAGGCGAGACATGAGATCGGACTGCTGAAGATGGTTGATCAGCTGTAGCGCCACAACGCGTTCCACGAGTTTCGACAAAATCGACAGGTTGGAGATGGGTCAATATGATTAAAGATCGGTAGAGTCAAGGTCTGATTTTTTTAATAGAGGGTTTATGTAAGCTGATTTGAAGTTCATCGGAACAACACCGTCAGTGAGGCAACGGTTGAAAAGTTCTACCAAAAAAAGTGCTAGGGTTACAACATTCCAATTAAGTAACGACGTCGGCAGCGGATCGCTGGCACACTGCTTGCAAGGCAGGCCGCGCACTGCAGCGATGACGTCATCAGCTGTGACGCGAGTGAATTCTTGGAGCACGCAGACGAACGGACACTGGGCAAATGCTGCCGGCGGAGCATCGATCGACGACGCTAGCACAGCAGAAGTTTTTTTTAAATACCACGTGGAATTCCTCCACGCTTACGTCACCCTAAGCCTCTGTATGACCTCTTCCCATGAGCAGAGCTGGGCAGCGCTACTTTGAATTGGAGCGGCCGCTACGGCTACATGCTCTAAATGTAGCGGGCGCTACCGCTACCGCTACACCCACTAGATTGTAGCGGGCCACATTACAGTAGTCAGTAAAATGTAGTGCCGCTACATTAGCAGCTACAATACTAAGGCTGGTACAATATACTTGTACTAGCCTTAGTAGGTGAGCCGACTGACATAGACACTGTCACTGATGGCTCCTCGTCCTCTGAAAATTGCAATTCTGCATCTTCATGTTCTAATACTACTTCATCATTTATATCCCTGGACGCACAACGACCGGCCTTAGTAATATATTTATCCATTTTAAGTACATACGAAAATACTAATTATTTGGCATACGCACGTAGATAGTATAGAAACCGTTTTCAAATCCAGTGGTATAACCTGGCAGTTGCCACCCCCTAGGTTTCTAACACACCGGGAAACGCACACGAACGGCGACATAAAAACGCCATACAAGCGCTGTCAGCCAGCTGAAGTTAGGTGGCTGAAGTCCGTGATGTGGTCGTGGACATGTGGTGGCAGCTGGCACGGAACAAGAACAAGTGGTAACTGGTAACAACTTAACAAATAACAACTAACATGTTGACACTAGTAACAGGCTGAGGTTGACAACATTACACCGAAATCTTTCGTACAGTTTCATTCTGTAATTTATATTATGTATGTATCATGCTGGTTTTAAAATAATATTTAATACTATCAAGTAAAATCTAAAAGCTTTAACTTTAAATGTAGCGGTAGCGCTGTAGCGGCAAAATCTCGTATCGCTACTTAAATAAAACTCACTGGCGCTACTTAAATATGTAGCGGGCGATACCGCTACAATTGCTTAAATATAGCGCCGCTATCGCTACTGAAAATGTAGCGCGCTACTGCCCACCTCTGCCCATGTGTTTATCCAGCGAATGCCACAGCGCTTGAGGATCCCTATGTTGGGCGTCGACCGTCTGACGCCAGAATGACTCTCTTTTAGAACGAAGAAGGTTGACGTAATTGCGCCGGGCATCTCGCGAGGTGGAGGCCACAGCAGCGGCAGCAGCAAGATTGACGCGTCTGTTCGCCCGGTAGACAGCCCGCTGGAGCCGTCGAATCCCCCGCTTCGAGACTCGACATTCATCATCGAACCATGGGTCGGAGAACCTTTGGGGTACCCGAGCTGTGCGTGCAGGAATGAGGTCATTTATTGCACAGGTCAGCTCGATGTTGTAGAGTTGCACGAGATCGTCGACTGATAGTGCCAATCATGAGTCAGGGTCGACATAGTCGGGACGCCTGCGGCTTTTCGCGTAAGACATCGCCGTCGAGACCGCACCACGGACGACAGGTAACGGCCTTGTAAGCTGGCATCGGGCGCATACACGGCACCGTCCACCGAAGTAGTCGATGGTCGGATATTGCGATCTCGATGATGTCAACCGGCAGACTTTGATGGCCAGCACGAGTGATGAAAACGTCCAGCAGTTATTATTATTCTTATTCTACGATGCATTTATCGTGATGTACGGTTCAAAGGAACTTCGAGGGCACGTCACACATAAGATTGATAGCAAGCGAAAATGAAATAGACACAATAAATGATGGGAAATATGTAGAGGTTTCAGCGTTTACTAGGCCAAAGGCCTGTCGCCGATTCTTAACATCGCAGAACATTCACAGCATTTTGCGGTCTCGAACTCACTGCTCCAATTCTGCTGTGCTTAACCGCCCGGCCTCCTTGCCGATTTTGACCAAAAACTGGCGCACGGAGCTGGGATCGAACACGCGCCTCCGTGCGCCAATCTTGGTACTCTGAACTTGAACCACTGATCCACCTTGTCCATCATCGCTAATGACATCGCTATTGTCCATCTAGCAAATTTGAAGGGCCAGAGTGAAATTGAAAATACAATTGTTAGAAATGCGCAGCGGGCTATATTATTAGATTTTTACGTTAGTTCGCCTGCAATTAAAACGAAAAAAAATACGCAACTGCCAGCAGGGCCGGATGATCAAAACA